GAGAAGTAACTTCAACAAAAAAAATGCTGTGAAAACTCCCTTAACGGACACCTCTTTTATCCGGACACTCTCTTCGGCGGACACTTTTTCAAAAACATTCGATCGGTGTACAAGGTATTTAAGTATCCTTTTAACCGGCCACTCCCCTTGGGCGGACACAAATTGGCTGACCGTGAGTGTCCGGTCAAGAGAGTTTTAACTGTAGTTTAGTTTAAAGTAGTCTCGTTTGGAATTGAGTCAACAATTATATGACGATGGCATCAGGCGATCTTTTTTAAATGGCTATCAAAACGCATTCCTAAGATTCTTAACTTAATTTAATATTTTTTGTAATTCTACCGGAACAAATTGCGCATCTTGTGCGAGTAGTAGTGCAAATACTTGTATTAAGTCAAAATATGGAGAACACTGCATAGCAGGCAAGCTGCCAAGGGAGGAAGCTACAGACCTCTTGACACAAGAAGGATACTCATAGCTGTAGAGATGAGGAATCGGAGGAAAGCATTAGGCACCTTCCCGCTTATTGCTAGGATAACCCTTCCAAACTGATCAGATGTGACAGAAAAACCAAAAATAAAGAAACTAGCTGAATTCATAAGTGCCACTAGAGGGTGGGAAGCTGTTCAATAACAACCAATGGGATTATTTGGCCACCGAATTGGCATTTTGTGGCCTCAGTGTGTGGGAGAACACTTTTGCTTCAGGCGTCTAAGCCAAGCATATTCTAAGGTGGTTTTTAATATCGGTTGACCAATGTATATAGTATGTATACTACTCATAATCTCTGGTTTAAATGTTTGTTATGTGCCCTTCTAAGGTGCTAACCAATGCACCAAAGGTCACAAAATGTAGTCTTACTGTTGAGATAAAGGTATCTAAGACTATTATAAAATGTATACAATGCCGTCTGCCCTAATTACTATTGATTCCTTATTAAACATTCATGAACATAAACATTTTAAGTCTGTAACAGTGTTTTTTTTTTTTTTAATTTGTATGCAATTAATTCAATCAAAAATTGCTCGAAATGCAAGCCAAACTTAATTGGATAATATCCCACGAATACATAGCTGGTTTCCCGAAAACTATGAATCAACCAAATCCAAGTCGAGCACCAATTAAACAACAATCCGCAAGCCAATCAAAAAGTTGCCTGCCCAAGCGACTTAAAAACTGAGCGGAAGAAATGCACAACTAACGAATCAATCGAGGCAGCAGCACGCCCACAAACAACCACAACTGCAACAAAACTTGCCACAAAAGCAATTTAAGAAATTGTTAAACACTGCAAAGGCAAAAAAAAAACAAAAATACAAAATAAATAAAAAGCGGCCGAGAAAGGAACTGTGGTAACTTTTACCAACACTCCACGGAAAATTTGTGAAAAATCATTGAAAATGGCGCGCTGCTAGCCATATAGAAATATGAATGTGTGTGTGTGTGTGTGTGTGTGTGTGTGTGTGTGTGTGTGTGTGTGGGCTCTGATAGACAAACAGACAGACTGCGACGAGAAGTCATTTAATTTTAAAGCTATCCGAAGAATTGTGCTTGTCTGCCAACTGTACCCATCAGCGAATTAATCGTCAGAATATTGAATGCGAATCAAATAAAAGGACTTTATCCGATGATACCGAAATATTCTAATATTTTGGCAGCCTAACAAAACGTGCTTAGTTTAGTTTTTCTAAGAAACATCGTTTGCTTAATTGTTATTTAAATCTATTCATAAATTAAGGAACACCTACTACATTACATGTTACATGTTGAGGATGACAGATGTTATTGATATTAAAAAATTATACAAGTAGGTCTTCTCCCATCAATCACCCGATTGAGCCTAAAAGATCAAGGAACCAACGATGTTTCTCAAATATGTATAAAAAAGAAAATAGGAAATTAGGAGCTGTTTTAGTCTTTGTAAGAATAAATCTGAATTGAATAACTGCTTTAAGCCCCATTTACAAAAACCATAGTGCCATAAGCAACTGATAATAATAAATTAAATAAACGATAAAAAAAAACTGTATGCAGTTTGGGAAATTCAACCTTATCATTAAATCCTATCATATTTTGAACAGAAGTAAAACTTTTAATCAAAGAACGAAGTATGAGTATTTATGCAACATTTTTAAGCTTACAACTAATTTATATTAGCATAGATTTGTTTACTTTTTAAATATATTGCACATTTGAAAGTATTTTTTTCTCAGAGTGCATGAAGTGAGTGCCTTGGCTGTCTAAAGTTTTGACTGCCACTTTGCGTGGGCGTTTTTGCAATCTGGTGTTGCACTGCGGTTGTTGTTGTTGTTGCGGAAAATTAAGGAAGTGTTTGCTCAACATTAGGCACAGGCATTGCACACACACACACACACACACACACAGAGAGAGAGAGAGAGAGAGACACACCACAACCACACGAACATTAAAACCACGACAACACGAAGTTGCCATAAAAAAAATAAACTGGCGGGCTAATAAATGTCTCTGTCCAGCAACAACAACAACAACACTAACAACGATCACACAGCCAGACACCACCACCACATAGTGACAACAACAAATGTCTTTTGCTTGTCATACAGACACACACCCACAACATGCAACATTGCTGTGCCTCCATTCCTCCATTCCTCCCCCTCTCCCAACACCCTGCTCTGGCACTTGAGTTTATTTTATGCGCGGCATTTCGCTTTGCGCTCTTTTGGGCAATTAATTGTGCAACATAAAATAAATTGCATTTGGTGGCAGCAGCAGCAGCAGCAGCAGCATATTGCAGCAGTTGTTGTTGCAACATTTTATTTGCTGCCGCGCTGCTGCAGCCGCTGACAACAATCATAAAACTAATTTCGTTTTAAAGGCATTTCTGTTGTTTTGATTGTGGGTGGACTTGTAGGAAGTATTGGAAGACTTGGGATCTGAGCTACAAGGCAAAATTACAGCTTGTGTAGAGTAGTTAGTTGGCCTCAATGTCTACTTTATAATTGGGGTTTGTTTAGAAAGCCCCCACTTAGTCGTAAGCTATGACTGGGAGGCTGGTCTTCGAAATGAGCCTAATTATGGGTTATTAGCCTAAACAAGGCATGGAAAAAAGCTTGTGTTGAGGCAAGAGGGAAGTTGTTTAAACGCTCCATTTAAAACGTACTATAAATAAATATGCAATAAATATGGAAAATCAAGCCCAACATTTTACAGAATTTCTGCTTAATTTGTAGGAATGTTGTTGTTTACTTTCTTTAGATATGAACAGACAGATATACATAAATGTATTTCTTTTGAGCTAATTTATTCTATTTCATATTCTATCGAAAGAGTGTAAGCTAAACCCTATATCGCTTTATTGTTCAAATTTTCTTTTCTATGCTATATCTACAACTTTAAAACAAGCATTAGAATAACACACATTCGAAAAATGAACATTATTCTTTAAAGGCTCTATTTTGAATTTAGTTCCATATGCCAGTCTTTGCAATTATTTAAAAACAATATGGTGTTAATCTTAAGTTAACACCAAGCCTTGACAACCTGACGAAAACGGGAAAGGGTTATTCTAATTTTAATAAAGTGTAGTTGAATATTTCTGGAAATGATTTGATTTGTAAACAAAATAGTTAGGATTCGTTTTCTCACTTTTTCTATAAAACTGTTTGCTGTTTTTAATATCGAACTGCTCGGGATGTATTCATGTGTTCATCTGTTTTGAATTTTAAAGCCATTTGCTATATTGATGAACATTTTACAAAACAGATATCTGAATCAATCAAATAATGCCTAAAACTAAACTAAATGATCGATTAGATATTGCAAAGGCCATTTAGATAAGAAAAAGGAACTAAAGTTAATTTCAAAAGATGATTTCGAATAAGACAACAATAACTTTTTAATTATCTTTTGGAGGCCAAATGAAAGTTATTAGTTATTAGATAAAGTAAGTAGAAATGAACTATTATTCTAAGGACTGTTTTCTTGTAAAACAAAAAAGATTAGGCAGGCTTCCAAAATAATTTGAAGGACTTGCCAACGACTTGTCTTAATATCGAGTAATTTCAACATAACCTTTAACAATGTGGATTGATACTTTTTCGTACATTTGAAACATTAATACTCTTAAAAAATGCTTTCAACATCAATATATTCGTCCCTTATTCCAGCAGGTCTCTTGATTACTAGCACTTGGACATATGTATATATCTACCTAAGTATGAATTTTAAAAGTCTAAAAACGTTCTTGCCATCAATCTCCTCGATAATTGCGAGCATCACATACGTCTCAAAAGACTCCACCCGTTTGACCTTCCACTCCGGGTCAACTAGAGGGTCCAAATAACTCTTCATTTTAATCTTCGAAGCCCTTTTTAATCTTGTATTTTTTAAGATGCCACATTAAATAATTTAATAAATCTTAATTAAGGCAACAATTAAAACAAAGTCTAAACATGAAATTTAAGTCTCAATTCAGCAATTCAGTGCAATACTTTTTTTTGGATAATTGCTAGGGAAAGCAACATTTTTCTATATAAGAGTATTCGAATTGACATACGAAAATACTTGTACCAGAAATGATTTTAATTTCCGCTCATTGTGGAGAATTTTCGTAGCGATTTCAATCATTTTGCGCATAATATTTCTTCTTCGATTTCCGCGTTTTCTTTTCTGTTCACCCCCAGATGTTGACAACGAGCAGCAACTGTGGCTGTTGTGGCCATTGTGGCTGCTGTCTTCAACTCGTGCCCTGCCACTGGAGAACCCGACAGCAAACAGACACAATCTTTAAATGGCAAACTTAAATCTTGAAGCGTTGGCAGTTAACTAATAAAGTTATCAACGGGTTGCAAGTTGGCACAAAGTTGGTTGAGTAGGTGCCGCAACGGCCGTTCACTTTTGCCTTTTATGCAACATTTTGCAGCAGGCACTTAAAAAGCTAACACAAATTGTTAAGTTGCTTGGTGGTTTGGTATATTGGTGTATTGGTGTATTGGTTTATTTGCTTGGTTCGTACTCACAGTCGCGGCTCATGCCAGCCGAAAGGCATTTCTTGAAGCGACAATACTGGCAGCGATTTCGATTCAGACGTATGACCAAACACTTGCCGTCTCTCAGACAACGATACTCGATTTGCTTTTGTATGCTGCGACGAAAGAAGCCCTGGCAAGTAATAGAGATCGATATAGGCATGATACATATAATAGTGTATAAATGGAACACTCTGTGGGATGTGGCATGCAACTTACCTTACAACCTTCGCAAGAGGTTACACCGTAATGATAGCCCGATGCCTTATCGCCGCAAACCTTGCACGGCACAAATGATTTTGAGGAGACGCCGTTGCTGCCGTTGTTGTTGCCGTTACTGTTGCTGCTGCCGTTAGTGTTGCTGCCGTTGCTGCTGTTGTTATTGTTGCTGCTGCTGCTGCTGGAATCGGCGAGACAGAATGGTTGCTGTTGCGTATGTGGCTGCAACTGTTGCTGCTGCTGCTGCTGCTGCTGCGCCTGTTGCGATTGCTGCTGTTGCTGCTGCTGTTGCTCTGAAATGGCAAAATGTTGTTGCTATTATTCGTCAATATATACAATATATACTCGTACAAGTTCCTGCATTGGAAAGTTGTTTCGACACGCTTATGTAATCTTTTCCTGCACCTTATGCTGCCATTTTCCCATTACTCATACGCCGTGTGTGCGCCACTTGAAAATTCATTTAAGTGCAAGTCCAATTTAGTAAATGAGTTTGTCATCATTGTTGCTGCTGCTGTTGTTGTTGTTGGTTGGCGTTATCGCATGCACTAAATCTGCTCAGATCTGGCGCAACTTGCGCTGGACATGTCGCCTCATTTGCCAAGCCACCAACAGACAGCAACTGTCGATGGCCAAAAGTGCTGAGCTGGCAAATAATGTTGTGGTTTCCATTTGGCTATGGATTGACAAGGCGATTGGATTGTTGAAAAAGTGGAGCGTGGTTTTTGGATTAATTTAATTTGAAACACAAATCGAGTTACACTCGTATGTCGATACGAGTATGATAGTGCGACGTATTTCTTTTTATTGATTGTCAGTGAGAATATATAGGACACTTTTTTCCTGACTTTATTTTACTTTATTACAATGTTTTTGTAAGTGAATTACAATTCAAAAACCATAAATGCACACAAAATATGAGACAATACTGCGAATCAACAAACTTTATATTGTAGATTCTTAATGCTTGATATACAGATATGTATACATATATGTATAGGAGAATGATAGAAAAATGCATTTTAGGTAAACTGCTGAGGCAAGTGACAACAGAGTTAATTGAAGACGAACAAACGATGAGTCGTGAAATCAAGAAGCGAAGACGAACAAGTCAAAACGAAGACGACAGGGCGAAGAAATAGAGATGGACACGTCAAGACGAAAGAACAAGATGGTCGAGGGGATGTAAAAGACGATAAGAACATACTCTCGAAAACTTATTATCTATATTGATTAGAACCATATTCAAATTTTAAAAATACTGTTATGTTGAAGAGTTCTTAATAATCTACAATTATCCAGATATTTCAGAGACAAACTACAAACACATTTACTTGAATCGCAATCAAAAGCTAAAGAGAAAAGAGAGTCGACCTTAAACAATTGATTTAAATAGATGTATGTCAAGGAATAGAATAAGATATCCATGTATTTTGTGTAAATACGTGTAGTGGCAGATTCTCATGATCTTGTTGAATATAAAGAGAAATACCCTCATTTTTTAATGTTTATACAAGTACGTGACGAACAATTCATTACCGAGAGCTCTTAGTTACAAATACAAATTACTCGTCCATTCTTATTACCTCATTCACTGTAGGAGACCAAAGAAATTTATTTAATACATGTTTTGGAATACTCTCCTTTTATTCGAATACCCTTTAGTTCTGTCGCATCCTTTCGCAACACACTTGAAAACTAACCTCATTAAAAGCTTAGCAATCAACGTAAAAGAAACGTATGTTAAAAAGTGCCAACAAAATGCACATTTTGCAATAACAACAACAAATGCAACATCAATGACTTAAGCAATAAAAAAAGTGCAACAACTTAAAAGTGCATTGCACTTTGGTCGGCTTGCGATGCCAAGAGAGGCGCTCGCTTGATGGGCGATAAGGAAAATGCCGAAAAAATCACGTATACGCCAGCGCGGCCCACGCTGAAACCACCTACAACAACAGCAACAGCTATGGTGGCAATCGCAGTCGTTCGTCACGACGACGCGCCATAAAACAAACAAGAAAAGCAGCGCAGGAGTCGGCTGCGGAAAGTGGCAGCAACATGAAGAAACCGCACAATTTTCACTACAAAAGCCGAAAAAAATTTGCAATGCAAATGACAGACGAGGAAGGAGAAGAAACAGAAGATGAGAAGGAGGGGCCGGGGGTAGGCATTTCGCCTCTTCTTGCCATTTCATTTCAATTTGCCTTTTTCTAATGCAAAAAGGCAAATGAACTAAGCGCGGAGTTTGGACTGTTGTTGCCGCAATTGCTGTTGCTGTTGTTGTTGTTGCTGCTGCTGTTGCAATTGCAATTGGCGTTTGCCACACCTACCCAAGTGAAATGGAATTAATGTGCAAGTTGCACGCACCACAGCGCACAACAAAACGCACACACCCGTACATCCATCCATACTCGTGCACCCTAACACAAAAGCATACAAAACTGTAGTCACCATTTGGAAATGGAAAATGCCTCTCCGAGTTTCGCGTTACGCGCTTGTGAAATTGAAAATTGAATTTTCCCCAATGTACTATGGGAGAAAAGGAACTCACAATTGAGTCCCTCATATCTCCTAAGCATAGTTTACTTAAAACTATACGATACTATCAGTATTATTCATATATTTATCTATTTGTGAAACCTCGTCAGAATTATCTATATGTATGCTTAAGAGGAAACATAAGCTTTTCGAAGCGCATCACGTACTTCAAATATGTTCTCATTAAAAGATCACAGTACTACTAAGGTTGTATGTTTCATTAAATAACAAATTTAAGCAAATTTTCGATTTAACAAAAAAAAGCACCAAGGGGAAAAGACAAAAACAATTGGTTGAGAAAGTATTATTATTTTATCAATAAAGCAAAAGCCTATTACCGCGTGGAGAAACCTTGGGTCGGAAATAAATCTTAAATGGGAAAGTATGATAAAAAACCACGTATTTTTTTAAAATATAATCAGGTATATGGCTTGAAGCGCTTCAAAATATGCAGACATTAAGCGTAAGAAATATTCGGCATTACAATCCAGCATTTATGGTTAAGACTAACCAAAAAATGAAAAAAGTATTTTTTAAACACACACACAGAAGTATCATTCCAATTATCGATGGTGAAATAAATCCCTTCAAGTCAAAACTAAATATACATAAATATAAATTCAATTAAACTTTTAATCAGAAATGAAAAATATCATAAATATTTCGAGCAAAAATTTAAATAAAACTTAAACAATTAATAAAAAAATATTTTGTTAAAAAGAACACAGCACTGGCCAAGTAGCAGTCTACACGACGATGAACCAATTCAATTACATTTTTTATCAGAAATAAAATATATAAATAAATAAAGCTTAAACAATTAATTACAAAGTATTTTTTGAAAAAGAACACAGCACTGGACAAGTAGCAGTCTATAAGATTTTTAATCAAAAATGAGTAACTAAGTATAAGAGATATTTCGAACAAAACAGGGGAACAGAAGGAGGAAAATATTAACCACATAAGTAGTGCATGTAGTAAAGAAACGAATGAAAGTAATATACTTGTAGATAAAGTAAATAAAAGAAATAAAATATATTTCCTAGGTATTATCGCCTGGAGGTCCAAAACTAAAATTGTCCTAACTTAAAGCCTGCTGCGCCGATTTGGTTGGCTCCTATATTGCTGAGCAGAGCTGCCAGATTACATCTGACGTTTGTGTTGTAAGGTTTGGTATTATTTAGTGTAGAAATAAACATCTGCTAGGACTCCAAAATTACATCTAACATTTCTTGTGAACTTTGGTATTTTTTATTGTCAAACCACTCAAAACATGTTTGCATTGTTCTTGTGCGATTAAGCATTTTCACGAATCCTGGAAATCCAAAATCCAAGAAAATAAAACTCAATTTCAAGGTCTTACAAAAAAAAAAACCAAGTAAAATGTTAGCAAAAAAAATACAACCTTTTCAGTGTAGTTAGGTCATTTTTTGTCATTTAAAGTAATTTAATGTTTCGAGGATGATGTTGAAGAACAGCAATAGAATATTCAACTTTTTGGACTAAATGAGGTATGTTTAAAGTAGTTTTCTCGTGGGTGCCATTGTAAGACCTGGACCAATTGAAATGGAACCATTCGGAAAGTACCAGATTTCAAATGGAAAAAGAATCATTAAAATTGATTCACCCAGTCAAATGTGCTGAGGTAACAAACCTAAACGTCGGTCTTTTCTGAGATTGAAAAAAAATTATCGTACGCAATTTTTCAATCTGATGCTAAAACATATCTTTTGATTTACCTCTTCTCCGAAGCAATCTACAACTAATGTCACATATATATGTACATATAGTAATTATCTAGCCAGTTGCAGGGATGGGGATATATTTGTTATGTTGTATTAAATTGGAAGAAAAAGCAAGACACAATTTTGTGAATAAGGTTAGTAGTTGATTTAAATGATAATTAACGAACTTGTGTCATATTTAATTTGTTTTGGCAATTCGTAAGCAGCAAGTTGTAAAAGTATTTTCGATCCTTCCATATAGTACTCGAACTGAGTAAACAGGATAAGGTACCTTATGGCCAAGCTGGTAAATAAATAAATGAATCATCTAAGCTAAAAAGTTTATAAATTTGTAACAGGCAGAAACGGACTTGACAGAGACTCCATGTGGAAGATATAGTTCTAAGGTTTCATCGAGATCGAAGCTCGTATATGTTTTATAGCAATAATAAATTTCAAGATTGATTTTTATTTCGATTTCTGGATTGATCGGTAAGTTGCGGCTTTTGGCCAACAAGTTGACTTTCTATACCACCGTGCAGAAACATCTAACACACACACACACACACACACGGATTCATACACGTACGCACACACATGCAACTATATTAAGGATGAAGCATAGCAAAAGCGTCTGGAAAATGTCGTCGGAAACTCAAGTGTCGCTGTTGTTGTTGTTGTTGCTGTTGCTTCAAATGCAAATCAGTGTTGGCAGCAACAGAAAGTTGACAATTTCGATGGCATTGTTGTTGTTGTGCCTGGCGATTGCTGCCTTGGCATTTCCGCGTTGTCAGACAACAACAATAACAGCAGCCTCATATACACAATTTTGTTTTTGTTCTTTTTTTTGCATTTCTGCATTTGCATTGATAAACGACATATAGTAATGGGCGTGGCATGGTGATTGACTGACTGGGGCGCAGTGACTGATAATGATGTCTCTCAGATACGAGTAAGTGCATTGTTGTTGTTGTTGTTGTTGGTGTGCATTTGCCGTTAGAAAAAAACAACAATAGCTAGAAAAATGCAAACTTGAGGGGAAAAGTGAGGGCGTCTCTTGCATTGGCTCTAGCATTTCACAAACACACTCGCACTCGTAAGTAGCTAAGAAAAGCATCGACGATGTGGCGACGACATTTACATTTCTGTTGTTGTTGTTGTTGTTGCTGCACTTTAAAACTTCAGCCAAAGTGCAAACTCAAGGCGTCCGCTTGGCTTTGAATGCCCGACTGAAATGTAATTTGTTGGCAATTAGCATTTAGCCGACTGCTGCACTAATTGCGGCAATTAAATGTCGTTGTTGCTGTTGCAGTTGTTCCTGTTGTAGACGGCAACAACACCGTGAAATCCTTACAACATGTGCGCAATTAGAAAGCAAAAGCAGGCTTTGACTGCAATGACTGTTTAAAACACTCCTGTAGTGCAGATATTAAAGCGAAAGTTCTTACATTTCTAATTCGGGTTAGGCCTTTGCTAGTATCTTATCAAAAACAAGTTAATAGCCTAGAGAAGTATTTCATTTTTGTAAGCAAGCAACAATGGTTAGGGGGGCAGACCACCGACATTCTGATTCTGGGTTCCAATCCTACAAAGGCCTTTTAAAGACCTGAATAGTCTCTGCCACAACAGTAATAAAAAAATAACTCCAAATATACTTTGTGAAGCATTTTTTAATACAAATTGAATTTCTTCTCTCCATTGCATTACTACACGCTTCACGAAAGAAATAAAAATAATAAAATTGACACATTTTCAGCATTTATCTGCAACGCATAAAAAAGTAAATTATTCTTGTTCAAACTAAAACGGAGCGTGGAAATACATACATATGCATTTCTATTTCTTCAACGATAAGTAAATATTTATTTGCTTCGTCAAAATCGCAGGTTCTAGAACGCCAAATAATTATGATTAATTGAAATTAAGACGGAATGGGACTTAGAGTTTGGAAAGCTCACAAATATTCTTTGTAATATCTAATCTAATGTTTGTATGGAAATTAAAAACGTAATTAAAAATAAGCAAAATTTTTGGGTAATAATTTTTTGTTCAAATAGTTTATTTTGCTTAAATGATGTTCTACTTTCGTTTAATGATTATATTTGAAAAACTGAAGTCTATATCCGTTTATCTTTACATTTTGCATTACACAAACTTCTGAGAGCTGTTCCCATGCGCGCATGCGTGCTTTAAAAATTCAACATGTCTATATTATGGCAGGTCTAAAAAGCCCGAAACAATTAAATTAAATAAATTCGATAAAATTCATTTGAATATGAAGCCACAAGCTTAAAGCTTGGGATGAAAGTGAATTTTATGTGCATCAAAGCTTGAACGAGCTTGAAGCTATATTTATAGGTGAGCCTTTTGAATATTATTGTTAAATGTAGGTTTTGTTTTTTTCCAAAAAATAAAAAAAAATATATGGACAAAGCGTTAAAATATTTTGAGCGAAACCTTTTCTCCTCGCTATTTCGTTTCACATTCTCAAATACAAATGAATGATTGATATCTTCCGTAGTTTGAGGAAAGAGGTAAATGTTTATAGGTCTATATCTTTAGGAGTACATAATATAGACAATTATACATATCTACATATATGTATTTATATTAGTGTCTAACGGGTTAGAAAGGTTTTTTTTAAATGGACAAAGCATTGCAATATATATACTATATGTATATAATAAGTTTCTATTTGATGCAGTTCTACAAATTGTATTTGATTTGGTTACACTGAAATAAACTAGTGAATTGAAATTATGATTACTTTTGGCGCCAATTTTGTGATTCGTGGGATGCAAGCAAATTAAAGTACAACTAAAAATGCGATAAATGCGGGGTCGCATTAAGCTGCAATAAAATGAATAATACAATAAATATAGTACAAAATCCAAAAATTTCAAAAAAACCAAAAAACGAGTACATTTTTATTTTGCCTTTTCTATCTAATGGAAAAAACCGCATTGAAATCAGAAAAAAAGTCTTACGAAGGGTTAAAATAAATAATTAATTTAATTAATCTCTTTCCTGTCATCTCAAAGTAAATGCAAATGGAGCATCAAATTATTTTCTGTATGAAAATTTGTTTAATTTGTTTTTCCATTTTGTATATTTTTAACGGACTTTAAGTCTATATAAATATTCACAACAATCAAAAATCATATTCATGACATTGTTAGATTTTTTAAAAAGTCCACAAATTGCGAAAGTGAAGTTGCACTAGAGGAAGAGAAAGCAAAATAGCGAGGAACAGGAAAATCAAAGCCGACATCTACATCTAGGCGTTCGCCTAGTTTTCCTGCTCCGGGGAATTTTCCTCCACCTGCTACACCTCCAAACCCTGCTCCTCTCCTGAATGCTTCTCGAGGTATGCCGTATGATGGACCACCATCAAACCGATTTGGTATAACCTCGGAGTCCTAAGGGCCTAGGGCGACCTCTCCTAACATCGGGGGCCCTTTGAGGAATAGCCAGAGCCAATGCTAGGGCAACAAAGAGTACGATGAAGTACTTCATACCGCAGTTGCGATCTGACTGATTGCCACTCAGACACAGACTGAATATGAACAACACATTAAATACAATATCAATAGAGACAGAGAGAACAGATGAACACATACATCACAAAAAGGATTCAAAATGAGGAATACTCACAAATAAATTCTTAATTCTTTCTATGTGCTTTTTCCACACATTTCGCATTAGGCCATGATCTTGCACTCGTGCAAGCGTGATTCCAAAAATTGATTTCAGGGCATGATTTTAGGGCATCTCCAGCTAAAACAGTTGAATAAATAGCAACACTTTATTGAATAGCATCGCGTTATTTTGAGTTCTAAGCCATATGGTTGATGTGCATTCTTGCAGGTCATTGTCAGGCAAAGTATTTTTTTTCAAATTTGAGTAAAAATTTCAGAATTTCTAAAACTGGTAACAAAAACGGTTCAAGATATGACTTCAACATTCAGCAAAAACCTTTGGAAATAAGTATGTTTTTGAAGTCATATCGTTTCTATGACTTCACACGATAACTTTCAAAACACTGGTGAAAATTATTGAAACCGATTGACGGTCTGATGGGATTAACGATTCGCACTCGTCTCCTCATGTTAACCATATACGGGTATGTACCCAATAAAATATGACACTTCAAAAACCAAACTCAGACTTTTCAGAAAAAGGTATATAAATCCGGACACCATTTATATACATAGTACTAGTAATAAAGGACGAACGCAGCTTCTTCCAAAAAGAGGAACCAACAAATAACAATTTTGATTAAATAATGCACCATGCTTTAAAATAATAATTTATGCATATAATCAACAGAAAAACTTGAACAAATCGAACTCAGTTCCATTTAAAGGCAAAATAGTACGCCAATATAAGGAATGTGTGGTCGACTTCAGAGTGCGAAGTAATTGTTTTGTTTTTTGTTTTTCTAATTATTCTTTTCTTTTTTTGTATTTTTTATGAAAGCTCTCTTACTGTCTGCAATTGCTCTAAGGCTACTCTTTTATTTGGAACTTTTGTGTTTTTATATTAACGGATAAACGCTTGGAATGTTCTTATTATTTTTTAAATGCTAACCATCCCTTATTATCTTTACTCAAAAATTGTAATTTGTTATTTTTATGCAAAGTAACTGATGGCCAAGGCGGCGGCATACAACATGAACATGAAACGTAATCAAAATCTGCATATCTTTTAAATGCCCAAAACCAACAACAGACAGCGGATTATATTCATTTTCACATTTTTCATGCTACGCCTAATAGTTTCCGCCAAGGAAAAACCACAAAGCCAAGTCAAGTGGGCGAAATGGACGACGAAAAGGCGCGGCAAAGCGACGTCTGCAAAAGTTGAAAGCAACTTTCAATTGGTTGCACGTTGTTGTTGTTGTTGGTGTAGCTTTTGTTGCATTTGTTGCGACTGCGTGTTATGCAATGAATGCAAATTTATTGAACATAATTCGCAACTGCGTCTGGCAGCAGCAACAACAACAATAGCCAAGATAAGCAAACACGGAAGAGTTAACAATGAAGAAGACGTACAGTGGTCTGAAATCATATACACGTAAGTCTAATAAAAATGATATTCAGAATTATAATAATTTCTCAATTTCTGAATGAAATGTTGGTCACTTAAATATCTAAAGCTTATAAGCATTATTAAAAGAACGTTAGATAATAAGTGCGATTTTGAACTGAACTCCAAAATATAAATTCTAACTAAAAAAGTGTTGAACCACTTTGACGTAAAATTACTTTTGGACTAGTGGTAAGAGTTTTACATCCGCTAGTAATAAATTTACAAAAAAAAAACGATAATTAATAAATTGCCATCAAACCGTTAAAGAATAGAAGAGCATCTGTTGAGTTGGAAAGTTTAAAAAAATTTCATATTTATCATCAACTTTTCGTAAATACATTAATGGTTTGGTCTATTAATGCATTTCATGACATACTTATAGTACAACTAGCAAGTTTCATTTTGAAAGCATCTAATGGTTTTCTAAGTTATAAGAATTAGACGATTTTGTTGCGCAAATTAAACAAGCAAGTTTCATTTTGAAAGCATCTAATGGTTTTCTAAGTTATAACAATTAGACGATTTTGTTGCGCAAATTAAACAAGCAAGTTTCATTTTGAAAGCATCTAATGGTTTTCTAAGTCATATGAATTGCACCCACTGTGCGATGTCGACAACGCTGACGATACTTATGACGATGACGCGACCCATGAAGACATACCTGACTTGCCTTTATTCACATGCGCCTGATGCGATGAAGATGTTGCTGCAACTGCTGCGACCGCTGCTGCTGCTGCTGCTGCTGGTGATGTTGCAGATGCTGCTGCTGCGATGCTGCTCGAAGTGACTGCTGACGAGGATGTATGACCGTTGTGCTGACCGTTGTTGACGTTGACGATGTGCCGCCCCCCAATACCCGAAACTGTGTTCGAGCTGCGTCCGCCGCTGTTGCTGTTGCTGCTGCTGCTGCCGCCGCCGCTGCCGCTGCTGCACGGTGATGTGGTTGCAGAACAAGCCGATGAGGCTGAGGAGCTGCACGCTGATGCTGATGCTGGTGTTGACGTTGGACCGAACTGATGCACACTGCTGATGGCGTACAGAGCACCTCCACCATTGCTCAGAGCAGCGCAGCTTAAAGATGTCTGCTGATGTTGTTGTTGCTGTTGCTGTTGCTGTGGTTGTTGTTGTTGTTGCTGCTGCTGCTGCTGTTGACTGGCCACGTAGTAGGCGTCACAATTTAGCAACTGCAAGGGATCCGCTTCAATGGCACTCAAACAATCGTCCAGTTGCTGATTGGCAGATAGACTTGATTGCTGTGTTGTTGTTATTGTTGCTGCTGTTGCTGTTGCTGCCTCCAGAAAGTCCTCTGGCTGTTGCCGTTGTTGTTGCTCCTCTTCGGAATCTAGTGAGCCAACCTCACTGTAGGCGCCTTGTGTCGATGAATCCTCAGGCGTGTCAAAGAAATGCAAATTAAAATCAGAATTTGCATCAAAGCTGACCTCAGGCAGAAGCACTTCTTCCTCCTCGTCCTCGTGCTCGTCCTCGTCCCCGTCCTCCCTCTCCTGCTCCACCACCTCCTCTGTCTCGTTTGCGTCAGTGCCTGCAATAATGTTGTTGTTGTCCTTATGCGTGCTCTTTTTGTGGCTGCTGTTGTTGTAGCTATGGCTATGGCTATGGCTGTGACTATTCCTATTGCTGTTGCTGCTGTTATGTTGCTTCTGCTGCTGCTGCTGTTGTAATTGGTGTGGGTGTTGCTCCCCGGCCAGGCCGGTCTTTACACATATGCTGTTAGCGCTCTCCACGTGATTGGTAGTACGTATTTGTGCCTGTGTCGTTTCCAAATCTATTTTGAATACATCCATGTTGCTGGCGTCTCGGCATTGGCATCCATTATTATCATCGGCAACATTCGCATGGGCAGCAACAACAACAACAACATGGGCAATAGCACGAGGAGCGTTGTCTGCATTTTTGTGACTTTTCTGTTAGCGTTGTTCTTCGTTGCATTCAATAATTTGGCACTCTTGAATTGTAATTAAAATCGTTGTTTGTGACTACTACTATAACTGATAACGTCGTTTTGATGTTGCTGTTGTGGTGGTTGTTGCTGTTGTTGTATTGGTTAGGTGGATTGGCCTGCTGTGCGGCAGTTTTAATTTCAGCCTCGCAATATAATTATAAAGTGAAACCTTTTCAGTTATGCCAAAGACAATGAGATCATAACTATTGCACCCTACATTTTATTAAAAAGGTTGTCATTGTAGGTTATTCAAACAGAATCAGTGGGTTCAATGCTCGTATTGAACAAAAGCCTGAGAGCCTCAATTTATTTATGTCTGTATTGATGGGGGACCTTGAAGGACATTAAATTGTTACTAAATTCGATTTTACAATTTGAATTAAATTTTTTAAAAATTTATTTATATTCTGCTTCTATCGGTTTGTCTGCCCGAGTAAAAAGACAAGGCAAGTAAAGAAGCGGTCCATATAGAAGGTGCCTGAATAGTAACACTAATCCTTAAAAATTTTTGATGGCAATTGGTAAATATGCAAAAATATTGAAGAGAAATCTGATTAAATAGTTGTAGCACTTTTCAGCGCTAACGAACTGTTCTGAGAAAAAGTTTTGCTTAACAGTGCCGACCTAATTCGATTAGCATTCATTGGAAACAATCTTCGAAAACATTTATATTTAAGCAAACACTCGTAGAATAGGCATACTAATTAGCACTATAACCCAATTCTAAACTAAGTCCATGGTTTATTGACTTCTGCCTTTTTTCATCTTTCTAATGACTTTAATGACAAAATAAAACTTTAAGCTGAGCATTCTAATTAGCTATAGGCACAGACTCTGCTGTTAGGCAGTTAGGCCGCTTAACAATAAACTTTAAAACAAAATGCATAATTTTCAATTCACTTCCGTGTTGGTTTCCATCTGCGTCGCCGCACATCCAAAATCATCGCAACGAATCGTAATGAGTATAATGTTCACAGCAAACGACAAACAGTTGTGCTCGTAGATTTAAAAACTTTACGAGCTGCGACGCGACAGGACACTAATTAGGAGAAAATTAAACGCGCGCGCGCACAAACGAAAATCAAGCGGCGGGATGACCCTTAAGACGAAGACGGCCAAGATGATGACGATGACGAAGAAGAAGACGCCGACGACGATGGCGGTGGCGATGGCGATAACACGACAAGCGGCAGGAAAAATGTGCGATCGCGCGTACAAAACGAGACGAGATCCAAGCGCCAACTTTGCAGCGCTCCAAATGCGCAACAGAAATTCAAACCAAACTGCAGAACCTAAGCGGCGACGACGACCCGACCACGACGATGGCGATGGCGATGGCAATGGTGATGTGGACGGAGTGCAAGAAAAGAACAAGAATAAGAATTGCGCATGTATCATAGTCTCTCGGTGTGTGTATATGTATATATATATATGTATGTGTGTGTCTGTCTATCTATGTAAGAGTGTGTGTATGTGTGTGTGTGCGGAAAGAGTAGGAAAATAGAATGTGCATGGAGTAGGAAAAACTACGTAGCGCCGAACACGAGGCTGACTCACTGGACGATGCCAACACAACAGCAAGAACTTACACTCTAAAAATAATAGTATAATCTCAAGTGCCTATGTCAATTCCAAGTTCAACAATATAGACTAATATTACATATGCATATTCAAAGCTTATTTTTCTCAAATAAAGATAAATTCTTCAAAACATTTTTTCCTGTTCTAGTTGGCAAATTATATCTGATTAGCTTTTAATTAGTTAGGCAGTTAGGCAGAGCAAGAATATTAATATTAATATTATTATAAAATGCCAAAATTAGAATTAAAGCTATATCTAAAGTAATTGAGTAAATAAATATATGTTCTACTAAAAATCTGTATAACTTATCATAAATAAAACGTTCCTATAACAGCTCTACACATGATCTTAGGATGCTATTCTTAGGAAACTTTTCCTGTTCTCGGTTCTTACGACAGCGTTTGAAAAACCTCTTTTGTCTGAGTGTAAAATACTTGGATGAGGGGTAAAGGAGAGAGACCCTCCCAACGAGAGTCAATGCGCTCGATCCCCAGTTGTTGTTGTTTTTGTTGTTGCTGGTTTTCTATCTTTCTAATCTGCAACAGCCGCAGCAACAACAACAACGACGTCAACACGCACCATTCGCCACTCTCGCTGGCGCTGCATTTTCCTGTTTGTTGTTGTTTGTTTTGCGCGTTTTTGTTGCACTTTTCCATTTTCTATTTATTCCTGCTTGCTATTTTCAATTTCTATTGCCGTAGGCAGTCGAAGCCACGGTCGCAGCGACAACAACAGCGACAGCAGTAACAGCGGCAGCGGCAGCGGCAGCGACGCCAAGCAGATGATATTGGCAGCGCAACTGCTTCAAGTGCACACTCACTCAAGATCAATTTCACGCACACAGCCAACTGCAGAGAGCTTGGGCCTCTGCTATCTGTAAGCGAGTGTGTGTGTGTGTGCAGCAGAGAGCAAACCGTTACATGTTGCCTGACCATTTCTATTATGAGCGAGAGAGCTTGCGTACGTAGAATGCGCGGGCGCTGCAGTTGCTATGAAGTCAAAGAACCTTTCGCTTTGCCATGTGCCAGTGGCTTCTAAGGTGTATGTGTGTGTGTATGTACGAGTATGTGTGCTTATGTGAGTACTAAAATGCGGAAGTCAAAGTGTTGAAGTTGCACTCCCTATAGTTGTTCTTGTAAAGCAGTCGTTGCTAAGCAGTAGAAAGTGCCAAACGAGTTTCCCAAAAGAACTTGAAGCAGAGAGGCTTTAAAATTGCGGCGATTCGTTAATTTTTCCCAAAGATCCACAAAGAATTAAGCTGCGATTCACTTTTACTAAATTGAATAAAATATTATAGATTCTTAAAGTTTAGCTTCCCGGATTTTAGATTGCACATTATGTTCGAATGAGAATTTTAGCTGCAGAGCATTATATTTGCTTATATTTGAATGTGTGTCGTTAAATTTGTCTCACCATGTCTAACAATATTCGGATAGAAAAAATTTAAGTAAAATTGTATGACATTTCATAGTAAACTATTTAATTAATTAACTCACCAACTTATTAACTCATTTCCCCATAGTAAACAGTTCTTATCCAAAGACATCCACACATCCTTTTCTAACTCTTCACTCCCAAGTCCTTCCACCAACCGTTACAAAGTGTGAAATGGAAAACATGCAAAGTAAATGTTGTTGCACATTTTCCATGACGAATAATGGCGCAAAAGAGAAGCAACGAAAGTCAATGATCAGCGCGCAGCTAGTTTGCCATTTTCCCCAACAACAACAACAGCGGCAGCGGCAACAACTAGCGGCAACAGCGACGTCAGCAGCAACATCAGTCAGCGAAAGCAAAAGAAACTGTAAATAAAAGAAACGGCAACTACACGACGGCGACGACGACGACGACGATATTGTTGCCGATCCTCCAAGAAAGCGAAAAGTCAGCAGCAACGACAACAGCAGCCGCCCCCGCCGCCCCCACAAGAGCAGCACGGCACGTAACATGTTCGATTGCGTTGCCAGATAAAACCTGATCTCCACACACACACACACATACACCTACATATAGGAACGCACACTGTCAGTCACCATAAGACACGCGACGAAGCCGACAACGACGAACCAGGAAGAGAAAAATGAAAATGCCGCTGAGATGTTGCTTTTGCTGCTGCTGCTGCTCTTTGCCGATTGTGTAATCGCTGTGCTGGTATTGAAGTGCGTGTGTGTGTGTGTTTGTTGCGATAGGTGATGTACGAGAATGTATGTGTTGTTTTTCTATTAACCCTTATTAACACTTTCAGCACTCTACTGCAGAAAGGATGCAAATTTAAAGATTAATAAAGAAAACATCGACTTTAACAAATAAATTATAATTTAGTTGACATTTGGAATTGAAGCAAATATATAACTTTTGAAACTAGGATATACAGCGAAAACTCCCTTAATGTACACCGATTTTATCCGGACACTCTTTTCGGCGGACACTTTTTCTAAAAATATTCGATCGGTGTATAAAGTATTTAAGTATCCCCTTAAGCGGACGCTCCCCTTGGGCGGACAAAAATTGGCCAACCGTGAGTGTCCGGCCAAGAGAGTTTTCACTGTATACCTCAATATTATCTTTTAAAAACAACCAGTTCTCTTTAAAAAAATCCAATGATTGTACCAAATCCGAAATCAATCAGTCCTTAAGCGGACGCTCCCCTTGGGCGGACAAAAATTGGCCGACCGTGAGTGTCCGGCCAAGAGAGTTTTCACTGTATACCTCAATATTATCTTTTAAAAACAACCAGTTCTCTTTAAAAAAAATCCAATGATTATACCAAATCCGAAATCAATTTATAAATGAAAAAATGTGGCTTATAGCTAATAATAAAGTAATATTTAGTGTTGTAAAGTTGAAGCACTTTTGAAATTTTGTAAACATTAATAACGGCTGAAATTCCATCTTCAAGAAGAAACCAAACCAATGTCAACTAATTGGCACAAACGTTCTTTGAGGGTTAAGCGAGTGAGAGTTGTTTGCCAGCGCAGTTGCGTTGTTTCTGAGTATTCTATGCAGCAACTGCAATAAAATGTTGCACACACACACACACTCATATATATATATATATATATATATATATATATATATATATATATATATATATATATATATATATATATATATATATATATATTTGCATTATGCCAGCAGGCCATGCCCGCTTTTTGCGCCCACATTAGTGCGCCATTTCACTTATCAATAAGCGGCAAAGTTCTTGCCTAGCCGCGCCTGCTCTTTTATACTCGCGTGTATGTACCACACACATACATATGTATGTATATGTATTTTTTTCTTGCCTCTATTATTTTTTGCTATTGTTGGCATCTAGGTTCAATGACTTGGTCGCGTCATAGGCAACCACAACAACAAGAGCAACAAAAGCAACAAACGTAGCACAAAGTCGCGCAAATGCGTTTAGCTTATTTATTTGTTTATTATTATGCCCGATGCTAGATTCTTGTTTACTTTGCACATTTTTTGCTTTGCGGCTTTTCATAGCTGGTTGTTGTTGTTGTTGATGTTCTTGTTGTGGTTGCTACTTTGATAGTGAAAAAGTTGTAAACAAACTATAAAGTAGGCATTACAAATTAACACTTTGAGCCAAGAGCTCTTGTGCGTGTGCTTAGAAAGATTAAAGCAAATACTACGAGTACTCGCATCTCAGATAAAACAGCGCATCATTAGCATTAGCAGCGATGCCTGAGACATTGGCAATGCAATAGCAGCTGTTTCTGCTGCTGTTGTTCTTGTTTTTGTTGCTGCTGCATTGAAAGGAATTCATGTTGGAACACACACAGCACACACAACACCCAACACCCAACATACACATAAACATCACACACGAAGCCCCCTCCCGGAAAGAGTGAAGTGGAAGTCAGTCGAACAGACGCAGACATTTGTGCCAACACTTTAGTTGGCGTTGGCAACAAATATGCAACTGACTGTATTTACAGTGAAGACTACATCGAGCACTTGGTATTGAACCACTTTTGTGAATTGCTAATTATCATGATTAAAAGAGGCTTGTTTTATTAGATTGCCCTTCGCTCGAAGCCGCATTGCAATTACTTTCTTGGAATTGAAAGACCAATAAAGAATTATATATATCTTCCTTGTCCGACAAACTTTATTCATATCTCGACTAAACTGCAACCTATTATTTGTATGCCGCATCTTCGCTGGATCTAGCTGCCAGAGCAAGCCCGCCCTGAAAATAGTCGTTATTTTGAGTAATTTGACTGAAAAAGTTGTCGTCAATAAAAAATCCGAAAACAGTAAGTCTTTAACAAAACAACAGTTGCTAGATTTAACAGTTCAAGGCCCCGTTTCATATACATAGTAGTAGGTATTTATCGCTAACGCTTTATTTAATCAAAAGACTTCAGCTTCACAACTGCAATACCTCCATGAAGTAAAGTCGATCATATTTTTCTTCAATTTAAATAAAAAAATACTAATAATAAATATTTAAAGAACTTTTCAAAAGTAAACGCTAAGTTCTTTTTGATTTTAATAACATTTTAGCCTTCTGAAATTATAACAGTTTAATCATTTCATTTGCTGTATTTAGTCTAGCATTTCTTCCTCACCACGTTCTCTTCAAATCGTCGGATATAATTACCACTTAAGATATAAAGTACATATATATATATACTGCAGTATTAGACGAAAATTTTAATGTATACTATATAGTCCCTACTATCAACACTGTTGAGCAGTGTTCAGGCCAGAAAGGACAGTCGAGTTTTAAATAAATAATATGTTTAAGTTTAGAGAGCTGCATTCCGGAAATTAAAGTCAGCATTGTCTAGTGGTTCGGTGCTCAAATCGCATGAAACCAGTCTGGAAATTTACATTTACACATATGCGATGCATTCATTGAAGAAAAGTATTGCTCATACGAGGTAAATTCTTGTAGTAATGGATGCATAAATAAGTAAAGTGGTAAGTGTATATTTAAAGAATATAGCAATGTGTCTCCATGATTTTTAGATCAAAAAAAAAAAAAAAAAAAAAAAAAATCGTGGACGCATGGTATAAATGCTTTAATCCAAGGTTTCCTTGAGTACTCTTTCCCATTTGAAATATGAAATCCAAATTAGGAAAACATTGGTATAATAGAAATAAATTCTTTTGTCCAACTTGGATCTGAACTCTATTTTAAACATTATTTTGTCAATGCGAATTAAACGTGTACTTTCCTTCATAGATATAAAAATCTAAAGTTTAACTACAATAGTCGTTTTTTTTTTTTTTTTGTCCATCTCACATACATTTTTTATCTGATATACGAGTAAGACAAGCTACAAGAAGTTTTCAACAAAGAAAACATCTACTAAATTGTGTTTGGGTTCAAAAATTGTACAATTTTTGTAGAATATTATTAATAGTATCTTTGATATTCGTACAAGTATCTGCTTCGACAATTTTTAGGCTGAATTCTAGAAAATATGTTATAATGTTTGTTTATAAAAAATATCATTTAACATGCCTTCACATATATGATCTTCACTGTACCATCATTATGCCAGGCAGCTGCAAATACACACTTACACACACACAAACACATACACACACACACAATCGCATGTAAACTACATTTATAGAGAAAAAGGCAAGACATTTTGGGTCGAAAAGCAACGAATTGCAATGCGCGGCATGCGATGTTTGCTTTTGGGCTTTTTTGTGAATGTCAGCAACCTCAATAAAATTTCACGATTTTTTTTCCTGGGTCATGATCTGTTTCTCGGCGACTCAAATGCCTGGTGGTGTTGGTGGTGGCCAGCTATATACTCGTATGCATGTGTATTTGTGTATGTACATATGATGCTTGAGGCTATAAATAATGGCCAGGAAATGCAGTTGGCGAATTGTGGCGAGCACGCTACTTACCCAACAGGAGGTCGCTGGAGCCTGAATTGGAGCTTAGCGATGAGGTGTGCCCGTCGGGACTTTGTGGCGGCTCTCGCAATGGGCTGCTCGGCGTATTTGGGGGCGTAGACAGGCAACGTTGGCTGCACAAAATTGTTGTGGTCGAAACGGTTCCCGCAACTATTGCTGCTACTGCTCCTGCTGTTGTTGTAGCTGTTGTTGGGGGCAATGCTGCTGATGTGGGCGTTAGAGGCGTGTCGTTATGCTTAAGCGCAAAATTAAAATACGTGGCGGCGGGCAGTCTGCAAAGAAAGCAATAATCAAGACAAAATCAATATCAGAAAATGTTTATTTATTAAAACCACAAGGCGTATACGCAATATTATCCGCAAATACAGAGCCTTTCCATTGGAAGCCACTAATTGCCTCGTTGACAATGTTAATGTCAAAGGCAAAGCCTCACGCACAATTTAATTATGCATTTACTCTCGTCAGAAGCACAGCAAACCCCAGCTGCCCTCTCAACTGCCGCTCGTTTATCATTTCGGCACACACACACACAGACACACACACACACCCACCCACCCACAGAAAGCTACTAAAAAATTAAAATTATTATCGTTCGCACGTCTTAGCACTTTATAACGACGCTCGGTTTTTCTCCCTTTCTCTGTGTGTGTGTGTCCCGTAACTTCTCAACCCATTTCTTTGGCGCTGTCTTTGCCGACAAGTTGCAGGGAAGTTGCGGGCTGGCTCACAAGTAATTGATTGGAAAAATGGCCATTCATGTTAAGTGCAGCACGCTGGTCATTCATTCATGTAACCCCCCAACCCCCAGTCCCTCACATCTTAACCCCACTTCTCACCAACCGCCAACTACAAGGCAGCAACTCACTGCCCACCCAGCGAGGGCGCATTTCTTAACTCGTTTTGGCTCGTTATTGGCCATTTTCATTTTCAAAGTACGGCATGGAATTTATTGAATACCTATAGCTAGCCATTGGACATTGCATGTGTGGCTTAAAAGTTATACTTGTATATGTATATATATATTATGCGGAAGAGTTTTGTCCTTTGCAAAAGGATGAGTAATCGGTTATTCAGAATTGTTTGTAAAGTTAATGTTCAACAATAAGTCCCCTGCTTAAACTTTGGGGAAGGAATAGGTGAAATGAGTTAACAAGGTGAAGTTAGTCCTTTCTATGCCACGCCACGGTTGAAATCAACCAAAAATTATTTGCTCCGCGGCACAGGATAATAACACAATCATTTAGGCTATTTAAGACTGAGCCAGCTGACATGGAATTGATTAAGAGCTTATGGTATATAAATAAATAACTACTTCTCCACTTGGTACAAGGAAGTTTAATATGGAAATTTGGATTGTTTACAATAAACGGCAAAGGCTGGTTCCATTCCTTATTATTCATGCTATTCATAGGCATATAAATAAAGGCACTTTCAAGAAATGAACATAAAAGCCTGTTGGTTTAGATGGATGGCTAAATTCAAAATAGTCCCGTGAGTAATCCTATGAAGTTTCGTGGCGATCAACCATCGTTTTCTGACTTATTTCTGGTCGTTTTCATTTGTTTGGCAGTCACTTTTTCATCTGATTGTCAGTGTTTCATTCGTAAATAAATAACATTTTAAAATCGAATTCAAACAAGAAAGGAATGCCACTCAACTCATATACTTTCTGCGATCCTTGCGTTCATACAGACAGACAGACGGACTCGTCTTGTCAACCTGGTCAAGAATATATATACTTTGTGGAGTCTGTCACGCCTCCTTCTCCGTGTACCCTTTGCCACCAAAAAAGCATCAATTGGTAAAAAAAAAAACACAAATTCAAAAAAGAAGAGCGAAAAAAGAACAGCTGAAAATGCCAATGAATGCGAATCATCTCTAGATCTAGAGCCATAGAAACGGAAGAAGAACGGGAGTCGCGAGTTCGGCAAATGCGCGAAAGGGCATCCACATCTAGGGCCATAGAAATATGTAAAAGTAATCTTCTACAAAACACAAAAAGCATACTTAATATATACTTACAAGTATATACACCTTTAACCGAGAAATTTTAAATTAAAAGAAAATCGCGCATTTGCACCTTTCCTGCAAAGGACATAATCGAAGCCATTAAAAGCGAAGAAGGTGCTTGGAAAGATGTGACGCCCGAAAGCTATCAAGCACTACGATTCAGTGGCATAATGCGATTGTTTAGCCCTTTTCTTAATAGATTACGCTATGACTTAAGGTTTCTTATTAATTTGTTGATTCAATTTCGCTTGCCGATGTCAATCAGTTCTTGCATGTCCCATTCAGCAAATGCTTACGTAAATTATTAAGGATTTTGAATACTTGTTCGATATTTTATTCAACTTCATTTTATTTCGTACCCTCCGCCTGACTATTTTGGTAAATTGTAGAATGTTTTTCTTTTTCTTTAAGCCCCATGCAGTTGACAACAAATATACAAGTAGTAAATACTTATTACTTTACTTTTCCTTTAGAATATTAAAACACACTTGCCATTTCTCCAGCAACCACTGAAGTCAAATGTCGGACATAAAGTTAAAGTGCATGTAAGGCAGAGGCAGAATGGAATAGTTTATTCTTAAAGGCATGTGCCTCGGCATAGATCTTTTGCACTTTCAATGTGGCGGCAATGCTATATGCATATCGAAGGACTGTATATTCACATCACACATACGCAGTGTGGTTCCCTCGATATGCAAGACTTTGTTTCTATCATCATCTCGCAGGCTGGAAGGCTGGCAAGCTGGCAGGCTGGCAGGCGCTCTAACGTATAACGCCATAAAATAAAATCAATACACTTTGCATGTGCCGCGTGCCCCCTCCCTCCTTTCACTTGCAACGGAGTGCAGAGCCTGCCGCTCCTTGCGATGCCTGCACAAATATATGTACTTACAACGTTTGCCTTTGCTGGGCTTTATTGCATTTGCTTTGTAGGTTATACGAGTCTGCCTCTGCCACTGCTGCTGTTCTTGCCACTGTCATTTGCCCCCAAAACCCAAGCCGAAAGCCAGACCCATCCCCGACCTTTCATATCAGCATATGTATGTAGTATACTTGTATGTGAGAAACTGTGTGTCGGTCTGTCCGTCGGTCTATCTGTCTGTTTGTCTCTCTTGTAGTTTGCTTTTACAATATTTCAACGTTGTTATGCACTTCAACACAAGTACGGGCGCAGCATCCACTCGAACAGTCGTTTGTGCTCATCTTGTTATTGTTGTTGTTGTTGTTGTTTTTGTTATTTTTGTTATTGCAGTTGTGTTGTCACAATATTTTCGCTTTTCAATGTGCTCGGCTCGAAAGCACAAGTGAAATATTTGCCCATGTGCCGGGAGAAGAGCATTTTCAGGCATGTTATTTTGGCCGGAAAATGCCAAGCATGGCAGTTGCAAGTTCCTGTTGTTGTTGTTGTTGTTGCTCTTGCTTTTATTGTTGTGAAGTGTGCTGAAATCTGGGAAATTGAACTTTTGATTTATGCAACAGCAGCACTAACAAGTACAAAAAAAATGCTGTGCGGCAAGCGCTTAGTGTTTAACACAAAATAAATCTCATTATTTTTTATCCACTCAGGGAAAGTTAGTCACACGATGAAGTAAGTATGTCAGCGGTTTTTTTTATTCCCCACAAAAACGAAAGTCTGTTTCTAGAACAAGGAGTTTTAGTTTACACTGCTAGTCCCTCTAAAAACTTGTGAGCTTGCATTAAGAGTGTGGATATTTTTTTAGTTGTTTAAAATAAAAATATATAAAAAATATAATAAAATAATTTTAAACGGCAATTTAGGTTAAATATTAAAACACATTTCCCTTTTTGTTTGAAAATTAAAATTCATAAATATTTAACCTTAAATATTTTAAACATTTTTCAACTCCTCTTCAGTTTTAAAAAGGAACTTATCAAAAACTGATATTGAAATCAACTGAAACTATTTTATGCCTCTTTTGGAAAATAGCTTTTAAACTTTTTTCTGAAAACCTTGAGACAGAATTGTTTTACGAAACTTTTACAAGAGCATGTACATTTAAAAAATTCTTTTTATGAAATTGCCGTTCTTGCCATTTTTATTTTAGTGAATTTTTCTTATATATCCGGCAGAGTATATTTGTCAGCTGCTTCTGCATCCGCTGTTGGTGTTGGTGTTGTTGTTGTTGCTGCTGTTGCCGTCGTTTATTTGATGCCTCGATTCATTTTCACGTTTTCCCTCATCAACGCCAGCAGCCTGCCATGCAGCCTGTCGGTGCCATTGTGCATTATATGCTCTATATAGTATGTATATTTGTATGTGGGTGGGCGTAGCCTGCCGGCAACGACAACAACAACAACAACAGCAACAGCAACAACCAGAACAACAGCAAGAACTAACAGAAGCTGGTGCTGGCGGCTCAACTGCCACTTTTGTTAGCCAACGAAGTAGGTTAGTGGCTCACTCTCTGCTGGTGCAGCAAATGTTGGAGTAAATGCAGCATTTGCCAGTGTTCCTGTCGTCGCTGATGAAAGTTTTTGAAATTATGAGCACACCACACATAAGCACGCACACATATACACGCACACACAAATACACATACACCTTGAGCCCTGGCATTTGTATGGTTAATTAAAAAAAAAGCGAAAGCATAAAAACTGACGCTCAGGTGTGTTTATGATGAGCTAAATGGAACGCATATATATTTGAATGCACACAATAGCACTCACATGAATAGGTACGCCACCCTATTTTGCATTTATACAAAAAAAATTAAAATTGTATTGCTTAAGTCCGCATTCGTGTTATTGTATAAGATACAATATTGTTATGGAGCTCCGTCCTAGGTTCCGAAAACTTCTCAAGTGCAAGTCGAAAATCGACTGTTTATAACACTATTTCAAAAAGCTGTCATGAAGAAATCGAGAAACTCAGAAATAATTTTCTTCTGTTCAGAATTTTCGGGACACTGAAAACTCAGAGTCCTTGGAAATTTTTCCACTTGCAAACTAAGCTTTGTGTTAAGGTTCTGTCTAAGCTGTCGATTGTAATCGGCTGCGAATTCAATCCTAAATCTTACAAGAATGAAATGAAAAGGAGATGACAAAAGGAAGGCTTCATGCTCAATATATCCACGTGTCTATTAAGCACTCACATTCACTCCAATTCCAATTCCGACACACTATATAATAAGAAAAGTAAAAGGGTTGCAACTATTTTTGAAAATGAAAATTTAAATGCCAAAATATGCTACCTATGTAGGAGTTCACCAATATATGATCGAAAAGTGTGGATAGTGTTTCTATTCGAATGATTTCCACTGTACCAGTTTGTAGGTGAAAAGAGGTAAATGTGAATAGATGTATGCTATTTATAAACTAACCTGCTTTTGGCGTTGTTTAGACTAAGTTGCTGTGGTTGTAACTGTGACTGTTGTTGCTGCGGCTGCTGTTGTTGCTGCTGCTCGTTGTTGCAATTGTTGTTTGGCTTGTTGTGGACGTTGTTGTTGTTGTTACTCAAACGCGCTGTGTTTGAATACTCCATGGATTGCCGGCCCTCAATGGGGCTGGCCGTTGCTTAATGCCAGCACTAAAATACATTTAAACAGCTGCTTTATGGCCAAACACGTAAGCACAAAATAAATTGCTCAAAACGCTCGTTTTCTTCTCAAATGTCACACACGACGAAGCTGCGCCTAAAAGATGCCACGCAATTTTTCACTTTCACTGTTCGACTATTTCCGGCAACGCGTTTGTAGGTGTGTGTATGTGTGTGCCGGCGCTTAGTCTTTAAGTTTAAAGTGCAAAATTGCAATGACAAGCTTTTTTTATATTATATTTGCATGACGGCCAAGATCTCGTAGGCCCAGAAGCTCGGCCGAAATTTTGCGGCCGCAATGATGGTAGCTTTATTGCTTTTTCTTGTGCGTGCGAATGTGTAGATATTTCTTTTTTGATTCTTTTTCTCAGCAGCACCTTTTTGGTATTTAATGGGTTCACTTAACTTTGGCACACAATTATATTTAATTAATTTGCATGCATTTCGAGCACATTATTTTCGGTGAATGTTATTATTTGTTCGTTGTTGGTTGTTAGTTGTTGTTTATTGCTCACGCCATTGCGGAAATGTGCTCGCTGTTTCAGTCATAACTGGCACATAACTGTAAATCGGCTTTTGACACAACGCCTGCCATTGCAGCAATGTGCACTGTTTTGGGTGAGCGAGTGAGTGAGCGAGCTAGCGATGTGACCAGTCCGGCCAGCCTCTGGGCCGAAAAGCAGTCGACAACGACGACAGCGACGACAGCGACGACAACGAAGACGACAGGAACAAAAACAACAATAACGCACACAACAACAAAAAAGACGACAAAGGCAGAATGCAGCAGAAAACTTTATAAAGCTGCACTCAGTCACACACACGCACACATGCATGCGAAGATAGTCATGCAATACCCTAGGCTTTGCCGACAAACAGACGTAGGATACACGAAAGCGACTGAATAGAGCAAGAGCGAGCAGGAGAAGGATTCCGAGAGAGTGACAATCACATGGTGCAATTTTGCCACAACAACGAGAGTCCAACATAGCGGTGCCGCAAAAACATAAACAGAGACAGTCAAAATGCAGGCGGCATGGGGGCCCTTAGAAACTGAGAAAGAAGGAGAGCGAATGTGTGAGAAAAATAGAGAGTACTGTGGATGAGAGTTAGTGCAGCTATGTCACAAATGCTTTACCGCTATGCGTTGCCTTGTCTGATTTCTTGAATTTTTCAAAATGCAATGCCCATTAAAAATTAGTCAGCACTACAGCTTGCTCTCTGCTTTTTCGCTCTTTTTAAATAATAAAAAAAAAAGATTAGCGCGTTCTCATTGCGCCGCTACCCACGCTGCATATCGCGTGCACCAAATTAAACCAGGTCAGGGCCGTTTTGCTCGCGCTCACTGCCTTTTTTGTCGTCGTCTTCTTCTTAGTCCAAGAAAGCTTTTTTGTTTTGCTTTTTAGTCAACGAAGCTTTTTTAAAAGTGCCTTCCCAACACACAGGCCAACGAAGTTTTCTTCATACTGAACAATTTTGAATTATAACAGATGAACAACCTCAATATAAAAGTAATTCTTAGAAATTATAAACATTAAATAAAATTATGTAAAACTAAAATATATTTTTAAAACACGTATAGACTCGTAAATTAAAAGCATCAGTTTTCCGACAGATTAGACTCGAATGACAAAACCTAACAGCATTATTTCATATAGTATGATATATGTTTCGTTTATAAATATATCTTCAAGCAAATTTGGCATTTATGAGTTTTGTAGTGCCTCATGATATTTTAAAGTTATAAGATATTCACGAGAGGCCGACTCATTTTAAAAATTCTAAAATGTGTGTCAAAAACTCTTGATGGTGTAGAGTTTTGTTACAATTTTGAACTCCCTTTTGTTTCAATGAATTTTTTTAATATTGCAGATGGAAAGGGTTAACATTAAATATGTCCCAAAGTTTTGTTTCTTTAATTTGAAATTGCCACAAAACTCATACCATTAGCTTCTATTTAAAAATTGACAATTAAAGATGCTTTTGCAAACAGCATTTTATATATTAATTTTCGTTTTTATAATTTGTTTAATAATTAGTAACAAATGTTTGTATAAATACGTATTTTTAGAGCTTAACGGTTATTATGAACTTAAAACATACAAAAAAGTCGAGCACCGTCGATCGAAAAATGACGAAACAAAGACGAAAGACAAATTACGAGCATAAATTCAAAACAACTGAGACATTAAACGAATAGCAAACGACCATTTTGGGACACATTAGAGAGTACAAATAAAAAAGGTAATAAAATGGCTGCAATTCAATTGCAGATCAGGCGCTTGTGGCTCGGTTAAGTTCAGTTAAGATAAGGCTGCTGATAAGTTACCACAAAGTAGTAATCGTTTATAAATTAATTGGCAAACGAAGACGACGATTTCCCTAACTTCATTCAAAACCTACAAAATTTGTAGACAGGCACATTTTGGCATGGGATTTGTTGCGTTGCTGACAAAATTCCAACTGGAAGCTGACGATGATATATTAGCGTTTCATCTTTTCGAGTATGGGCACAACCATGTCGAACTTTGGCCGCTTGCCGGGATCCTCATTCATGCATATCGAAATGAGCTTCGCCATGTGAGACGAAGTGCCCGGTGGGATTTTAACACGCAAGCCCTCGAGCGCAATCTTCATGCCGCACTCCATGGGCGACCATTCGGCGAAAGGTACCTCGCGAGTAGTCAGCTCCCAGATGAGTATAGCAAAGCTCCACATATCGCATGCCTCCCAGTTGCGATCGCTCTGTTTGCGCTGCAACGCCTCTGGAGACATCCATGCCGGCTGATAGATGCGACCCTTCTCTTGGAACGAGAACTTGGCATCTCCCATGTTGATACGCGCTGTCAAGTCATCGTCAATCATGACATGATGACTGTTCAAATGATAGGTCGGTATTATGCGCTCCAGCGAGTGCAAAAAGGCCATGCCCCGTGCCACATCCAAAGCAAAGCGAACCGCCTGGCTGGTGTCCACAACTACGCCGGTAGCGCCGTGCAGCAAATTGAAGAGCGATCCACGTGGCATAAACTGTAAGCATCCAAAGAGAACATTGAAACTTCTGCTTACGCCGCTTTTATTCGTAAAACTCTAACCTGACTGATGACCACTAGATTAGGCGGCGAATTGCAGGCGCCTATGATGGGCAAAATATTGGGATGAGAGAAGATTCGAAGCTTGGGAAACTCCTCGTTGAAGTCACGAGAGATGCGTGACGTGCATTGGCGTATGGCAAGAATCTTCAAAAATACATTATAATCTTAAAAAACATATTTTTGCTATATAAACAATATTTATACCTTTGCTATAACATCATTTCTTTGCCAACGTCCACGCCAAGTTTCACCCGACGAAGTGACAGCCACCTTTGTGTGTAAGTCCAAATCGCCCATGCTGATGCCCTTGAAACGGGACAAGGTGGCATCGCGCGAACGGGTTTTTAGTCCCAGCCAGCTCTGCTCCTTGAAACTAATGACCTTCATCTCCTGACCACTCTTCTCGGCCAGATCCTGTATGCGCTTCCCCAGACTGGGCTTGGCCTTGTCAATGGGCGTGTGTCCATCCTTATTGGCAATGGTGACCAAAGCGCCGGCATGAAGCAAATCCTCACAAATCATATCATAGCCCCAGAAGCAAGCATAATGCAATGGCGTATTTCCATGCTCATTAACCGCGTTCACATCGGAGCGCTCACGCAACAGCTGTGTGGATGGATGAATAAATGAATGGAATTAGAAAGTCAGTCACATAATTATTTCTCTCACTACTGACCAATTGGACCACATCCCGATGGCCATGCGCAGCGGCCAAATGCAGTGGTATGTCATCACCCATATTAGTGGCATTGACGCGTGCCCCACGCTGCAGGAGCGTCTCAACGAGTTTTGTGTGACCCTCCTTCGCCACCCAGTGCAGTGGGCTGAAGCCATGATCGTCCCTATATAGAAAAGACAAGATACGAAATATTAATGAGAAACCTACACTATGTTGTCCATGTGTGGGCCAGTTTTATGCTATAACGCCCCTCATTTTGTTGTTGTATGTATGTATATATATTTTTAAATGTTTACACAACTTAAGAATAAATTATGACGTCACTTCTGCCTACCCCAGATTCATGTCATTTTCAGTTTCTTCGAGCCAGAGGCGCACTTGGATCGAGTTGCCCTCACGGCACCAATGGAATATGTCTTCCATAGCTGCACTTTTTACACGCGTTTATTATAAACTCTGCCACTAATTCAGCAATTAAATATGCATAAATTGTAACTAAGAACGCTTAAATCCCATATATTTGCAACAGTTGTTGTCAGGAACTGGCGACGAACACAAACGCGTTATTGCAAATTTAGTATGTTCTAGTATGTACTATCGATATTTCAATTTGATAACATGCAGTAATTTTATGTTTTTTTCAGCTTTTGGTATTGGATTGCGTGACTGCGTGGCATTGTGACTGGTCACCAGCAAGAAGCAGCAACAAAACGTGCGCCGTATACAGAAAGAAAACAATATAGCATAAATACCAAAAATATTGCCCAGCAATGAAGCTAAGCACATACAATTTTCTCACTTCGATGGCCATAAAAGGCGTCAAGGTCGGCTATCCCTTAAAACTGACGGTAAGTTCTTAAACTCTAAATGCACCTGATGCGGCTATTGATTGTTCCATTTTGTTTACCTTTCCAATGCTAGATCAACAAAAAGGAAGTGGTAGAAACAGAATTCAATGCCACATTTGTGGAACGACTTCTGCCCAAGCTGGACTGGTCAGCTATTTACAGCGCCGCACAAGTGGTAGGTCGTGTAATGTTTTGACTCCGGATGTAAATCTTATTTAAAAGGTCTCCGTCGCTTTCAGGTGGAACTCACAGACGATATACCAGCAGTGCAGCCGGAAAATATAGCGGAGAATGAACAATTAATGCAAAAACTACATCATCTGCTCTTTGAGATTGACGTGCTCGATGGGCAACTGGAATGTCCAGAGACGGGTCGGGTGTTTCCAATCACAGATGGCATACCAAATATGCTCTTGAATGAAGACGAAGTTTAGTTAATACACGCCTCTATAAACTAAAATGCATTTTGTACTATACACCCACACAGACACACACAACCTATGTATATATAAGTTAAAGTGTTAGCGCTTATAACAATTTCAATTTAGTTAAAACATTTTTAGAAAGCAACGTCTATTAAAAATGTTATGCAAAGCGTAATAAGGAAACTTCAGCAAGTGCTTTCATTTCTGTCGAAAAGGTTGCATTGACTTCTATAGTAAGCACAGGGCAGCAAGTAAGAAAAAATTTAAAATTTAGTGATTAGCTTGAGGTGCGAGAGGGACAGCCACAAATACACTAAGGAAAGTGGTGATCTAAATAAACAAAATTAACAGCTGGCTAACGGTTCAGGAAGTGGTGTAATCAGCGGTTTGTTTACATCTTGGCTTCGTAAGAAAATTGTTTACACATTGTTATTTTGCTTCCTGTAGGTTGATTACTTGCTGTGGATATATGTACGCCTGGTGTAAATCGGTTATGCATTTGATCAGTCAGCAGTTTTCCAATATTTTTAATTTTAATTAGTATTTTCGCCATCACACAATATGCATGAGCACAATATGCATCCATGCGATCCATACCCTTTTCTGGTGGGCCTAATGAGGGATCGCATTAAGCTTCATTTGATTGTTAGCTTGTTGGTATATTGTATTTATAAACTTACGTTTCTTCTTCAAAAATTATACGTTTAATTATTCCTGGATCAATATCTGCAATGAAAAGCAGCTGCAGAAAAACATTTCTTCGAAAATAATCAACGTTTTCGGTGCCAATGCTACGATTCTGGATACTTTCTAAGCCCATAAAAAAGTATTACCTCTTTTTGTTTAAAATATCAATATATTTGGAGTTGCACAATTGCTAAAAAAAGCCGCGCTCGTTAAAAAAGAATTAATTCGAAAATATTCGATATTTGCGCCCGGGGAAAAAACAACACTAGGAGCTTGGATGGAATGTGTACACGTTATACATATATATACTTGGTATGTGAAAGGACATCTAGAGCTAAAATGTTTTACGACATATAAAAAATAACTCTTGGTGCATTTCATACATATAGTATGCATGTATGTATGTATGTTTGTATGTATGTATGTATGGCTGACCACTTTGGTTTCTGCTACTTTCGTTTTGGCACTGAGATGCGCAATTAAAGAGTTCATCTGCTTGTTTGGAAGCCTCATCTAGTTACATTTAATGTTGTTGTTCTTATTGTTGCCATGCGCATAGATACTGCCCTTGGCTAGACCCGCCTTGGCCCCCTTGCATAGCTCCGCATTCCGCCCCGTGGGCTTATAGGTGCGCTCCCCAAGAAGACCGGCATCCGGACCTCGAGCGGGCTGTTTTTGCGTGAGTGCTGTATTGGGTCCGTTCCAAGTGACATAGTCAGCGCTGTAAAATAAAAGAGAATAGGGAATATTTATTTATTAAATGATTGTTGTTTAACTTTTTATAATTCTCCATTTTGTATAATTAAGTAGAAAAGGCTAAGCTGCCAGAACTCTTAACATTAAGATATCTTTACCTCACTTTTAAATTCATAATGTTTTAAGTGTGAATAAATTGAAATTGAAAACTTTTCTAATGATCTGACTGCTTCAAAATATTAAGTTTTGATGAAATATTTATATGAAAAAGTCCAAATTAGATTCAATAAATTTTTGGGAAAATATTTATATAGCCAAAACACAGCAATACTTACAGTAACAGATTTTCATCAGCTCCCTTGGCCAGCTGCGTATTCGGTCCCATTGTGGCCATGCGTTCGATAAGAGATTGAAATTCGACTGAATCGGAATTTTGCGTATTATCCGAACCCAAGGTGCGTTGTGCATGTCTGGATTAAATGAAACAAAGTTAATAACAGGGCTTCAAATGGTAGAGCAATACTACAACCTAGATTCTAGACACATACTATATACGTATAAGTAGAGTTCAACATGGGAATAAATGAATATATTTGAAAGAAGTGCATGCCAAATTGAATTTGCAAAAATATATACATATACTCGTATATGATAAATAGAGCCGACATCTGAATACCCTCAAGAATGGACTCTCTCATTCTACTTCATGCGCTGCAATCACAATTTACGATCTTCAAAGAACAAAACAAAAAAGCAAAAAGTGAAAACCAAGGGAGGATAAACATGCGCTAACGGTTAAAAATCGGTTAGAAACGGGCATACTTCAGTGAATCGGTTTTGGCACGCGCGCGACTACCAACGGCTCTCAGTTTGCTCAATATGGATGAGGAGTTCGAGTTCGAGTTGGCCGACGAGAGCGATGATGACGTCATTGATGTTGTTGTATAGGAGGAATAGGAGCTAGCATTGTTATTGTTAGCGTTGCTATTAGAGCCATGCAGGTAGCCATTGATGTTGTAGTTGTTGTTGTTGTTCATATTGTTGTTGTTGTTGTAGTTATTATTGGAGTTGCAGCTACCGCCCGATGAACGTGAACGTGCCAAAATGCTCTTAGTGGTCAGTGGTTCGTACCGTCGGGTCGGTGACTGTGTGGGTGAGGCGTACGAGTGGGTGACCGTCGATGAGTGGCACGATGGAGTCGAAATGGGTGACATGATGGTGTTATTTATATTGGCATGGTTGGGGACCTTGCCGCCTCCTATCGCCTCCTCTGACCCTGCCCCTGCCCCAGCCCCAGCCCCATCCTCGACCATCGGGGAGGGGTGGCTAAGTATGATCTGTGTGGTGGCCGTGGTCGGAGTGGTGACATTTATGGATGGCAGAATGTGGCGCTGATGTTGCTTATGTGGTGGCTTCGATTTCGTTGTTGTTGTTGTTGTCGATGTCGTTGGGGTCTCGAGTACAACAGTCAGTATGCTGTGTGTATTTATATATTTGGTGTTGTTGGTGGTGGTAGGCGTGGTGGGCGTGGCAGGCATAGCGCAAAGTAAACGTACGAAAGTATTTTTTGTTTTATTTTTTGGCAGCAACAAAAGTTTACAGAGAAAATAGCAATCGATTAAAAACGATAATTTGAAAAAATAGCAGAGCTCTGATGAATTAATATCTGGGAACAGCTTCGGAAGGAGGTTTTTGGAGGTTGCATTGCACTTTTCATATTCTTAAGTGTGGTAGTAAAGGTAAGGCTTCTTATATACACAGTGTAAACTAGGAAAGGATTGGGACAAAGTTTAATTCAGGACCACGCACCTGTCTCCTATGGCATGACCATCAACCTGTTCCTCTTGTGTTGCCAGCTTTGTCTTCAGCGATAGATCGTTGGCAATAATAGCATCATGCTTCTGAGCACGCTGCTCGTCCTCATCCTGCACAATTTGTAGAATCTGTGTGGCGCGATCTTCAGCATAGTTGACCGATTCCAAAGCCATCAGTATAATACGTTCGGCAATTTGCGGATATTTTTGCAACAGCAGTGCTTGCACTAAAAAGAGTTGGAAATCGATTATAACTCTATGTATTTGAATAAAAAGATTGTTAATATTAGAAAATCCAACACGGTTAAAAAGAGTATTTGAAGTTACTACCGATCCATCGCATGGGAAGAGTTCTATGTCTACGAGTAACCATATAATTTTGATATTTTTTATTTCGATGTATTTTTGTCGCAAAAAGATTTCAGCAGAAAGGTAAGCCTTCCATCGAATACAAACCACTTCTAGAAATTAGAGGAATCTACATATGTACTATGTTTTAGGATCCTACGAATAGCTCCTATACTTTCCGCAGACGAACAGAGTGCAAAATATGTATCTAGATTGACTTGATTATTCAGATCAAGATTTATATACAATTTTTGAACGCACTACAGACCTATTTCCGTACATACTTCATCCGCCCGCCTACAGACCATAAACAGCCTATTATTGATTATGGTTGCAGGCATCGTAAATTTAGAAAAATGTTGCCATTATTATCTTCAGTAGATCTACTTACTAGCTGTCTTCTCTTCCGGTGTGTACTCCTTGGGTCGTAGTGGAATGTGCTGCACTCCTTCTGTATTGCCCGCCTCTTGACCCCCATCCAGTTGTGGTGGTCGATTATTGGGCTTATGCGGCTGCACATCACGCTTAGCATAGCCTAGGGATATCAACTTTTCCGAGGCGAATTGCACATTATTATCCGCATTGGCCAAAATGTCCAAAAGCAACATTTCATCAGCTTTGGGAAATATATTTTTCATGTATCTAAGGCATAAGAGAGATCATCGTAGCTCAGTATATTTGTACATGGCTTTATAATAATTATTACTGGGTGTAATAGCATACATATTTATAATAAAATTGCTAACGCTGGAAATGGGTAATTCGGAAAACTTTGTAAACAAAATAAGGCATGAAGAAAATGTACTTGGCCCAAAACATACATTAATCAAGGAACAGAAAAAACTTCACAGAGCTACATATAATTTGTTTTAAGCTTTAAGCTATATAGGCGGTACTTGCTAAGTCGAATAGTATTATAATATGAATTTCCCTGATAACATACAGATAATTATTTGAACTTCTATTCGTTCACATTAAAAAAAAACCATTTACAGAATAGTAGTATAGTTTCGTATTTCCCCCCTTAATTAATTTAAAATGTTGTTCTCCAAGAAATGTTTGAAATATTTCAGCAAAGGATAACGTCTCTGGAACTTTATGATAGAGCAATTAATTAGTATAATTATTGAATCTATAGAATTTTGAATTTGTAGAATGTAGGCATAAGAATATTTTTAAAATATGGGAGGTTAGCAGTTCCTGCTCTGTATGGTATCCCACAAACTTAAAAGTAAAATAAAATGGGTTTTACGGGCTTGACTTTTCTCAACAACAAATTGTCGAACCTTAATTTCATTTTCGGCGACGAGTGGGGCTTGGGTGAGCTCCGCCACTGCAGTTGCGGGGAGCCCTGTAAGAGCGGCACACCGGCACCCGTACCGGGACCAACCCCCCCAATGCAAATGACACCAGGGCCACCGCTTTGCATGCTCATGAGACTACCGAAACGGCCGCCTGGCAAGGGACTGGCCGTCCTTGAGGTGCTGCTCAGGGCACCCCGGCTAGCGCCGATGTCCAGACGACGCGCCGGTGGGGTCATGTAGAAAGCAGAATTGCTGTGAAACAGATGCCGTTGGGCGGGGGGCGTCACATATGGGCCGGGCATGGTAACGGGATGTTTTTCGACCTGTAAAGCGCTGATGACGACGGCCTCGCGGTTGTAGTAGCTGAGAGGGCGCGAGTTGGGCGTTGCGGGTCAAAGTGTTAATTAGTTTGCGATTATATTAATATGTTAGTGTGTTCGTAGGTGTGTGTGTGTGTGTGTGTGTGTTTGTGAGGAGTTCGGGTTGCAAGTGTGTGCATTAAGCGGCAGCGTGTGAGAAAATAGAAATATATTACAAGTATTAGCGATAGTGGCAATTAACTTTGACTTTGCTTGTGTAGATGGATAGTGATGTCGAAATAATGCTATAAACCTACCGCTTCAGCAGCAATCGTATGTGATTCTCTCCGGCAGTGGGGAACATATTTTGGATTTTGGTAACCACGGCATCTGTGTCGATCTGGTTTGTGAACGAAGTCTCCTGTATGGTGGAGCGACGCGACATGTTGCCCATTCGCGCCCGCTGAAAGGGCAGAGGCGAGGACATCTCCTGAAACAACAAGTAAAAAAGCTAAAGTCGGGTGTCCCGACTTTGAAATACTCTGTACATATGTTTACAATAATTATAGAAAATAAAAAAAATTAAGAAAATAAAAAAAAAAATTTGATCGATTTTACCTCTCTCGGTATTCGAACTCACGTAAAGGGTGTATAATTGCACATTTACATAGCAATTGCGTCTGTGTGAGTGTATGTATGCCTATGCGCATCTATTCGTGTCTGTGTAAGCATTTTCGCAGTCAACCAAACAGCAACATCAACAACAGCCGCGGGCAGCGCTTGAGCAGCGCTGCAGCAGCGCTGCATCAGCAAATATATTTATGGCTATAACTTCTTGTTAAATCGGTCTATCATAATGAAATTTGGCATACGGACACATAATAACTAACTGGGGGTATTTCCAAAATTTTAGTTCGAAATTCCAAGAATTACGGGAGTTACGATTTGCGGGGTAGTGGGGGGAGGGAGGGGAATTCCAAAATATACATTTTCTGCGTATTCACATAAGGCATCTGGGACTAAAATTTGGTGTTCCTAGGTCTTATAGTCTCCGAGATATAGGCGATTATACGAATGGAAAATCGGGAAAACCCCCATAGGGGGGAAGTGGGGGGGAAAATCAAAAAAATAAAACAAACTCGTATAGAATACACACATAACGCATCTTCGTGCAAAATTTGGTGTCTCTATCTCTTATAGTCTCTGAGATCTAGGTGTTCATACGGACGGACAGACGGACAGACGGACAGACAGACAGACAGGGCTAGATCGACTCGTCTCGTCATGCTGATCAAGAATATATATACTTTGTGGGGTCTGCCACGCCTCCTTCTGCCTGTTACATTTTTCAGCTCCCGCAAACTTAATATACTCTTGTACATTTCATGTACAGAGTATAAAAATGTAAAATTTCAATGAATTTATTCTTTTGTAAAGAATACCTTAATTCCAGATAATGCATTCTGCTACGATAAACGGAAACTGTCCACATCTATTTGTTCTTATTTATTTTTCTACTTTTCTTATTGTCTTTGTCTTTACATAAAGGATTTATAAAACTCACTCAGAGACATTATAGAGCTAACAAACTAAAAAAATAGTAAGTATAGGAAAACTAAATTCTACTTAAGAGGCAGAAGGGGAAAAAGAAAAAGTTCCAACCCAGTGGGGGGAAATTTGATTGCCAGTCCAGAGCAGGGAACAGATGATCTTCTGTAGTCTGAGAGATACTAAATCCGGACTCAGAATATGGAAACCGTACGTTGCGTGACCAGAATGTAGGTTATTATTCTTCTATACTTTTTGTCTGATTTCGAAGAAACAGGTACAATTTTTAAAACGACCTTTAACTAAGAGATAGGGTTCTAATTAGTTCAGGGTTCTTCCACATAAAAGTTGAGTTTTTCTTTATGGTGTAAAAATGCTATTGCCCTCTTTGTCTTTATGGTTGCTTACATAAAGCAACAAAGATTTTTGCAACGGTTTAAAAGATAGGGAAGGCGAATTCTCTTTTCTGCACAAGAGTTTAATATTTCTTTATTAAGGCCATCAACTATGATGACTATTCTCTGCAAAAGTGATATTGAATCGCTTTTAACTTTTCACTTTAAATAAAGAGCTTAGGTATTGCATATTTGTTTTCCCTAAAGAAATTCTGTATACAATTTTTGTTTGCAATGTTTTCATTTCAATTTCAGCGAAATGGAATCGCTTCTAATAAAAAGGATGACAGTATTTTTAAAAACGTGTAACATTGAATTAAATTGCAACGTATTCTCCCTTACTTACCAAATGTCCACGCGACGAGGTTGACAAGAGTGGACTCGATGATATGTTGTGCAAGCTGGGGGGCAGTTGATTCCGCTCCTGAAAGGCGCGCACGGCTGTCAAGTTGTTGCTAGGATAGACGTGATAGGGGGAGTTGCCGTATGACGAGGGCTGCGGCTGCGGCTGTGGATGCGATTGTTGTTGTTGCTGGTGGTGCTGCTGTGTGACCATGTGCTATAAATAGGCGGCAGGGCCAATGTCATTAGAGTCAGCTTTTAAGAAAATCAATAATGCACAGTTGCATTCTGTGTTGGGAGCAACTCACCTGGAGGGCAATCGACTCTGTAGAGCAGCGTTCGTTTTGCAACTGTTTGTAGCGCCCTCGCGGATCCTCCAGCTGCATGGCCTTTGTCAGATAGTTTATGTAATAGCTGCAACAACATGAGGGTAAGTCAGTCACGTGCACGCTGGACGGACATAAAGCTATAAATGTTCAAATCAAAGGCCATAAAATGCCCATAGTTGAAAGCTCAATCGAAAAGTGGGGTTCTCTGACTGTCTCTCACACACTCTCATGTATGTGAGCCGGCTACTTGGCCGGCCTTCGAGTGCCGAGTGCCTTTGCCGGCTTTGCATCCGTTGGTGGTTGATTTTTATGCCCAATATATGTACGTACGTATCGCACTTTTGGGAAATTTGCAGTCTTTCAAATGTAGAGCGCGCTCCAAGCTGCAGGCTTTGACAGGTGTCTGTCCCAAGGAAAGGCAAAAAGGGTAAACCATAGGCCCTAAATAGCGACACGTGCTAAGTAGCTGCCAAAGGCACAAACAGCTGCCGTCAACATAACATTTGTCTGTCAATTGCCCAAGCAACTCACAGCTGACGATGTGGATGATGACTATGATGACGACTAGGACGACGACGACAACGATGAGGACGACGTCGACGATGAGTAGGTCTTGGCACTGATTGTGCTCCTAGCTGGCCTGAGTGGCCACTTGAATTAACGTATGACAGTCGTCGTTGGCGGCTTCGTTTGCTTAATTGCAGGCACAAGCGCGCCAAATGTGCCGCACATATCGCGCCATCTGCTCACCCACACAGGCACACACCCACTTCTACACACATCCTCACACACTCACTCACTCACCCACTCTCTGTGAAGTAGAAAAGCGCTTGAGTGTGGGCCTGGTAGTGGGTCGGGTTAGGAGACAACAGGCAACAGGGCATGTCGTTGACTTGTTGTGACACGGAAGTGACACAATTTATGACCACAAATGGGCCAATGGACGGACAGATGAGTGCCAGTGAGTTAGTGCTAAATAATTTCAGATTATATGCCAAATTATATCTAAAAGCAGTTAAGTAAGTCAAGAATGTGATACCACAATAATTTGCAAAGCTAAAGAGACAAATTGTAGGTTTGTGTGCACATTTGTTAACAAAAGATTCTACATTAGGACCAATAGGTCTTCCACATATCATAATGAAAAGCCATAACTTCTTTCACTAAACTCCTAGTTTAAGCTGTATTTGTATTTTTAATTAGTTTAATTTAATAACAGTATAAAAAAAGTTGTACATTAAAAAAATATATATATAAAAAAAATAACTTCTTTCCGAAATTGGATTTTTGTGAGTTTGAATTAATGTCGACTAAATATTCCAGTAACTATGTATGTACATATGTATATGAGTAGCTAAACAAAAAACCTTTCATTTCCACAATAATAGGAGCAGCTCTTAAAAGAAGTCTTAGGTAAGGAATGAAATATATACATATGTATGCATTTTATTGAGAATTTGAACAAAATTTTCATTTCGAAAATTGTATCTATTTCCTTGAAAAGTGAAATGGCAGTCAAAACGTTTCCGCAAAACGTAAGAATATTACTAATTCCATGGTGGAACTCAACACCACATATTTTGAACTTGCATAATTCTAGTGTTTAACAACAACGAGAGAAAGGTGAAGTGTATGTTGAGTAAGTTCTAGATGTAGAAAGTTATAGCTACATATGTATATGTAGAAAGTTATAGTCACGAGTAACTTGTAAGATTGCCAGCTTAGATTTCGAAAGTAGACAGACTTATTTTGTCTCGTCCAGGTATGTACAGCCAATAATTTATGGAACGGTTCATCTAAAATAAATTGAGAAATATGTATGACGATGTATTTGTACTTGCAAATCAGAGAAAAATGTGAATTCTAATAATTGTGTCCTCACAAGCTTATAAAGTTTATTATTGAAATAATAATGCATATATAAGTTTATACGCGTCGAAACGGATTATTGTACATTATTATTATTGTTATAATTTTCGCATTCACCCTTGCTTGGTCCTTTAACTAGTTCGAAAACCCCAAACATTTCAAAGCATTGAGTGAAGCATAAAAGATTAAAATGGAATATGTTCACACATACATACATATGTACAAATAGGAAGCAGACGTTAAACATCCCTCCTTACTATGCCACAAATTAAAAACTCTGCCTAAGGGGGCCTGAAAGCCGCCGCCACAATCAATTTTCAGCTCCCTCGTACAGTTGAGCGCCACTTCAAAGTTCTCTAAATGAAAAAATGTATAGCCCTCGAATACGAGTACAATAGCATTCTAATTTAACGTAATGCCACTTTTATTTTATTATTGCACACATACATATTTATTTATTGCGCTTTTTTCAGGTGGTCTTACCAGTTCCCAGTTGCTTGATCATATTTGCAATCCCAGCCGGGCGGTAACTTTTGATAGCCACCATGGCCGCTGCCACTTGCGTCGCTCATTTTGATTTTTTGTTTTCACTTTTATTTTATTATTTGTGTTTTCACTTTTAGTTTTATACAATTTTGATAGACATTTGTACGAGTATGAAAATTTCGCAGCTTGTTTTTATTTGCCGTCTGTCTGCACCCCCGAAACTTTACAAATACAAACACAAATGCACATACGAGTATACACTTCGGTTGTTGGGTTGCCCTTGCTGTGCCTGGTTGGGGGTCGCAGTCAGCAACTTTGTATGTAGTTGTTGTTGTAATGTGTGCGTGTGTGTGTTCGTGTTTTGGGGGGTTGTTAGCCACCACCGCAAGGCAAAAACGACAAGCAAAGTTATTTTTGTTTACAAAGCGTCGCTGCCGACAAAATGAATTGGCGTGCCTTCACTCTTCCACTCTCATGGAGTTTTCGCAGTTCGTTGTCCGCGCGCACAACTTGGCTTGGCAGGCTTTTCACGTCTACTGAGCAGTGGCGGCCGCCAAATCACAGCTTTGTTGTGTTTAGAGATGCTGCGCCGTGAGCGGAACGTTACTGAAAGCTTCCAGCAGCTCGACTCAAAGCGCCAAGCTCCAACTGAGTTAGTGTTGGTAAATGCCTGCAGAGACAAGCAGCCCTTCAGACGCCATGTAGCGGTATTTTCAAAAGCTGCCGCAAGCTTTAAAGTTGAAACTTTAAACTATATAGCGTATTAATTATGTTTGAATTAATACAACAATTAAGAGATGTATTAATAAAATGCATAAATACAAAAGCTATTTCCAGTGGATACAAGGCGAATGATTTCGAAAGAGCTCTCTTTAAAATTTTGCAATGTAGAGTTTAAACTATTTCCGAAACGAAGACTTTGGCATTCCAACCCTTGTTCGAAAAATGTAAAGTAAAGAAACTTGTAAACAACAAAGTCAAACTTTTGGGCAGATGCCACTTTTCAATAAATCAAAAACTGAAAACTATTTGAAAATCGGGCCTGTTAATAAACAGCGCTACCTTCAGCACATACGTATATTTCTGCAAATTCTATTGTTCATCCTATTTTAAAATGTCGATCGCTCAAATGCCCGGGCGGGGCTCTGACAATGTCGGATTAAAGTCGGCGGAGGCATCTTTGGCCAACATCAATCGCATTAGCGGTAATTATCTGGAGGAAATGGAGGCTGAGCTCAACAAGCCGCCCGAAGCGCCTAAGAAAAAGAGCAAAGCGCAGAAAAGGGCCGAACGGAAGGAGCTCAAACGACTGGAGGCCATTGAGGACAAAAAGCTAATAATGCGCGTGAGTATGAACATTTCCACACAAAGAAAGTGTAACCACCAAGTGGCTTGCAGGATGAGCTGCGCCGCGAACTGGAGCTGGGCAAGCGCATGGAGAGGCGGGGCAACGAGGAATGGCACGAAATGTGCAAGGAGATCAAGTTAGTGGAGCTGCGGGAGGAGATAGTCGAGTGGGGAGAGCGCGCTCAGCGCAATATTGAGCACAAGAATGGTCACATCACCATGTTGCTGGATGATATGGCTCAGACCCAGGAGCAGCACATGCGCAGCTATGGTAAAACAGTCGAGATGATCGACCACATATGCCACTGCTTCAATGCCATGGTCAGTAGTATTAAGCAATTGTACGAACAGGATGCCGAGGAGTTGCTAATCGAGTACTATGATGAGATCAAGCGTCGCACTGAAGAGGTTGACTTCATGCACGAGAACAGCGAGAATATAATACACGCCTCCAATGTGATGGCCCGTGATCAGCTCAAAAACGATTATCAGATCTATTTGGAGCAACGCGATGATCGCGTCAACACGGAGATTGAGAAACGCTTCAGTCTGCGCGATCAGGTGGCAAGCAAAATGATGAAGATGCAGCATCAGTTGAACGATTTCGTGGACATACTGAGCAACACGGAACTAGATGCCCACAAATATGAACGCATACGATGGCTGACCGATCGACAGGCCGCATTCATGGAGGAGTCTCGCAGGCTCAATGTCGAGGAGATGAAGTATATGAATATGCAGAGCGAAATGCAGCACGAAATGATGAAGATCGAGACGGAAAACAATGCGACCATCAACGATCTGCGCCTCGAGCTGCAGTATTTCACCAATGTACGCAAGAAGATCGAAGTAGCGCTCAGAGCAGATCGCCAAATTACGCATGAGAAGCTTCGCATTCTCTCCAGCGAGTGCTACGATGTCATTAAGGTGAGCAGTCCCCGATTAACCAAACATTGATGATAAACTTGACATTTTTAAATAGTGACTAATTTCCTTAGTCATATGTGTATTTGAACCAAAATAGTTAACCGTCCGAATGAACATCGATATTTTTTGAAGCAGATCCTATAGGAAGATCAATGCATTTTTAATTGATCACAAGTCAAATCATTATTGAAGTAGAATCACACAACAAAACCGAACAAAACTATCCTCAGTATAAAGAAAGTTTTGCTAATTATGGTATTATCTAAATCCTACGATAGGTCCTTACAAGGGCGTAGGCAGGGGGGGCCAGTTGCCCCACCCTAGAAAATATTTTGCCATATAAAGTCGATCACACGTTCATTATTACGACGCATTATTTCGCCTTAAAATGGATCTGAGTTGGATTTGTTGAAGTTTTTTCATTGATCATATGCATAAGTTATTATACCCTGTACCCGTAGGGTAAAAAGGGTATATTAGGCTTGTACAAAGTATGTAACATGCAGAAGGAAGCATCTCCGACCCCATAAAGTATATATATTCTGAATCAGCATGACGAGAGAAATCGATCTAGACATGTCCGTCCGTCTGTCCGTTTGTCTGCCTGTCCGTCTGTCTGGATGAACGCAAGGATCTCAGAAACTATAAAAGCTAGAATAACCAAAGTTGGTATACAGATTCTCCTAGGTCCGGGATAGGACGAGTTTATTTTATTTTTTGGAATTTTCCCTTCCTTCCCCCGCTACAGAATTTCGTCAAATTGTTTTAATAATTCAATAAGTTGACAAATATGGACTGTCAATATAGGTTGAAAGATACTTCTGTTCTAATTATGATTAATGTAATCTAATCTAAAATAGTCTAACAAATTTAGTTAGTTGGTAAATAATGTTTAAACCACTTAGCCACAATTAGTAATTCCAATAGTCTTTTGATAGCACTATCAAAATGTTTCAATGATCTTATCTAGTTATCGTGAATAAATTTAATTTTCAAACCTCTTTAAAAGAAATCCTTGAATAAAATTCTCCATTCCACGTACAGGAGTTCGATAAGTATGTCAAGAGTGGGGAACTTTTGCTATCACTAGCTCTCAATTGTCGAAAACTTCAAACACAGTCCGAGAAAGTGGTTTTGGGTGGCGAAATAGTTGACAAATATCCTGTGGAAAAGGTGAGCGAGGACTTCGTGATCAAGACGCTCAACTTAAAGGAGCATTTAGACATCACCGAAGAGCAGTTTCTGGAACAGTATAAGGTGCTGAAGAACTTCTGGTATCGGCATGCTATGGCAGCAGCACAAAACTTGATTCTGCTGCATGAGAAGAGCCGATTAGCCGAGGAAAATGAGCGTTATATTGAGCTGATCAGGAAGGCGACAAAAACAAACGATGTGGACGAGTTGAAGGTGGCCATTACTGTAACGATGTGCGAGTATCCGAAGCCGCTGCATCCCTTCGGCACTGATTGTCGAGACTATAAACTAGAAGCGCCCAAGAAACCGAAAATTGATGATATGGACGATGACGACACTGACGAAAACTATGAGGACAATCTGAATTCCATACTCAATCCCCGTGAAACAGGTTCGCGTGTTTCGAAGGTCACTGTCAAAACTTTGAGCATAAATTTAAAAAATTAATTGATTTATTAGTTCTAAGAATAGTTTAATGTTTTTTGGTCGCATCGTGAAAAACTTCTAACTTATATTTAGGAATGCAAACACATTTTGCAAAAGAACAACACGCTAAAACATAAACGATACCACGTATCATGAGTCCAATACTTAGGCACTAAACGTTGTTATCAAAATATTGCTTGAAAATGCAAATGCCTGGACAGCAAATTAAAATATGATATGCCTAGTGTTCGCAGCGCTGTCTACAAAAAGCCGAGTGGTTTGATTTTTAGTTTCTCAGCCAGTGCGGCGCAAGTCTTCAATTGATTCTCCAGATACTGAATGCCACCCACGGCATTGACGGCCTGCATGTTCTGGGACTCCTTATCACCAGCGAGTAGTACAGGTTTGCTGGAATCAGTCTGTGGGTATAGGTTTAAGCATTTAATAGGGATTGATCAAAATCTTATCTACAATGTTCATAAGAAGGCTGTAAAATACGAGTTTTAAACTAGAGCTGTGTGTGATCGTGAACGCCTGCCAAGTTCTTTAAGTTTCAAATGATCGTAAAGTTCGTAAAGAGGCGACTTGAGAAAACCAGACAAACTAAACAATATAGTCGGAGGAATTTGTGCAAAAATTAGACTACCACGGAGAAGAAAACACACCTATTGATTACAAAATGGTACTACTATCGCTAGAATTTTGAAAACTACTTTTACCGTTTGAATTAAATGAGAACATTTCAGAATACTCAACATTGGTACAAGAGATTCATAAAAAGTTTGATTACTGGATTACAATTTGGAATTTGGAATCAATAATGGCGTGCGTGACAGCATTTTCTGTCACGCGCACAGTTCTACTGCTAACTCTCATTTTTTAAGCAGCCATTAAAAGTAGTAATGGATCGGGTTTCACGAGTATCTCAAGATGCCATAAGCTATAACACAAAAATAATTCCAACCTTTGACAATCAAGCTCAATGCCATTAACTCGGGCAACCCAATTAGGAACTAAATAGTTTCTATCAACTTACCGGCGCTGAGCTGCGCAGACGTGAATTAAAATCGCTCATACGTTCCTCAAAATTGGGCGCAAAGCAGTTGGGATCCACGGCAATGAAGACCTGACCCAAATCAGCTGCCGAATTAGCCCCCGCATGGGTCCATTTGCGCACCTGCGTCGAGTAATGTGCCCCGGACATGACGCCCGTTAGAATGTCCACCATGGCGCCCAAGCCGTAGCCTTTGTAGCCCGAAGTTAGTTCGGAGCCACCGAGCGGCATCAGACAGCCGGTGGAGAAGCCGAGCTCTGCATCATTTGTGACATTGCCACTGGGATCTTGGGCCCAGCCATCGGGCAAGGGGGCGCCCTTGCGTCTCTGTATCTCAATCTTGCCCACAGCTACGGCCGTCGTAGCCATGTCCAGCAAAAACTTGTCACCGTTTGTTGCGGGTGCACCCACCGCCAAAGGATTGGTTCCCAAGGCTGCCTCCTTGGAGCGTGTGGGCGCCATCAGAGGCGAGGTGTTGGTCATGGAAATGCCCACCAGTCCTTGGTCCATGGCACGGATCGAGTACCAGCCAGCCATGCCATAATGGTTCGAGCCCTTAGCACATACCCAGCCGACGCCCACCTGTTTCGCCTTCTTGATGGCCAAGTCCATGCAATAATTGCCAACGACAGCGCCCAATCCATTGCGACCATCGACCCAGGCTGTTGAGGGAGTTTCCTTCAACACCACTGGTTCGGCACCGCCATCGGTCGAGTTGATGGCCAGATCATTGATATACATTTCCAGTCTGTTCATGCCGTGACTGAAGTGGCCGCGATGATCGGCTGCCACGAGCAGGTCGGCCTGGGCCTCGGCATGGGCCTGAGGCACCTTCACTGCCAGAAAGCAGTCGATCATAAATCGCCGCGATTCGGCAACGGCCACGAGTTTCGGTGCGGAGGACGAGGACGACGACGACATAGCTCTGCGTTGCTCTGTAAAACAAATGGATCGACTATCAAAATTGGCAGTCCGTTTAGACCGTTCCGTTCAGCTAAACGACAAAAACGCGACTGAGGGACTCGAACTGGAAGCAGCCATAACATAAGTAAGTAGTAGGTTCGACAGCGAGTTTCTCGCCAAATAATTGCTTAGGCAAAAAAAAATAAAATACAACAAAAACCGTTGATCGCGATGGCTCACAATCTCTCACACACACACACACACACACACACATTTGCAAACATAAGCATTTAGAGGGCGCGACTGGCGGTCGTTGAAAACAAAAGCAAATATCAGCAGATATACGGAGGAGGAGGAGGAGGGCTAGGGCTAGGGCCGAAGTAAACATAAAACTTATAGTTCCACGATTTTAAAAACAGAGCCAAGCAAAAACAATTTTCGCTGCTAGGGAGCCGCCCAAATAAAACCACTTTTGTTTCAGATAAATTCTTATCAACCCAAAATGTTCGCATGGCGACACGACTACTCCCTATCGCTCGCCTGTTCGGCTCTTTATGGGTTGGCAGACTATATTTATGAGATATACCTAATGATCGTAGTGCCGTCCGTCTAACAGGTATCAAGCAATATATGTGTATGTACAGTATTTAAGCAGGTACAGTAAAATTAAGAAAGGAAGGACGAATATAAAATATCCACTCTATTTCAAACTTGGAACTTTTAATTATAAATCTGATTGAGTTAATGCTACTAGAATCAAAATTATCTCCTTTATCTCCTTTATCTCGATTTTCTTATTAAAATCTTTTTTCACAGAATATTTATAACTTTGGATTCTATACTAAAAACGAGTCAGATATTTATACCCCAATTTTGTGATCATCGTTCGAACTATTTGTATGTTATTATTCAATGGATAGACAAGCGGTCGTCTTCATATATAGTATTTACTGAATCCTAATTGAGGTTTTGTTCTCCACACCTCTACATTATTTTTATATGTTGGTTCACATAGCTCTGTCCGCTAAACTTGAGCACACTTCTTTCTTTAGTACATTTCCTTCAAGCGAATTGCAGTGGGCTCTGAACTGTCCTCAGTAGACCTCTGTTAGAAAACGTTTCTCGATCATATGCAAAATTCTGGTATCCTTTCTCCAATTTTTCCTTCTTTTTCTCTTTAAAAACTACTTCAGGATTCTTTCCTCAACCATGCAGATTCCAAGTCTTTCACGTTTTTAAATGTGTTTCTCGTAATACTTTAAATTACAGTTTTATATAACAAATATGGTTTGAAAACAAAGCCTCAAGTATATTTAAATAAACAATTTAGTCTTAATTAAAGTGAAATTATATTTTCATGATATATTTATGTATGTGTAAAAAGCAAAAATTCTTTTTTCAAATTATTTGCCAAACTGTGTATACCTTTAAGTTGACAAAAATAATACACTTTATACATTAACTTAACAACAATATACCTTTGATATTTATAGATAAGTATATGATTTTTTCCGGTTCTTGTTTTTAGTTAAACGCAGAATATTTTAGCATTTTTAACCTAAGCTAACGACGTGGAATTCGGTATATAATATTAGATCTTTATAGTGAAGCTATTTGAATTCCAATTAAGAATATCTACTGTACGAGTATTTACTACGTAGTACGTCATAAATACAGCTCTATGTTCAGAGGGCTACTATATATTGAAATCGAAAGCAAACCGCCCAGGCCATAATCTTTCGAACGCGGCAACGAAGCGCGTGGAACAAGTTAATTTTGTTTTTATTATATACTAGTGCATATATTTATGTGAATGTACATATATTCCATGTGTATGCTCTGTTGGTTCATTTGAGGTCCGCTTTTTTCTGCTTTCTCAGTGTGAAATACATATTGAATTATTTTTATTTTTTTCCCAAACGTGCGTGTGCGTGTCTACGAGTATCTGCCTGCGTGGGTTGTCCACAACTCACAACGTCATGTGGTGAGGGCCAATTGTTTGTTGTTAATGACCTTGAACTTCAGCTGTATTTATACATATAGCTGTGTATGTATATATTATGGATAAACACACATATTTATCTGCTTTCTGGATCTTCTAGCTCGATGTTGCTTTACTTAACACTTTAGTACTCATTCATAGATAAATTAATTGTGACAAATGAACACTCTGGGGAATGAAGAAACTCATTTATGCTAGCTTCATCAGTGCTGCTTGATTAATTGATTAATTACGGAAATTTGACCGAACACTTTTGTGGAACATATTCTCGACTTCGACCAGCTATCGTAAAAGTTCATTGTGCTGCCTTGTTTACATGCTTTATCGCTCTGTGGCTGTTGATTGAAAGACAGGGCCGAAACACACCCACTTACTTGAATACTTCTACCGAGAACTGAGTAATGCAAGACCTATAGAAATGTCAAACTGTGGCGATTGATGCTCATGGTCTTACAATTAAGTACAATAACAATCACACAATGTGCCCGCTTCTTTGTTAATAAACTTAAGTACTTACGAGAAGGTATGATGTCAGAACTCAGCGTATTGTAAATGAATTCATGGCTAATGAAATGCAGAAATGAAGCAGCGATGTTTTAAGGCGAATTTGTAATCCGACTGAATTAATATTGAAAGCCCTGTATTATAATCTTTGCGAATAAAAATAAATTGGATATATTATTGGAAAAAGAAGGTGTAAAAGTGGGTTATGTATGATTGAATTATATTTTCATTTTAATAGCTATTCTACAATGAACCATTAATATAGAAATTGTTATATTAAATGGAATTCATTTGGGGCAGATTTAGAATAAGGAAAGCAGCGAAATGCTAAAATCTTAATTTGTTTTCGTGGATTTAGCAATAATTTACAAAAAACTCTCTATTTAATCAATCTTAACGTAATTTTCATATTTAAGGTAAATTTCTTACACCTAGTAGGAATGTTATATATGTCTAATTGCAACAATATTTAAACTAAATAGGCATTCAATTTTAATGTCACTTATTCAGCTAATAAAAAAATGTTAATAACAAAAACTGTATTAAAGAAAAGTAAATATATCACTTATAAATTTATGTTTTCTTATATAAAAATTAAGTTTATCCAAATGGTTGAAGAATCCCTGTTTCTAAAGATCATAAAATTCTGAGATAGGAGCAAGTATTTAAACAAACCATATGAAATGGCGTTTCTCTGTGTAAGGCATTTACCCAAATGTAATATTCTGCAGTCTAATATTGTGCCAGAATTTTTAGTTAGAAGGCAATTGGATTATACAAAATTTCAAATCTCAGCACATACATATACTATATGTATGTATGTGTTACCTAGAAACTAAGCTCGTTGTTAGCTTGGTTATTGCTTCTAACTGCATTACTAATAACTACGACATAAGAAAAGTCACGATTTTGTCCATTTCTGAACAATATCTAATGGCTGATTCATTATTTGCCAAACTTGATAATTTGTAAATGCTTACGCAAGCTTAAATGTACAGATTCGTAAGCTAAAAATAGAAAATTCAATTATGTTCGAGAATTATTCCATCAGCTACGATCGAGATACGAACATGGGGACAAACAATGTCAACAGCACTGCTAATCTTATCAATTTAACCTAGTCGAGAAGGCATACTTGTATAAAGAAAATGCTATGTGCGCGTCAAAATTTAACAATAATCTTAAACACACATACAAACTCGCTCACAAGCTCGAATAATGCACAAGTCAAGTAAACAAGTTTTTATGAGCTTTGAAGGCATAATGTGTGTTACTGATTAACGCCTCTTCAGATGTGTTGCCAGGTACGCTGCAAATCCCCCCATCCAATACCTATATCCGTACAAATCTCTCATTCACTCCCTCTATTCGTGCACAATTTGTCGGCGAATTGTATTTGAATGAATGATAATTTGTATTGAAATATGTACAGGTTGAAATAATGCTGAAAACCTGTTTGTGAATTGGAATCTTGGTATGTTTAATGCGCTTTCAATTAGGCAATCAAAATGCCATTAGTAATGCTCCAGTCCAAAAAACAAAGCATGTGTTCATCTTTAATGCGAACCGTTTAAGGTGAATTAAAAAACAAAGAAGGCACACCCCCATTCATATAATTGTATAAAAATTTACCAAAATTTACTTCAAAATGAAAACAAATACGAGTAGCTTCTAAATATACACATGTTTGACCGCGTGACAAAAAAACATTTGTTTTAATTATACAATTTTTTAAAAGTATAGGTAGGTTTGTTTTTTATTTTTGACGTGTGGGCGTTAAATAAATCGAAAAGGTGTTTATATATATTGGCACAGCTGAGTGACAAACTCGTATATTTCGAATTCAAATTGCTAAACAGGGTTGTCAACTCAACTGGCACAGAGGGCGTTACAAATATAGGAAGCAGCGATAACCACCGAAAAACAAAACAAAATACAAACAAGCGAACGAACGAACTTTAATCGTTAATCAACAATTGCACGCGTAATTAACATAATAAAGCAAAACTTACCGCTGCCATTTGCATTAAATTTTGTCTCGTTGCAGCTGTCACGAGTTGTTGTTGCAGTTGCTGCTGTTGTTGCTGCGTGCATACGCCTACATTGTTGGTGTAATTGTTGGCGCCTTTGAAGTGTGTGAATGAACCGCCACTGTAGAGTGGCGTTGGTGTTGGCAGCACGACGCAGGCAAGAGAGCAATGTCATAGAAGTCATTGCAAATATGGCAAAAAACAAAACTAACAAGAATACGAGAATGAAAACGAAAACAAAGACAAAAACAGAAACTAGCTAAAAACTACGTAACACACAAAACGAGACCTAACAGCGAGACGTAACGGGCGCGAATGTGAAGCGCTGCCACTACCGCAAAATCTTTACAACAACTACAAACTGTAAGAGAGGAGGAGGGATAGAGAGAACAGAGCTGCCAAACGAACAGCTGATGACGTCGTAGAGCTTGTTGTCGTCGCAGTCGACCTGCTTGCACTTTTTTCTCAGTTTATTCTTATGTCGCGTGTGCTGCGGACCGCTTAAACTTTGTTTTTATACAGCTTTAATCTTTTCTTGGGAGATTTAACGCTGAATAATTGCCCAAGCAGAAGTTGCGTGTTAAATGTTTTTGGCGCGGAAAACCAATCTACTAAACACACAATTGATACGTAAAGTATTGCCAACGTCTAAATATAGATAAGTTAACCACAGACAGCCAAACAATTTATGTAATTTGCAAAATGCGCACAGCACAACAGCAGCAACTACATTAACAACCACAATAGCGACAAAGTGCCAATTTTTAATAGCAGCAAATAATAATGTGTAGTGTTGAAACGACAATTATTCCTAGACGTCGTCGTCGTCCCTCTTTGGAGCACCGATTTGAACTGCCATGAACTGCTCACTATTCGCTATCGCCGCCTACTTGGCTGCCTCGCGTGCAGTGCTCGATGAAAAGTGAAATTTAAATTCATACGATTTGCTCGCGCCATAAGTACGCACATGCGTAGAACTCGAGCACCTACTTTACAATAAGCATAATAATGTCTGGATAGGGAGAGCGAGCGAGCGCCACCAATTTGCGCAAAATGGCGATAATGATTGTGCGGTACGCTGCAAAAGCTAAAATGCAATATCAAATCATATATCACTAATAATATTCCAAAACAAAAAAATTTTACAAACATAATTATTTTAAAGAAAGTGGTAAATACTATTTAAGAGAATATAAAAAAGTGATAAAAAAGTTGATTATCATTCAAAATTCATATATTTTTCACAAAACAAATGAAAATTAATAATTGTTAGAAATGAAATGAGACTTAATGACAATGATAAGCATTTCAAAAAATACATTCTATATTTATTTTTAAAGCATACACATATTTATCAGTCGATCTATGGATCAACAATAATTGATTCTCTTTGGAGATTAGCGACAAACAAATTTTTGTATACTTGATTTTCGCAATTATTAAACTAAAATGAAGGAAACTGATGCACAAATATCTTTTCAAAATGCCACAATTTATTGGCGTTCCAAAGCACCCCAACGAAGCCATACAACCGCTTTGTTTACCTTTGGTCAGGGTTCGGTACAATCCATTCATAGTGTTGCAAAGTGCGTGCTGACCGATGGCCGTTTAGCGAAGACACGCACCACCCACGCAAATAATTTGTTGGGCGCCAATGGGCAAAAGTTTAAAAAGCTTCTTGGCCTATTAGTCATTATTGTTGTTGTTTGTGCTGTGCTGCGCGTATTGTTTGCTAAAAAACTTAACTAGTCACTTAATATGGTGGTTTGTATGCGGTTTTTATGTGTACGGTATATGTGTGTGCTGTGTATCTTTTCTGCTATCTCTTTTCACCTGCTATACAATTATATTTTAAGTCATATTTAAATTTAAATGTCAACGGTTGACTTGGCTCATATTACGCGTTGGAATTTTCGTTGATTACGGCTGGCACTCGATGTGCCGCAATGATGAAGATGGTGGTGTATTAACCTGATCACAACCTACGCGGCATACACACGTACCTACATATGTACATAGGTATGTATGTTCGAGTATGTATGTATGTACATATGTTGTATATGCAATATAACATACTATGTGTATGTATGTATGTACATACATACGCGAGCATAAACGAAAAACAACAGCGATATGGCGTTATCATCGTCAAGTTGTTTTCCGAACCCAACATGCTGCTAATTAGTACATAGATTCTTAACTCACTAACTAACCAGCCGAGGGCCGAGAGCATAACAGTTCCATTTTCGGTATATTTTGGGCTCACACGACACCTGCGGCTTGAGCTGCTGGCAATAAAAAGTTAACAACAAATTAACTTTGGCATAGGAATTCTAACAACAAATGGTCACAAAATAAACAAATAAATGATAGCATACTCATACGCACAATGATTTTGCAGATACAGTGGGAAACCCCTAAATTGGATTCCTCTGTGAAACAAGAGGAGGTGAACTTGAAAAATTGTCTATTGGTCGGGAAAAAATATTAATCTTCTCCATTTTATCTGGAATAAAGTAATTGGGGTAATTCAAAATATGTACTGCATCTATTTTTAATATACCTATGTATTTGTGTAAAATTTCAAAGGCCTTTTTTCATTACCAAATCATCCTAATTTTTTACTCCGAAGACTCAGAATCTTTAGAAAAAATAATTATGAATAGAAAGATCCGGTAGTAAAACGAAAAAAGTTAAAAAATGTTAAAATCAAATCCAAGTATTCAAAAAACATTTTCAACGAATATGCATGTAAGAAAATTCGCTCGGGTTAACACGTTATATAATCAATAATCAATACTCTAATACCCGAATTTAATAAAAGTGCTCATACTGATAAAAGTAATTCCCTTCTCTGTTCCATTTGATAAGCGAAATTGCCAATTAAAGCAGAAAAGGTAATTTTAAATGTGGTTGGTTGAGGGCTAGCTAAAGCTGTAGAAGAAGGATGAATTAAAAATAATATAAGCTACTAGATTACCGCTTTCTATCAGACAAGTCATTCGGATAGACAGAGAACCGATTCTTCTGATAATAAGTTTGGACAAATTATAGTCAGGGCAGCGTGTGCACAATAATAGACGTTGAAAAAGGCCTTAACTGATCTCTAAAGTAGTTAACAAATGTTCACATAAATCGCTTCGCCATTTCTTTTTTGTAATATTGTTGTTTCAAATGAAATGAAATTCCATTTCATATACATAGTGGTACTAAATTGGAAACCTAATCAAATCAAATTGAATCGAAATGGGATTAAGACCAATTCGTGAAATGGTATGCATCCGGTTGGGGATTTTCGGAATCATTTCTTTGAGATGGACTGCATTTATGAATGTACAAAATATTGAACGAAATAGACTACAAATAATAATAAAAGAATTCCATATTAGAAGCGAGTTTCTTTACAATGCTAGTTTTTAGTGGCACCCGAGAAATTTACCCAAAAAGACCCAAAGTGTTTTATTTGAAACTTTCCCAATTGAATTATGGCAGCCTTCAAATATAGGCTAATGTGATAAAGCTATTGGGCTTAAGCTTTGCTTTGAATTCATACGATGTATCGTACAAATGATTTATCGCTTAATGTCACAGCTGTTTGTAGTTAATAATGAAGTACATTTTATTATACCAACAAGAGTTCTTCATTATAAAGTTCAACTGTATGTTGTAGGTATAGTTAAGCACATGTCATCATCGTCGTCATCATCGTCATCATCATCAGTGACAGCTTCAACTGTTGCTGTTGGTGGTGAATGAAACATGACGGTATATTTCAGAGCTAACTGGCTGCCTTATGGGCCACGCGATCGAATCAATCGTACTGAGCCCGCTGCGAACCTTGGCAGACAGTGCTGAAATATATACTTGTATGTATGTATGTATAGTACATATATTTTGCGTATTTATCGGGTCGCCTTTCGTTCGTTGTTAACGCTCAGCGCATTCCGGTGCAGAACGCCGGCACGTCTGGTTGTTGTTGGTTGCGTTTCATTTGTATGAAGCGTAAAGTTGAGTAATATCGCGTAACCCGTAACTCGGTCTCTGGTTCACACGCTACCCACGCACATCAACTCATTGGAGTTGAAAAGCACAGAAATAACGCACAACTAGCTGCTAACTATTGGTATCAATAACACAAACAAACTCACAAACGAAGCCGCTAACCACAAAAACAAGAACAAAGCACCTACATACTTGTGAAGGTAGACGCTGGCAGAGACGTAGCGGCGACTTTTTTTTTGCTAGCTGGCTCTGAGTCTTGCCACCCAGGAATGAAAAGTTCGCTAATTGCTTTGTTTTCTCCTCCGTCTCTCTGCCTCTGTTGACTGATTGGGAAGTGCAGGCAGCCAAATGTAAACAACAACAACTACAACAAGAACAATAATCAAAAAATCAAATCAAAAAGCAGTCGCAACCGAAAAAAGTTTTCATTGTGAATTTTAGCTGTGCCGTGAAAGTTTCTAAACAAACGCAAGCCCCATCCAAACTGAACGAACGCGTGCACGTAAGTACAAAAAAAAAAAAAAATTGTGCAGAATTTGACATTGAGTGGCGACCCTCCTACTATAACAATACTAGTGTGATCATCATAATTATAATAATTGCAGCAAAATAATAATAAAGAAAAAGAAAAAAAAAAAAAAACAGCGACAAAATGTCCAACGTTAAAATCGTCGAATCGAAACTAGATCTATTCCAAGCCCCGCAGAGCTATGCGCTTGCCCATGCCGTTGAGTCATCGTTCAGCGCGGCGAGGGGAACACTGGCCTGGCAGTTCTCGCTCATCTTTGGCGATGTGGAGGAGCTGCGGCAGCGGCGGGTGACGCGCGGTAACTGCGCCGTGCTCGAGCACAATTCCCGCTTCGTCTACTATCTGGTGACAAAAGAGAATCTCTATGCGACGAGCACTTATGACGATGTTCAGGCCGCCTTGATTTGTATGCGCGAGCATATGGTGAGTTGGCGACGCACATTTATTCTTAATTAACTGTTAAATTACCGTTAATTTATTTGTTTTGTTTTCCTGTTTATTTGTGTGTGTGCGTGTGCAGCGCAATCATGAAATCAACAAAGTGGCCATGCCACGCATCTGTTGCGGCACAGACGGCCTGGAATGGAAGCAAGTAAAGCGCATCATACAACAAATTTTCGCACACATCGACTATAATGTGGAGATTCTTGTGTGTGAGCACACCGATGTGGAGGTGGGTATATTTTTAACTACATCTTTATGTTTAAACGTCATTGGATTCATTAATAATGCCATTTAAATAATCATTAACTTTATTGGGTCATAAAATGTTAAGTAAAGTTGTAACTTTTCAACAATTTAACATTTATATTGCTGCAAAATGTTATAGTCCGGCCACAAATATAATATCCCTTGCCTCATGTTTGTCGAAAAACTCATAAAAGCAGTACTATAGGAATATTTACAACAATCTGACCGGCAGCTTAATATCAATTTATTTTAATATTCTTTTATTCTCAAATTAAAAAGCATAAAATGATTCTAGTTGTATAAAGTTATTCTAGTCGTTGAATAACTTCAAAAATGGGCTGTTTTTACACAAGAACTAATTTTATTTGTATGCTGAAGAATTTTTCTTTAATGAATGCAAGCAAAAGACAAAATTTTAGCAAAAGTAAGACGAGTAATTCTGGGAAGAATTAGAATTAGATTGTTTTTTAATTTAAGAATAAAAGAATATTAATCGCGAAATATAAGGTTACAAGTGTTCCTAAACGAAGTTCTAAAACTAAAATACAGCGATCCAACAATAAAAAGAGATATCTTATATTTTTTGAGGTGAACCGATATAGTAGCAAAATTAATAATAAAAACAATTACTATATTATCAAAGAAATTCCCTTATTTCTATGATATGGAAAGGGATTCCTTGTTATTGTTTTTGTACTACCATATCAACGGACTATCATCCAGTAGGACTTAATGTTTAAACGTTTTCTCAAACCCATTCTAATCTATGTTGTGAATGATCCAGTAACAGCCCTTTTTTTAAACCAATATTTGATTAATTTGTGAAGAGTATTTCATAGATACATTTATACTTTTCTTGCAGCTCCACTCGGCCAAATGTCAAATAACCGAAGCGAAAGGCAATCTATTCAGCGCCCCGGACAACTTTGCGTTGGTGCATTCCGTTAGCGCCGACTTCGCGATGTGCAGTGGCATTAATTTGCAATTCAAATGCAAGTTCGGACAGGTTGACGAGCTTAAGAAGCAGAACAGGCACATCGGCAACGTGGCTGTGTTGGAGCAGGACGGACGATACATTTACAATCTGGTAACTAAGGAGCGATCGCACGAGAAATGCACATATACGGCACTGTATTATGCGCTCTTGGCGATGCGCGAGCATATGGTATGTAGTGGCCTTGACTCATATTACCAGATATTTGTGCGATGTGACTGGCCTTCGTTTATTGCAGCACGAACATAATGTCAATAAATTGGCCATTCCGCGCTTGGGTTGTGGCATTGACCGCTTGGATTGGCTGCGCGTGCGCAGCTTGCTGGAACTGGTCTTTGCCGAGGACAGTGTGGATATTATTGCTTTCTTTTACGAGCCACCAAGTCTGGTGCAGGACACCATCAAGATCACCTGTCCGACCTGTCATAACATGAAGGTCATGCGAATTCCACGCAGTACGCACTCATCGCGACTGTCTCTGTACAAGGAGAAGAGTCCCTTCTAAATGTGATGGAAAAAGTGGAGGGACTGGGAAGAACTCTTCGTATTTTATATTATTTAATTTATCTATTTAACGTATTTAACACTCGAAATTCTATGCGACACCGTTGCACCACGGCTTACAAGTGACAGCGATGTGTGTGGCAGGACTGGCGTGAAATTTTGTGGCTGGATAATGCACGAAATGCACCTTTACTTATATAGCTTATAAAGCATTATACATATATTAGTTCTTTTTCTTTTTTGCAAAGAAAATATATTTTCTATGGGGGACAGTTTTTATATGTGTAACAATAAAAGACATGCCACAAGTGGCAATAACCAAACAACTTGAAGTTTTTATAAGGGAAGATCCCGTCTGATCCAATTCTTGCTTATAGTTATAGGAGCCATGCAATCAACAAACAAATTTCAAATTCGAAGCTGTCTGAATATTGAAGACTGAAATTAGTTACAAAACTAAATACCTACACCTAAACGAAACAATTATGTACTCTCCTAAACTTCTAGAGCTCCGTCAAGCATTTCGTCGCGCATTTGTGATTGGCATGGCAGGCAGCTACAACCTACAGGAGGTCGAGGGCGATCTCTTCTCGGCGCCCAAGACACACTCTCTGGCTCATTGCGTGGGTGCCGATTTGGCCATGGGCGCTGGCATAGCAGTCAAGTTCAAGGAGGTCTATGGCAAGGTGGACGAGTTGCGCGCCCAAAATGTGAGCAGTGGAGGCGTGGCAGTACTGCAGGATGACAAACGTTACATCTACTATTTAGTCACAAAGCCACAAAGTTGGGGCAAACCTACATACGAATCTCTACAAGCATCGTTGGAACAGATGCGCGAGCATATGGTAAGTTGATTTCATTTAGTAACACAAATAAAGTTATCGTTTCCAATCGCAGCGCGAGAATGGCATTAATCAATTGGCTATACCCCGCATAGGCTGCGGCATCGATGGCTTGGAATGGGACAAAGTCAATGCGGTACTGGAGGAAGTATTTGGCAAAGAACAGTTGGAGATTGTGGTTTATAACTTTGTGCCACCAACGCAGGCCAAGTAGTACGACTGATAAAAACTCAAAATTACTTACATTTTGATTGCCAATTTTATTTTTGTGCCACTGGTACATAATTATAGACAACTAGTTCAACAGCATCTGCTTCAAAAATGTCAACAAGCATGTCTTTTACTTTGGGCCAGGCCAGACCATCGAGGCCGCATCCAATACGTGGCAGTGCCAATTTAGTAACACGATGTGCGAGCTGAAATAGTTAAATTAAATCATATGTGCATATATGTATATATTCGTTAGAAACTATAAATACAAGCTCACCATATGCTGGCGCATGGCACTTAAGGAGCTGTGCAAGAGCTGATAGGTGGGCTTTCCCCAGCTGCTCTGTTTGGTAACCAGATTATAGATGTAGCGTTGCTGATGCTGCAAAATAGCCACACCACCTGGTTGAACATTTTGTTTCTGCAGCTGCGCCAGTTGGCCAAACTTGTTGCTGCAATAAGAATTGTGAGAAACTTAAAACACGCCTATTTGAAAAAAAAATCAATACACACACATACCGGAATTTTACAGCTATTCCTTTGCCCATACGCATATCAGCGGCCACGCAATGGCACATGGAAAATGCATCACTGGCGCTAAATAAATCACCTTCAATCTCCTTTAAGCTGAAAGTTGTCATTTTACAAGCTGACAACAACTATAAAATGTTTTAAATTTGAATGTTTAGTCAGCATAAACAACAGAAAATTCGTTTTGAACACAGAACAATTAACGCGCGGTGCACGTAAACAGGAGAATGGCAAAAGAAGGGACTGGCGTTCTCGGTCAGCTGTCAGCCCTGCTACAGTGCTGGACAATTGGTAAGACATTTAGTGTTGCATATTGCACGAACGTCAAACACAACATAGAACATATGATTAGGATTTACAAGATTTGCAGTTATGCTTGTTTATAGCTGTATTTGTATTCCTCTGTTTCCTAATGAGTTTTATTTTCAAATTTCTCGGTGCACTTGTCCGTAAAATGCTGGAGTTACTGCAGTTCGGAGGCAAAACCCTAACACACACGATAAGTATTTATGTGAAAACAAATACAGGGCGCACGTTGTCGGTCAATTTAGAGCCTCAATGGGACATAAAAAATGTCAAAGAACTCGTAGCTCCACAGCTGGGACTGCAACCAGATGAGGTGAAGATTATATTTGCTGGCAAAGAGCTGAGCGATGCCACAACAATTGAGGTAATAGGCCGTTTTAGTTATATTGGAATCATTATATAATTGCTTTGCTCTCCAGTAGGAATGCGACTTGGGCCAGCAGAGTGTAATTCATGCGATACGCACACGTCCCAATGCGCAACGACAGCGAGTACAGTCGACGCTGGAGGAGGAGGAAGCGCCTCCACAGAACATGGTCATGGCTGCAGAGGAGCCTTCAAAGCCGCTAAATGAGACATTGCTTGACTTGCAGCTGGAAAGCGAGGAGCGTATAAACATTAGCGATGAAGGTGCGATAATTGTTAGGTTTAGAGTTTCCTTGTTTTATTTGGATGCTGATTTATTTTAGAACGTGTACGTGCCAAGGCTCATTTCTTTGTCTACTGCACCCAATGCGATAAATTGTGTAAAGGAAAGTTGCGGGTGCGTTGTGCGCTCTGTAAAGGTGGCGCCTTCACTGTGCACCGCGATCCCGAGTGCTGGGATGATGTTTTAAAGTCACGCCGTATACGCGGTCATTGTGAGAGCTTGGAAATTGCCTGTGTGGATAATGCGGCAGGTGATCCGCCCTTCGCCGAGTTCTATTTTAAGTGTGCAGAGCATGTTTCGGGCGGTGAAAAGGATTTTGCTGTGCCACTAAACCTAATCAAGAACAATATCAAGGATGTGCCATGTTTGGCGTGCACAGATGTTAGGTTGGTGGCGACAGTAAAGGTCATTAGAAACATATAATCAAGTTTTCGTTGGCAGTGATACGGTGCTGGTCTTCCCTTGCGCCTCGCAGCACGTCACCTGCATTGATTGTTTTCAACATTATTGTCGCTCTCGCCTGAACGAGCGCCAGTTTATGCCCCATCCGGACTATGGCTATACACTGCCTTGCCCTGCGGGCTGTGAACATTCTTTCATCGAAGAGATACATCACTTCAAGCTGCTGACGCGTGAGGAATACGACCGCTATCAACGATTTGCTACCGAGGAGTTTGTGTTGCAGGCAGGCGGTGTGCTCTGCCCCCAGCCAGGCTGTGGCATGGGCCTGCTGGTTGAGCCCGAGTGCAATAAAGTGACTTGCCAGAATGGCTGTGGCTATGTGTTCTGTCGCAACTGCTTACAAGGCTATCACATTGGTGAGTGCCTGCCCAATGGAGCGAGTGACAGCACACAGAATTCATGTGAATACACTGTCGATCCCAATGTGAGTGATGGGTTTTATACAGTATAAGCTTTTACATTAATTGCATATATTGAATATTGTAGCGAGCTGCTGAGGCCCGTTGGGAGGAGGCGAGTAATGTCACCATCAAGGTATCCACAAAACCCTGCCCCAAATGCCGCACGCCCACGGAACGCGATGGTCTGTTGTTGGCATTTAAACCCTCAAAACATATTAAAGATTTTTTTATCCACAGGTGGCTGCATGCATATGGTCTGTACACGTGCCGGGTGCGGGTTCGAATGGTGTTGGGTTTGCCAGACTGAGTGGACGCGCGACTGCATGGGTGCTCATTGGTTTGGTTAGCGTTAATACAAAATGTCTTCTTTCGACTATTATTATTGTTGACTTATTGTAAAAAAAATGGTATGTTTTTAAGGCTGTCTAACTGAAAACATACATAAATATATATTTGGTTAATATTACCTATTAAATCAGAAATTCCAGTACTTTTCTATTATTGATACAATTTACAACGCACAGTAATTTGCACTTTTTATGTTTCCTTGAAATACAATACATATACAGATTTTAACAAACGATTAAGTTAATCGGCTTACAATATTTTTTCTTTTCTTAATGTATGGTTTTTCTACAAATTTGTAGATTTTTCGAAGTCTTCGACAGGGCGTTTTTTGTTTGTTATAACTCATTTTTCCAGGAAAATCGAATTAAAAATTTTAAAATATATTTTAAGAAACTATAAAAATACATATTATATTTTCCATCAGGTGAAACAAAATATTTTTTATTAAAACATTCATATTTGTACCAGAAATAACAAAACTATCAACAAAATTTAAAAAATTATATTTGTTGATCAAAGGATACCCATAAAAATATAAGATAATTTATTTATTCAACTGAAATATGATGGGAAAAGGTCTGCCCGAGCACCCTGTATCTTGTCTACACAATCAATAACAACCAACACCCTTGACGCTTATCATCCTGCCCATCCTACCCCACTACAGTTGCGCCAACGCCACGGCACGCCATTGCGTGCGCACGCTTTGTTTACGTTTTTTTTGCTTCTGCTTCTTCTTCATGTTCTTCCAAATACCAAGTCCCGTGTGTGTGTGTGTTCAATATTCCGAGGGTATTCCGCTTACTGCCAGAAATATGCAAAACCACACAGCACGTGCAAGCAACAAAATGGCGCCTGCGCGTTCTACATTCAACGCTCTCCCAGATTTTCAATCAATATTAATGGAGCGTCTGCTGGCCGTCTCTGTGTCTGCTTACATGTGCGGATGTAGATGTGTGCGTGTGTTTTGCTGTTTACGTTTCCGGTTTGAGCGTGCAACTTTGTTAGCTTGCTTGTGCTAGCTTATCGGTCATCACATACTTGTATGTATGTATGCGAATATAATGATGACAAGTTCACTGACCAATTATGAAGGTAAATATTTAAAGCCGGCTTTCTACTTGGAGTATATTTTGATTATGGGGTTTTCTTCTTCTTCGCTGAAAAGTATGCTATAATTTTGTTTAATGCAAATATTTGGCCAAACATCAATAAAGGGAGCCAACGCATACTCACAAAAACGGCACGCTTAGGAAAATGATTTGACGCGCCATGAATGCCACCATCGCAATTATGCCTGCCTCGCTGCGCACTCTCTCCGACTCATTAGCTTAGGCGGTTCTTGGCGGTTGTAACGCTCCAGTTTTTTCTTGCCTAACTTCGCTCTGTTTTTGTTTGGTTTCTGTTTTGTGCTCTAATTCGTAAGCAAAGTAAGTGAATGTTTCAAAATGACGTGCGAATGCAATTTGTAGAAACGTGCGCTGCTCTCTAGCTCTCTCTCTCTCTCTATGGCTACTCTCAGGGAAAGCTTGCGCTCCCTTCATTGTCGTTGTCGTTCTTGGTAGCGCGTGTGGGCAGCTTGCCCATCAAATCGGGTCACATAGCTTGCTTGTTGGGTTCCCAGTGCAGCGAAGCAGCAGCAGCACCGTTTTTTTTTTTACTTTTGTGTTCCTTTCGATGGGCAACCCAACGACAAGCGTCGTCGACGCTTTTTCTGTTTTGTTGCTGTCGCTACTGCTGCTGCTGCTGCTGCCACTGTTGCTGTCGGTTGTATAAATGGATGCGCACTAGCGTATCGCATTTCAGTCTACGTTGGACTTTTGCGCGCTTCACATGGCGTATACGCAACGCATAGCGAATCGTGCGTTTATCACTACTTGCCAACGAGTGTGTTAGTGTGCTCGCACGTATGTGAGAGTTGCCGCTTTCGGCAAAGTTCCGCAGCAGCAGCACCGCAAGTGTTGGATTTTAAACAGCATTTTTACAGTTTGATCATTTTTGGCCGCGCGAGCTCGCTCTTCGATTTTTACACATTCGCGCGCGAGTGTTTGTGTGTCGGTGTGCTTCTCTCTGTGTGTGTGTGTGTGCAAGGACTAGCGTCTGTACCTTGCCATTGTGAATAGAATTGATAACTTCGATAACGGAACTTGAATTGCCAAATTTTAAGAAAACAAAAAAGTACTCAAACGATTTAAGATTCACACAAAAACAATTTTTGTTGCGATACATAATAAAGAAAAACCACACCTTACAACAAATCAAAAATTTAATAATTTAGTGGACTAGAAAAGACCAGGATATTAAAAAATTTAAAAGGTAAGACAATATTTAAGCGTATAAAAATGTGCGAGTAATAATAAAAATTAATTCATTAAAAACACTACAAAAAAAAGACAAACTCAATTCTCGCCTGATCTTAGGAAATTTTAAAATGTTGATTGATTTTTTATCATAAGTATTAGAATTAATATTTCTTCAATGTATTGAACAGAAGCATTTCTCTATATATTTAAGATATAAAATATGATTTTTAAATAATAATTTTGAGACTGAATTGAATACATATTAAAAAAAAAGAAGAATCAATGTTTGTATACCGGAACAGTTTCTGATGGTTTAAGCAGACAAATTAACCATCCAAACAAGATACAGAAGCTAAAATTAATAACCTATTTTGGAAAAACATTTTCAATAAATTTAATCATAATTTCAAACGGACACAATATTTCTTTGCGTTTCCATTATTAATTCAAAAATATTAGTCACGCGTATTTTCCACTTATTAAAAAGTTCCCAAAAGCCCGGCCATGCATTAAAAATTAATATTAAAAAGAACTGCAGCATACATTGAAGTACTCTGTACACATACTAATATTTGGGTATGGATATGTGTGCGTGTGTGCGTGCTTGTAATCTCAAGCATTGTGCATACGCACCGTATGACGACGGCCTGTGATGATTATGTATAAACACACAGCAAGCGCCGAGAGTAGTGAAGTAGCAGCAGCAAAAAATATAATAATAATAATAATAATAACTGAAACTTGAATCCAGAGCGGCAAAAAAAGCTGAAAACTGCTTAATGAAAAAAAGTGCGAGCAACATACGACGCCGAGCACTTGGAAAGCTGGCAGGTCTGGCTGCCTGCCTGCCTGCATGCCTCTAGCTGCGTTCGCTGGCTTTTGGACTCGGCTCGGCTGCTGTTTTTATTGATTTATATACGTTACACTAGCTGCCTGCCTGGTTCACAGTTGCTGTTGTCGCACTGTCCCAAAACCGTACACACTTACACATGGGGAACGAGGCGCGCGCATTGGTAGTCAGGCAGTCAGGCAGGCGTGTACACGCAGCATCGCCATTTTCCTCCTCCACAGTCATAGTCATCCATCCACTTTCCCACTTCCGTTTCCTGCTGCTACTGCACGCCGTTTGCTGTTGTTCACTTGCACTCTTGCCATCGCAGGGGGCGGGTGGGGGGCTGTGCGGATGAGGCGGTGTCAGAAAAAAAGAGCGGGCTGTGATGCTGAGATGCCTCCTCCAATTGCAGTGGCGGCGCGTCTTATTTGAGGCTCATCAGCGTACGCCCGCTTTCATTTACGGTTTATTTCTTTGCCAGTTTCTGATTGCGGCACACACACAATAACAACAACACCATGAGTAAAAAAACAACAACAACAACCCTTTCCCATGCCAGCATGCACAGTTAGTTGGGCGAAAAAGCTCGCTCGCAAATTTTTCATCTCTCTGCCGGTCAACATGACTTGTTTACTCTCTATGTCTCACTCTCTTTCACTCTCTCGCTCTCACGCTCACTGGCGCAGCTCCTTGTGCGCTCATTCCAACGCTTGTTTACATTGATTATGTTATCCACAGTGCCGTGTTTGTCTTTGCTAATAGAGTTGTGAGTATGGGTGTGGGTGTGGGTGCGGGTGTGAGTGTCTGTCGCTAGTCGGCTGTCTCCGCCTTCCTTCACTCTCTACTTGGACTTGCTAATTTTGTGCGGCAAACAGCAGGACGTCGTCATCGCCATAATCATCGTCATCGTCAACGTCAGGAGCAGTGACAGAAGCAGCAGCAGCAGCAGCAGCAGCAGCCACACAACAGTTACAGTTACAGTTACAAGCCAGCTTTTGACCGGTTAGCTTCAATCAATAAACTTTCACATATTCATCAACTTTTACTGTGCATGAGTATACTCGTACGGGTATAGGAGAGGCCCCACTTCAGTGGCGTTCAATTATTGTCATTATTTTGTTTTCCACAGTTTTGTTTTCAGTCATTCGCAAAATTTATTAATCAATAAACGCACACGTCAACCACAAACTTACACACCCATACACACAAACTTGTACACCCACGCAGACACCTTGGGTACCCCTGCATCTCTATGCAAGAGGGGAACAGGGATGGATGTGGGTTTGGAACCAAGCTTTATTTTTTGATAAAGTATTAGAGAAGTCACGAATTATGGATATATATTTTGAATCAGCTAAGAAGTCAGGCAGGGGGATTGATATGCACTTTAACAGCAATTTTTGAATGCCCTAAAAATACAGTTCAATCAAAAAGAAAAACAAATTTTTAAAATCAAATCCGTTCAATATAAAATAAGAGTTTTATTTAAAGGTTTTCTGAGCTACACTTCAATCTCAAACCAGAAAATGAAACAATCTACAGAAAATTGATTAACTGATGGTCTACTATTCTCTTTTCTGGGTGTGTTACAAACCAACACACCAAAAAAAAACCACGTTAAATAAACATAAATCGTGTATCTTAATTAAAGAATATTGTAAATTTTCTAAAGTATTTCTGTATAAATATTGTAGTTCTAATTATGAATATATTATATACTTTTCCAAAAAAAAAAAAAAAAAAAACCCCTCTATATAAACATCACACATGATGATATTGTTGTACTGTCATTAAAATCCCTAGCCATTAACATGCAAGTTTAAAGATAATAAGGTTTTCTAATTAAGCACTTAGAATGGGTTATAGATTTAGACTGAGTATATTGTTTTTGTAGTAGTACTAGGCATTATTTTTAGAACATCCACAAATTGGCGCTTCATAATTTTTCTTCCTATAATCAATAATAAGTATTGCTCTCATTCAATTTGAATTTCTTTATACAATATAGTATTGAACGGTCTCTCAACCCGCTACTTGCTGATAGTTAACATTATTCCTCTAGAGTTGATATTGAAATGTAATTGTTATTTCATAAAGTTCGCACCACATTTAATAGAATGCCAATAACATTCATAATTATTCCAAAGTGTTTAAAGTTTGAAAGTTTCTTCTACTCTCGCTACTGTTTGTGGCATCTACTAATGCCTGCTTTCTTGTGTGAGGGTGTGTTCGATCTGTGTGTGCTCGTGCAAATTTGTGGCTCATTAACGGTTTCCGTTTGAAAACCTCAAAATGCTTGTGGCTTCTGTTGCATGCGGCGTCTGTTGCAAGGGGCTCGATAAGGTCCTCTTGGCTCACACACAGTTCGCCTGTTTTTGAGTGCAAAACAAACAACATTTTGCGCATGGCAGTGCAGCCCACATAGACCCATGCCCCCTCCTCCCCGCCACACACACAATCAGAAACACACACACACACACATACACTTCGCTATCTATCATTGATGGTGTGACGTTGCTGGGCATCTTTGTTAGCCACACATTCAAGTGCAGCCACATTTCTGCATGATAATGCTGTGGCTGCATATTTGGCCAGTTTGGCATGTTGTGATTATTTATGTGTGTGTGTGTGTGTGTGTGTGTATGTGTTGTACGAGTGGTATGTGTGGCATGTGTGTGCGTGTCATTAACATGCGAAAATGGTTTGATTTCACATTGCGGTCACCTCTCCCGTGACCTGAGGCTGACTGGGCTCCTTTATGGTTTGTTAGAAGTGCATTTCACGTGTATCCTTAAATAGATTGACTTTAATGAGAGTTAGTGGAGAGGAAGTAATAATAAAACATTTCCACCTGCATTACAGTGAAAATTGCCTAAGCAAGACACATATTGTTAATGCCCTCAAAATGCTGCCTTCCGTTTCAAATGCAATGGAAGTAACAGTCTGTGTTTAGTCTCAGAATTATTTATTTTCATCATCTTATTTGAAAATGCTTTTATTTTTGAAATATAATAAATTACTATTTATTAGCAAATGAGCTCTAATTGTTGGTTTAATCTATTTTAAAATGTATTGTTTTATCTTGTTTTGAGCAGCAACTCGATAAAGTGATCTCACGGTGATTGATTGTGATTGAATTGAATCTTTTATAATTAATATAAAAGATCAAGATTGAACTAGAAATAAAACAGCAACAGAAATAGGTTTATTCAGATGGTCTGTTTTCTTTCTTACATTTATATTCGGATGTACCCAGGACAAGAAACCACAGAGAATTGCTGCAAATAAACTCAATTTTCAAGATCGTTTTTTTGTGGAAGACAAAAATATTCCTTTCTTTCATTCCTTCCTTCAATTTTCAATTACCCTAATACGTCTTTTTTTAGAATTTATTTTTGCTTTCAAATCAGGTTTCAAATCAGTATTTCTAATTTAAAAGCGGGTTTTAACTGAATATATATTGCTGATATTAACTTTGAAAGTTATAGTAACGTACAAGTATTATATCCATTAGTCCATCTGCTTATAAAAAAGCTATGCTACAAATTAATTTCGATTTGATTTCTCCAACAAAGGGCTATATTAAAGCGCTCGAACGGAACTTAAAATGGGTCCGAGTATGAGGAGTACGAGAATGTAAATACATCTATAAAAATACCATACATACACTACGCGACAACCGATTAGCACACTCTAAGCTTCTTGTTTTAAAGCTTAATATCAGCTTATCCAATAAAGTTTTTAAAATAAACTTTTTAGCTAATAAAAGTTCATTAAATTATACACTAGAAAATGCCATAGTTATTGTATTAGCTTTATAAATAATATTTTAATGGAATTTTTACATGTATGTATACTATATGGAAGTCTTTGAGAATGGTGGAGAAAACACTTTAAATAGCTTCAACATCCCTTTAGCGTTTTTCTTTCATCATTTAGCGCATTCAATAATTTTACTACACATTTTATACTACGCCTACTTTTGCAATAATTTATTTGTAGCTTACAGGCAATGCACAACAGCTTCTCTTAATCAATATCCCAAAGATTTAGGGTCATTGACACGATGGTAATTAGACTGAGTAATTTGAATTAATTACAACGCAATTGCAATGTTTCCCAAATAAATGTAAATGATTTAAGCATTCATCCACAATACAACCAACAATTTAACTGGTGGCTGGGTTTGTCAATCAAGTGCCTTAAAACTAGTATTAGCTTCCCTTATGTATACAAAATGAGCCTTCAATCCTGATGCTTAATGCCGACAAACGTTAATTGAATTTGCTCACAATGCACCAATCTTTGTGTTTGTATTTGAAGGAGTATGTGTGTGCGGGTGTCTGTGTGTGTGTGTCTAGGAAACTGTTTATTGCTAGTCTGCTTTGTCTATCCATCCATGCCATCTCTAGACACATTGCAATCAAATATTCAAGCATTTAAGTGCAGCATAATAGAAAGTTCAAATACGAAATGTCAATTGAGTATTAGCCCCCGTCTTCGATTTTGCCTTTTTATAGGAGAAGCCCAAAGCTGGCCAATGCTTGGGCCACAATATTGTGCAGTCGCCCATTGATAATATACGTGTACATACATACTATACATACATATATATACATATATACAGCTATTTTCAATGACTTCTCTTTGCCTTCTGTTTGTATGCCTTGCAGGATAAAAGGAAGCAGGCAAAAAATCTGGAAAAGAAAACTGCAAGTGTGGCGAAAATTGATTCAAGCTTATAAACGGCTACGACTGGCCATTGGAATTATATATATGGTCAGTGGGTGTAGACAAGCCCCAAAGCCAGACAACGACGACGCAAGGACGAAGCCATTTCTCTGAAAAAAGGATTTCCAACAACACCAACAACAAAAAGGCCGTCAAGCAAATTCCTAGTCAACGTACACACGAAAAAAGGAGAGGAGAGGAGAGGAGAGTTGAGCAACAACAAAAAGGAAAGAAAGAAAAAAATCAATAATAGACACATGTAAGCGGATACTCTGTTGGGTCCGGCACGACCAACAATATGTTTGGGCAACAACAACAACAACAACAACTACTACAGCAAAAGCAGAAGCAACACAAACAACGACAATGTGGCTAAAAGCTACTGCGAAGCCAGCGCGTGCCTGCAAATAGTGTCCTTAGGTGCAGCTCTAGTAAAGTCCTAAGGGAGTCCTTTGCCCGCAGAGAAGCAGCCTTGGAGCATTGTTGGAGCTCAGCTGACCATGGCGGACAGATACGCCACCTCGGCCGGCTACTACGAACGCCAACAGCAGGCGGCCAGCGGTCTGCCGCACAATTCATTTGCAGCAGCTCAGCCCTATCGATCGTATGGCGGCTATAGTCCAGCCCCTGGCTATGGGTATGCACACTACGGGCAGGCCCCGTCGGCGTATATGCACGGCTATTATGGCGCCCAGTTTGAGAGTAACGCGTATAGACGCTATGCTTCCTATGCCTCGCCCCATTACAGCCAACAGATGCCGCCCGCGCACTCCGCACATCAATCACCGGGTCTCTTCACCCCCGCCGGCCAACAACTGATACCTTCAAGTGTGCTGCACTATCCACCCAGGCAGCCACCCTATCAGCCATCACAGCCATCCTCGCATGCCAGCTATGCTAGCGCAGCTGAGCAGCAGCTGCCCCACCACTCCGTCTCAGCCTACAACGCTTCCTCGCACTTTGCGCATGCGCAGGCGCGTGCAGCAGCCGCTGCCGCTTACCAGGCTAGTGCAGCCGCTGCCGCTGCTGCTGCGGCCGCCTCCTCCTACTCGAGCACACCCATGCCCTACACATCGAGCGGCGCGCCGCTGCCGCCACAACGCTCTTCTACACCAGCGCCCAATCGCACAGTCTTGCCGCCCAATTTTCTCGAGCCTTTGCGCAACTATGCCGAGCAACTAAACGCGTCCAGTCTGCGCAGCAAGCTCGACGAGCCGCCAGATTGCGGCCGCAGTCAGGACTTAGAGTCCGATATAGCTAGTTCTGGTGCTTCGGCTGCTCCTGCAGCTGCAGCTGGTGCTGGCGCTGGTGCCTCACCCCAACGATTGACCACTTCCCCACCGCTCATAAGTGCCACTGGAACGGACAGCGGCATCAGTAATTGCAGCACTCGAGCGAGAAGCGACAGCAGTCAGAGCACACCCGTCTATAGCAGCGAATATCCCGTCAATATGTCCGTCGAGTCGGCTTCGTGCGTCTCTTATCATTGTCCCGGTGATGGCAAGGACTATGAGGAGGAACAGCCGCGTGGCGCAGATAATGCGGAATTGGAGCCATTGGGCTGCGATATCAACGTGAAATCGGAGACGATTTCAACTGGTAAGTTAAACATTTTAAACAATCTTAACAGTTGTCGGCCATTTTGCTTCACACTCTATTTAATTCGCAATTATGCGCGACAATTTCAAATTTATGCAAACATATGTCAAACGGGATTATGTAAGACATATAAATGCACTCTAGGCGAGAGGCTCACCGAACCCAAGTACCCCCACAGTGGGGCGAAAATGTCCAATAAAGAGGTAATAAATCTCCAAAGACATACGAGTATTATATTTGAAAAGGCAAGCAAAAAAAATATCAAATGAGCTAAATGTATAAAAAGAGTTTTCCTTTAAAAATTATAAAAGTTCAATAAGTTGAAAATAGATCAAGGCATTATCTAAATTGTTCTTCAACTTCAAAGAGTTCAATTCGAAATGTCGCAAGAAGTTTGAGTAATAGATACTCAAGCGGTTTGTATAACCAGATTTTTATTCCTACACTCTACAGTTTAACCTATTAAAGGTATACCTACAAGTATTTGCTTAAGCAATTCAGGATGAACAATTTTCATTAAATAAAAAGAATTTTCTAAATATTAATCAAACTTAAACATTAAACAAATAATAACAAAATATTTGTGTACTTCGAGATTTTTTATTCCTGCTAATTGTGTCTTCTATAAAATTGTACAATATGGTTAAACGTGTTTGTTTTTTCGCTCAATAATTAATGTCTAAATAAATGTATCTAGTTCTTGTTTATAGTGGCATAATAGGCTTTTCACTTCCTAGAATGCTTCAAAAAAATAATTGCTCGCACCACAGTTTCGTTGGGCAATAGCAGACATAGATTTGTATGTTTTTTAGAAACCATTTCATTCTATTACGAACCACTGTGCCCGCTGCGCCCCACGCAGCGTATGCTTGATTTCCAATGCAAATTAATGCAAAAACTGTCCATTTGCGTTGCCAACATCATCGTTGACGTCGTTGTAGTCGCTGTCATTGTCGTTGTCGCCTCCGCCGTTGCCGTAGCCGTTGCCGCCTGACAGCGATGCCTGTCAGATTTTGCAGCTACTTTCATGCCTTTCAGCACAGCCACACCCCTAAAGCCCCTAAGGCCCCGAAGCCTACCTTGGCGTCTTGTTTTTTCTGCCAACACTCCACCAATCACCGTTGCTGGTTAGCTGCTGAAATACTTCCGTTTCCTGTCAGCTTGACTTTGCGCAGGCAAATCGGGCGTGACGACGACGTCATAACGCTTTAAAAGACTTCAAAATTAGCTGTCTATTTATACTACACGCAATGCCTCAATGCCTGAACGATGGAATGCCTGAATGGACGATGGATCTGCAGCCTATGCCGGCTCTGATGAGACGCTATTAATTTTTCGTGTGTTTTTTGGGTGACGCTGGTGACGTTGTATCCCCATGTGCAAATCAATAAGTTACCTTTTGACGTCGCACACACACTCACACACATACACACACACACACAGCACACATTAGAGAGCTTGTCATACAGTAGCCGTTTGAAAGGTGTGAAGTGAGCGCGGGAGCGTTGAAGAGGCCTGCACACAAATACAAATACAAACACATGCACACTCACATGACAGCTTTTCTAAATATTTTGTAATGTAAACGTACATGAAGGCGCTGTCGTTATCAATGGGTGGCAAGCAAACATTCACACACACACACAAATAGCATATGTAGATGTGTGTGTGTGTATATTCATTACGCTTTGGGGGTGTGCGTGTATAATGTCATCACAGCCAGGCATGTAAATGAACTTTACAGCAAAATGTAACCCGACATGCTCGCACAAGCGGTGGTTGCAACAGCAAAAATCAATGGTCCTCATGAGTGGTCGCACAGCTAGGCAGACCGATGTATAAGGGGGATGTACCACTGATCGAAGGGGCATTGCACAAGGCTACAAATCGATTGCCACATCGATCGATGCTAAAGTAAAACTAAACATGCTGCAATATCTATTTAAAAGAGCAACATTATAAAATAGATTTGTTAAGAGGCAATCAGTTTGAGAGCTCAAAATATTAATTTTATACTTATACTAAAAAACCTTAAACATTTCATTGAAGTTGCTATTATCTTGTTGAAGTGAATATATTAGGCTCATTGCAATAAACTTTGACATGTGGAACTAACTTTTATATGTCCTGGCCTTTTTTCTTGAGTTCATGTGCCCTGATCTGAAAAATGTCATTGAGTTATTTTCTCACTCTATTTCTCAATATAATTTAAAAGTGGCGATGGCTATAACCTGGTGCGTCTATGTAAGACGGCAGGAGGTGTTATGGTGTATAAAGCATTATCTTATTATGGCACATGCTAGCACCAATTTTATCAAAGACAATGAATGCAAAGGGATATTTCCATGCTTTCCATGCTCGTTAAATAATATTTAGAGAACCAAAAATTAAATTTGTACAGTTTCATTATCAACAATTTTTGATCCTGGACAACAATACTCAACCACATTAGACCTCATCCATGTCAGCAAAGCCGCTTGAAGTTTCGTTTCGCCGCCTAACAATTGTTTGACTTAATTCCAAACAGGATCCGTAAGATAGTGGTTTAAAAAAGGGATTCCATAAGTGGCTCATTGCAGCATTAAACATTTTCAATTTTAAATTTTCTTTCACTTGATCGTTATTATTCATCTCAAAAGTTTAATTTTACATATTCCAGATTTGAAAAGCATAATTTCTACGATATATTTCGACCAAAATACGCTTCAAAGGACAAATACATTTAAATAAAAGCGAAGCACAGCAATCAGATTGAGGAATAACACCTCTATATCAAGCCATCAGCAGCAGGAAAATAAAACTTTTCACTTCACAAATATTACGGTAGCAGTAAAGTTTTAATTACTTTACGAAAAGCGAAAATGCTATTCAATTAATTTCTATTTACTTTTTCACGCTAGGCAATCAATCAGTGCGCCAACACGTCAATCACAAGTTTTCCATGAAAAAAACGAAACAGAAATGGGAAAAAACTGCAGTCCGGGTATTTCCTCAATATTGTAAGCTTGATGCCATAGCATTGCATGTCTTGCCAATTCGTAAACATTGCAAGGGCCGCATGCGCGTTGTTTGCTATGGAGCAGCGCAAAAAAGTATGCTATGATTTTTTCCCTCATTTCGCTTGGCATGCTGCTCACGCAAACTGGCGCAAAAAGTGTGGGGTGTGCGTGTGTGTATGTGTTGGACGTTCAACAAGTGTAAGCACGCGCTCTCTAACTCTCTTTCTTTCTTTGACTTGGCGCTCTTGGGAATTTATCGCGTTCTCTGCTGGCGAGCAACCCCCAAAATAAAATTACGAGAAAAATTAATAAGCGTAGGCATCTTTTTTTTACTTTTTTTTCGTTTGTGCGCGCTCGCCTGTCTCTATGTATGCGTATGGGAGCGTGTATGTATGTGTGTGTGTGTGATATGTTGGGAATTTTTACGGTCAACCTGTTTCCCATGCTCGCCCTACCTTTTTGGCTACGCTTTCTAACCCTTGATTGCTTCAGCACGCATGACGAAATAATAAGGCTTGCCCGATTTTCACACTAGAAGCCATTGGAAGACAATTTGATCCCAGAATTAGCAGCACAAAGGCATCTGAACTTTAATATTTGATAAAAATCTATTCAATTATCGATTTTTTTTTACCTTAACTACCAAAGTGTTTCTATACTGCTTTTTACTTACAGATGACATAAGCGCCAAAGCGACATCGACGCCGACACCACCACCTTTGAGTAGCATTGATAAGCAAGAGGCTGCTGAAGGGAAGCCCACAACGTCGCCCACGGATGAGCCAGTGGTGGCAGATGTTGTCAAGCAAGCGGAAATCAATTTGGTGAAGCCGAAAGAGGAGCCTGACGATGCCGAGCAGCAAGGAGCGACGACTGCGGCCTGTGGAGCGGTAAGTTTGAAAGCGCAATGAAATTAGTGGCAGGCGGTTTGGTAAATTGCAAATTAAAACTGCAGCTGGAAGCGGTCACAGTTTGGTCTTTTTCTCATGTTGGGGCAAGCGCTAAATGACTGAATGATAATTAATTAAGTTAATTAAGTTGGGAAAGTGGCAAAAGCAAATTTAGGTGCAAAAACTATTAAAAAAAACTACATTTGTTGGACATAACATTTTAGATCTAGTTATAGTTAAGGTTAGGTGGAGATGCCAATGCACCAAATGAGAGCTTAAGAAGCGCATTATAATGCCATATATTTCGATTATTGGTCATGTATTATTTTTCTCAATTTCTGGTATATCTTTAGCCCATATAGGAATATTCACAATACATCGAATATATAATATTTTACAGTTATTTGTCATTAATAATGCTAACAAAATACAGGAAAGGAATGCTAAAGTCGAGCAGGCTCAACTCTAAAATACCCTGTACCATCCCATTTATTAAAAAAATTTAATTTACTTAACTAATGAAATGAAGTATCAAATATTCCATACATGCATACATACATTTGCATTTACATCAGAATCGTACTTGTACATATGTATGCATTACATAATTATGTCAAAGCAGCAACAAATACAGCTGCGGATACGGATATATAAGCACTAACTGGATATGACTACCAAGGAGTATCTGGATACCGAGTTTGGTTATTATAGCTCTTATACTTTCTGAGATCCTTGCGTTCATACAGACAGACGGATCCAGATCAAGAATATATATACTTTGTGGGGTCTACATCCCGCAAACCTACTATACTCTTGTAAATGTACAGAGTATAATAAAAAAAAGGTTAAATGATTTTCTGATATTATTTTGCAAGTGTATTTCTTTCTCGTTGCTTTTATTTAATTGTAGATTTTTCTGTTTTAATGGACACTTCGCTTAATTTTAATTTACGACTTAAAAAATCAAATGCATTTCGCTTATTATTCGCTTTTGTTTTAATTATATCATTTAGTTGCTATCTGGCTGGCTATAACTAATAATTCACAGCCAAATCATAAAAAGTACAAATAAAGTGGAGAAAAAATGCATCGAGAAAGGAAACAGAATTTAAATGACTTCTTAATTAGCAAAAGCAAAAAAGGAAAAGGTCCAACCGGTAAAGAAAGACATGTCGCCAATTAACGTAATGCAATAAGAGCTTACAAAATTGAAATGTATGAGCTTTCTTGCAAGGACTTTATTGCTTCTTTTGAGCCTATTAAACAGGATTTATGCAGAAAACCCTTAAAGCTTTCAGCCTCAAAGAAGCACTTCAACCTTCAACCAATGAGCATTTTGGCAACCTGTCCGAAGCGAAAGGCTAATCTTAAAAAATTGTTTGTTCAAGCATACGGGCAGCTTCTCTGGCATTTTTCATTTCTCACACACATACGCACTTTGCCAATCATTCAGCAGCAAATCTAGTGTACAGATTTGTATTGAATTGGACTGCGTAAATGCAGGCAACCAGGACAGAGAGCCAGACAACAGCAGCTTTATCAAAGTGCGTCCCCAGCTCGAATTAGGCCACAGGCACTCCACAGCCAACACCAACACCAACGCCAACGTCAACGCTAACGCGAAAGTGCGCACGAAGATGCTGATAATGACAAACAAGCGAATGCGACGCACAACAATGCGAGGCAGTCAGCCAGTTGGCCTCACAGCCAGCCAGCCAGCCAGCCAGCCAGCCAGCCAGTAAATACACCACCCAGTCAAGCAGACAAATACACATGTTTGTATGTACGAATTTCCGTATGTGTGTGTGTGTGGGTGTATGTGTATGCATGCAGCATCCTTCAGTAACAGGCAAAAAGAGAAGCAAAAAGCGAAATGCGTTTAGCTCCATCGACCGGCTTTCTTCCATTCTTTTCGTTCCTTACCAACGCGCAGGCAATTTAAATAAAAAATAGAGCATAAAAGCTCACCATGTTGACAGAGTTGAAGAGAGGGAGAGTGGCAGAGATAGAGAGGGCGCGAGAGGGAGAGAGAGAGCTCTGACTTAGAGAAAGAGCGCGTGCCAGCCGGAAGCCTTTTTACAGGGTGTTGCGAAAGTGGGCGCGTCATCGATTTTTGGACAAGTTGAACTTCACATAGCCCTGTGGGTGGCATCTCCATGCATACATATGCAAGTGTGTGAGTGTGTGTGCATTTGGCAGTTGGTAACATAAAGCCTGAGCCCGTGCCGCTTAGTTGCGGGGGCGCAACTTTTCAAGTGCTGGGCCACTTCAGCGTAACAACTTTTTGCCCGTTGAGTTTCCGTTACGTTTTCGCTATTTCTATTTTATATATCATTTTCGTTGTTGTAATTTGTGTAACTAAATCGATATTTGCTTCCTTTTTTTGTTTCTACAGCAGAATGACAGCAGCAACAGCAGTTGGTGCCAACAGCAACAGCAACATTGGAGCCCAGCCAAGCGTCTTCCGCGCACGCCGCCCGTGCCGCACAACTCACCCGTTGGCTATGGCCAATCGTCGTCAGCAGCGCCGCAGCCGCCGCCGCCTGCGCTGGCGCCGCTGCTGCAGCAAAGCAGCAGCAAAGCTCATGGCACACGAAATGCATTGACCGCCAAGGGTCGCAGCAATCGCATCATCGAGTGCGATCTCATTCCGAGCAAGAAATCAAAACGAAAGAGCGCCAAAACGTACAGCGAGAGCAACACTGAGAGCGTCGAGTCTACGGTGCGCGAGCAAATACGCGTAAGTAGCGAGTATCAAGTACTAAAGAAGCTCTTCAGTTGGAGTCAATAAGAAAAATACTTATTTCAGCAAGTGATTTTCCATTTTGCAATAGATTTTATTTAAAAACGCCTTTTCAAATTCTCCTTTGCAAATTCTATTTAAAAAATATATCAAACTGAAGAAAAGTTTCATTAATATCAGAACAATGCACTTTCTTTATACATATTTTTCGTATTTCCCAAATGGTTGTTTTTTTCTAATTAGTTTTGCATTTAGTTCGGAATAATCGATCTACATCTAAATAATTTGTAAAAAAAACCATTTCTGATTTTTGTAATCAAAATATGCTCTCATACTAAAATAACCATTTAATTAGGACTAAATAATTGCTGAGGTGCATGGTTAGGGATCTTCTTAGACTAGATTAAAAACTAGACTAGAAAATGTGGAGCAAGCGAAAATAACATAATTTAAAGCTACTGTGCTTCAAAAGTATGTTTCATAAATTTAAACTATTCAAATCTTGTACGGCTTTTATGAATGCATTTGTGCTTGAATTATTTGCCTCCACATAATTAAATTTTTTATAGTAGAAAAAACAAAATTGGTTTTAAATTATTCATTCTATGCTCTCTCTCTCTCTCTAGGATATCAAGCCGCTGCCTGGATTTCAGCAGGCGTTTGGTTCGACAGAAATTGGACGTTTCTCGGAAACATTTCTGCAAACGCCCGAAAATATCGTGGAACGCATTGGAACGCATTTCGATGAGTATGGCAGTACGCCATATCATAATCCCTACTACGATGCCACGCCCACGCCGGCCACCTACTGGGCTCCCTACGATGAATGCAACAACTACAACAGTCAAATGAGCCGCAATCGATTGCGCTCGCATGGAGGCTACGGATTCCCCGACTACATGGCGTATGAGCGATATGCCGCATACAGCGCGGGTCGGGGGCGTTATGGCGAAATACGTTGCAATGGCTACTGAAAGTCTAGCATAATAGAAAACTCTATATTTAAATAACTATTGAAAACCTAAGCAGCCAAAATTGTTGTTAGTCGTCCCGTATCATTGTCATTTCTCTGTGTGTGCCTTTTTCGGTCAAAATTCAACATTGCTCCTTCAACAAACGCCTCTTTTCGGTGTGTTGTCGATGCGAAATTGTTGTCGAAATTCATAAAATCGAGAACTTGAAACAGCTAAAAACAAAACTTAAAGAAAGCAAAATATGGTATTGAAAACTTAAGATACAAATAGCGGAATGTTTTAAATGTTTTAAAATCAGCAAACATGTGCAAAACCGAAACAAGTAACGTACATACGATTTGAACCTTCTCCTCACTGTACATAGCAACGCATTTCAAATACAATAAACTTACACATTATGACAAAAAAAATTCGCAATTTTTAAAAAAAAGAACATAACCAAACAGTCTACCAAACATAATAATACCTACAAGTATATTAAGCGAATTGTTAATACATGCATAGCTAAAATCTGTAAATATATATAAAGCGACTATATGAGTAGCACAGTTTTGAAAGATTTTACAGTTTTGAAGCCATTGTGTAAACGGCCTTTGAGTTGAGCCGCTTTCAATGTCTATTGCTGTTCAATTTAGAAATAATTACAAACTTTTGGGTAACTCCCACTCTAAGATAACACAAATAATATTGAATAACATTATAGTACTATATACAGTGCACGTTTGATAAAGTGGAAATGGTTAGACAATACAAAAGAAGGTTTTCAAGCCGATTTGGAAATTGAATTAAAAAGTTTTGACACTTTGTCGTTGGAATATGAAATAATTGAAGGATTACACATCAATGTATTTTTTGAAGCCAATTAGTTCTTATTGCAATTTTTTATATATATTAGTTACATAATTGTACTAATTTGAATACTTCAAAAATTATTTTATTTATGAGTTTTAATGGCTTTTACAAAAATTACACGGCGTACAAAAGCAAAGGAATTACAATTATAAGCATTTTCTTTACTTTTTTAAAATTGATTAAATCTTGATTGATTTGAAGCTGTCATCTAATTACCAAATTTTGTTTGTTACTTTAGACAATATTTCGAACATGTGGAAAGTTAGTCTTGCAATATTTTAGTATATTCCATTGGACACGACGATTAAAAGATCAACTTTATCAAGAGTGCACTGCGATTACCAAACAAAAAACATGTGCCATTAAGATGTTCTTTACTTTGAGAAATTTATAAAAATTGAAATGTCTCTGTTAATCTAAGAAATCGCGAATACTTTTAAGCGTGTATAAATGGCGTATTTATGAAATCAATGCAACAAATTTTATGCAACACACACACACATAAACACACACCAGTACAACCGCACTAAATTTTAAATCGTTCTAATTATTTACTAAATAATTTGATAAGGTATTTTCTTTTCTTCAATTTAAGTGCCTTAAGTATATGCGTTTCAATATTTTTATTTGTAAAATTTGTAATGCAAAATATTTAATAGAAATTCGTTTGGTAACGAAGGCAAGTTTTTTTATAAAATGATGTGAAATGCATTTTTTTAGACAACCCCTTCAGGTTTCATGTGGGCCCAAAATTTAAAAGGAAACTGAACAAATCAAATTATGAAAATAATGAATAATATACACAGACACACACACACACACACACATACATACACATCGAGCGACATTTAAATATGTTAAGTAAACAATAAATAGTAAAACATTTAGTTTTTATGTAGCACACACATTTGTAATTCTACAAAGAAGAAAAGAAAATAGAAAATGACAAACTTCGGCACGCCGAGCGCTAAAATACTCTTGAAAACATAATGATGATGATGATTATCAGATTAAATGTGTGGAAACCCGACTTTAAATGCCAGAATATTTCAACAGCTCTCAAATGCAAATACTCTCAACGCCAAGAATCAAAATGCGGCTATTACGAGAAAATTGTTGATTTTCCTCCGAATATACTAAAGTCAAAAGTCTCCAATTTTGGATTTTTATATGTATAATATTTAATCTATGGAGTATTTAACGTCCACATTTAATTCCACAACTTAAAATAAGAATAAAGCAAACAAACGAGAATGCTACATTCGAGAAATCTGGAACGAACTTCCGCCGCTATGTTATCAGCACTCATAGCAAATATAAAAGAATAAGCTATATCCAGTCGAACGGACGGATATGAGTCGATCGATTTATCTCCTTTATATATACCTTATGAAGATGCTTCCTTCTACCACAAAAAGAAGTCATTAAGCTTTTGAAGAAGAATACGAAATAAGCCTTTGGTTTGGTCATTTTTGAAGGAGATGACGTCTCCGTAGCTTCGTCTTCTCCTTCTTGAATTATCGAACCAATTTTAGTGAAAAATAAAAATGTATTCTGGTTTTCCGGAATTTGAGCAGAAGAAGTTCATCACTTCACCATATATCTCATATATGCTTAGCGGTGTTCGCTGAATCGTTTATTTTCTGATGTCCAGATTTTGCTTCTTCTTTATCGCGTTCTCAAGAAAACTTTATTCTCCCACTTCTGTGCTGTATATGTGTATATTGAAGCCCCAAATTATATGATCGAAAGCAATTTAAAGTTCACATTGGAAATTAGGTTATTTTGGAAATGAGGAAATGCTTAATACATATTTAAAATCGGATTAAATATGTCAACGAATTTAAAACTACTTTTAATAATCCGCCGATTGGATATTGCAATTTACACAGCATAACATTAAAACCCCTTTTCGTCCGTTTGTTCCAATGGGATTATTTAGATCTGCCTGTATTTGAGCAACAATTTATCTAACAGTTCTGCCTTCTCCCACAAACAAGAGAGTATTGAAAATGTTTAAAACAAAAGAAATAAATACTCACCCGAAACGATAAAAGTTCGTAGCGATGTTCTTTTATGCAAACCATTTACAGTTATGTCTAAAAGCAAACCACAGAAATAAAACAATATTTTAGAACATAAGTGTCTCAAATTTATGAAATGTGTAAATATTTAAAAGTTTAAATTTTATGAAATAAAAAAAGGTGACAAATATATGACAACATTTTCTTTGTTTATATCGGGATTTTTGTTTAACTGTTTTATTCATTTAATTAAGTTATAAATATTATTACATAACCTATAATTTTATTGTTTGTCTCTAAATTAATTACAAAAATAGTTCAGTTGTAAAAACAGCAGGGTTCGAATTAGCAATTTTTAGATTGCTGCTGCCCAAAAAATATATACGAGTAGTTATGAACAGAAATATAGGAGAATACAAAATAATTAATCGTCTGACTTGTTGTTGTTGTATTTTTGTTTTTTCATATTTTTTCGTTTCGAATTTTGACACACTTACAAACTAAGCGTAGAAGAAGAATCAGAATCAAAAGAAATATAAGACGCTGTATAGTTCGAGCTTGGGGATTATTTGGAAAATAATTCTTAGGAAATCAATAAAAATTATACAACTGAGCAAAAGTAGGAAAATTTATTGAGGGGTGGTTGGCTATAAGTTTTAGTTTGTTTTTGTTTTTTTTTTTTTTTCGTATATATAAATAGTTGATTTTTGTTAGCTATTTTGTAGGCTTTTCTATATGTTTATGTCGAGGCCTTTGCAATTTTTTTTTTTATAATTTCGTACATTTAAATTTGTATAATTTTATATGTTTTTGTTTTTCTATACGTTCTTCTTTACTTTGTTTTATTTTTTTTTTAACACATATTAACGAATTACAGAATTTTATTGATCGATCAGTATGAATTAATTTATAAATAATTAGTTTAGATATTGGTTGGTTTTTCACTTTTTGCGTATAATGTTAAAGAGAGATGAGATGACCTCAGGGCCCGCATCCAAGTGGTGTGTGAGTGTATGGTGTGTGTGTGTGTATGTGGATGTGTGAGTGTGTGTCTTTGTGGCGTAACTGTTGAGTTTTGGATCCCTCAGTTAATCGTCTCGTACGCTTGGCGTGGGTTGTTGCTGCTGCTGCTGCTGCTGGTTGGCTTGTCGTTTTTGGGGTCGCAATCATGAGGATGAGGCCGCCGAGCTGGTTTTTGTCGAGCTGCCGCCGCCGCTAGAGTTGCGTTGCTTCTCAATATAGACGTTCAGGAGTCGCACCTTGCTTGGATTCAACACAGACAGTTTGGGCTTGACCTTGTCCTCGCCCAGTACCACATACAGCTTGACAATACAAAAGACTGCCGCCTTGCGCACCATCGACTCTGGATTGTCGGCGGAGTGGGCCAGATTGGGAAAGACAGCGTCTAAATGTGCATCCGTTATTTCGCTACCATGTCGTTCCGTCAACTCTAACAGAATCTTGATGCCGCACAAATTATCCGGAAAGGCGCCCGTCGCAATCACCGGATTCACAATCTCGATGGTCTGGTCGAGGGGCAGTGAGCCCGCAATGCGAGGTATCATCGCATCGATCTCTCGGAGAGCCTCCCTGCTGTGCTGATAGCATTTCACAATTCTCAGCACGATCAGCTCCAGGAAATTCATCCAATTGTGTCGCATCTTGTCGCTGCGCAATATTTTGCTCAGCACCCGCAGTCCGGCGAACAGTACGTCCGTGTTATCCGAATGCAACATGGTCAGTAGCATGCGCATAATGGAACGAAAATGCTTATTGGGCAGTTCACAGTTGCCTCCTCGTATGCAAATTCCCAGATGCGTCAGCGACGACAGAATCTGCTCGACGGGCATCTCATTGTTGAGCGTCAGAGCGACGCGTATTATTTCGCTTTCGCGCAAATCATTGGGCAGAATCAGCTCACCGTTCTCGGCCACATCGAAGGAGATGTAAACTTTTCCACTGCCGTCTGTGGAGTGGGAATTGTGTGGGGGCGGCGAATTGGCCGATTTTATGGCGCTCTTATGATTGGCTGCATCGCCCAATAGCTGCGCATCCAGACGCATTGTGGCACTCTCCGGCGTATTCGACTCTGTGGTGTTCGCCGATGACTGAGTTTTCGAGTTCGAGGATAGGGAAGCACATGAATCCTGTTGCGCCTCAGACAACTGCTGTTGTTGCTGCTGATTATGGTACTGCGAATGATGACCGTTGAAGCCGTTGGGGGGTGCGGTCGCTAGCGAGTGATATTGACGGGGCTGGAGCAGCGGCTCGGCAACGCCGCCAAAGCAATGACGTATCTCCTCAGAGGTCTTGTGTATATTATGCTGCACCTCCAGCTCCGTGCCATAGAACAGCTCCTGCTCCACAGAGGATTGGCGTGAGCGCGGACTAGTGTTGTAGTTGTGATTCTGTAGGGAAGCGAACGGACCACCCACCGATGGACTCTGCAACGGTTTGGGACTGCTGCTGCTTAGCGGGGAACTGCTCGGCGAATTGGTGCCAGAATTTGTGCTCTCCCTACGTATTTGCGACTGTATGTGCAGACGCGCCGAGTCCTGATAGCCCTTGGGCAGAGCGGCCAACAGTTTAGTCATCTGTGGCGTATTTAGACTGTACAGGGCAACCAAACAATAGCGTGCCTGCTGTCGCAACTCCATAGATTTCTGATCCGAGGCCAGTTGCGTCAGCTTAAGGACTGTCCGCTCACAGGCGGTGGTCTGGTCGCTGGGAAAGTCGCTGCTCTTGCAATACATCTTGGCCAGATCGGTGAGGAAGCGCAATATGGCGATGCGCGTCTTCGGTGTGGGCGTTTGCGTCGTATCCGATATTATGCGAAAGACCTCCTTAAGCTGCAACTCTGGTGGAAAGTATTCATTGACCACCTGTAGGGTTTTCCATATCTTCCCATGCATTGAATTGAGGAGCTCTGTGCCCAGTTTATTGAATAGACGCGTCAACAAAATAAACAGCCAGTCATGCAAGTCGGGAGCATGGACCAGAATCAGCTCTGTGACAGTGTCCAGAAACAACGAATAGACCTTGGTGTGGGTATCCATGAACATCTTCCGAAACATGTCCAGCACACACTGCAACTGCTGTGGCGTCAGCTCCTTGCCACCGGCCAGGTACTGCGTCAAACTGATGAGCCCATCCTTGCGTTCCGCCCAATGCGTGGAAGCACAATACTGGATGATCGTCTCTATATCATCAAAAGGCGCTCGCTGACTGCTCCAGTCGAGACGGGTGCGCGAGCCGGATAGCGAGTAATTAGAGTTGTTGCCACGGGTATAGGAGGAATCAAAAGACCGTTCAGAGCACACAGATGAGGCCTCCGAATCGATGTCATCAGACTCATCACGACCGAGCAGTTTGCGTCCAATACGCAGGCCACCTGTCCGCATATAGTCACCCGATACGTAGTCCGGCTGCTGCCCATCCAATGACGCATTGAGATCTCCTCCACCGGCCAGTGTGTGCTCAGCCTCCCGACTTTGCGCCAACATACGGGCAGCTGCAGAAGGACGCACTAGATTATTGCGCTCGGGTGTACGGCGAGTCCCGGTGCCGCTGCCAGTGGTCGTGCCATATAGACTGCGCTTCATCAGTCCACTTGCAGAGCCGGCTCCCAATCGTGTGGGACTCGTCTCACGTGAACTGGCAGTGGAGCGTGGTATGCCAGATGCTTTCTTGGGTATGGCGCCGGTGGCTCCACGATAATAGCCGACGCCGCTCATGCCATATGTTTCTCTCAGTTTGGTCGAGGGCGATGTGGATCTGGAGCCAGGCTGTGACTGTGAGACACCAGAGCGTCCACGTGTGCGCGGCATCGCAGTGGGCGCATTACTGCTTGCGGAAGGCGTTGGCTGAACCGAACCTTGTCGCGAACGTGGCAAGGAGCCGGTGCCGGGCGGTACTGCAGTGTTGGTGGAATTGCTCGGCCCCAGCGGCTTCTTTGCTCTCGAATAAAGTGTATATTGTGCACGTGCCTTGGCACGTTGTGCCGCCGCCGTATCTACTGCTGAGACGCTGCGCATGCCTGCAGCCGGCTTTTGGAGCGTGCCTGGCGAACGGGCAATGCGTGAGATGGTGCGTCTGGTCTCCAATTGCAGCTGACTGCCGCCATCGCGTTCACGTTCCAGCGCTCGCTGCGCCGCAATGTCCAACGTACCATAGATTTGATCGGCAAGCTCTGGAAAGTGCCGACGGAAGACCCAATAGGCGCAACGAGAATGCCGTCTGGCATCGCAGTCAGCATCCCCAATGGATTTCTTCAGCACATCGCGTAAAATGAGCGCATGCTTTTCCAGCGATTTCGTCTGCCATTCCTCAAAGAGCAACACCAATATTTCACAGAGCGCTGAACGTATATCCTTTGACTTGGACTGTTGTAGCGTATCCGTAATGATGCGTATTAGCTTGGGCGCATGTGTATATTTGATAATATAGCGCAACGCCAGCGTCGATGCCGATGCTATAACCTTGGCCGAGTTCTGTATCAGCTGTATCAATTGTTCCAATATCGACAAACAGAAGGTATCCAGTTTGTTATGCAATGTTTTCGACATATAGGCAATGGTGATGCATGCCTCCCGAATCACCTGCGACCGCAACTCTTCTTTGAGGACGTCCACGAAGGCGAGCGACAGTTCCTTTATCTGCACAACCAAAAATTGCGGATGTGCCTGAATGTTAAGCATTAAAAGCGCACGAACTTTCTTTAATGCATCCACACGCTTCTCCCAATCGGCATTTTTATCTCGAATGACCAGCAATATTTGCTTGTATACATCATCCATGTCTTTAGAATTAAATACAGATAGCTGGGGCACTAGCTCGAAACTGGCCTCGAAGATTTCCATCGTCACAGCGCCTGCATCGCCGGACACATCATTCATGCTCGGCTTGGCCCTTAATGTGGACGCGGCCGAGTGTAGTGGACGCTTCACAATTTTTGTGGGTCGCTCACGCACGGCAATGTTGTCGCTCTCATCATGTCCATTCCCATTTCCATTGCCACACTTAATGGCCGATTGCAGCAGCAAGCCCTCCCCCTTCACTTGATCGAACTTCTGTTCGAGCAACGCTAGCTTTGAGGCTGGCATATCCTCCATTTTTCGCAAATCAGGACGCAGACGATCGCCCACATGCTTGTAAATCTCCACCAGCGTCTGTATGGCCGTTTCACGTACCGCCACTGTCGGATCTCCGAGCAAGATGGCCACTGGTGGAATATAGTTGCGCACACTAAGCTGTTGCGTGCCATACTCGTGCAGTGTCGTGACTATTGTCTGCAGAAACTCTTCACGCACCTTGGCATTCTTGTGCTTAAAGCAACTGGCGGCCAATTTATCGATCAGCCCCTGGGGCGTAAGCACTCTGTGCTCCATCAGATCACGCAACAGCAATTGCGCCTTCTCGCGTACCGTGTCACGATTGTCACCCAGCCGATCGATAACATGCGGCAGTACTGTCGCCGTATAGGCATTGAAGTCCGACCCCAATCGCTTGATTAGTTCCGAGAAGGCCTCCAGAGATTTCTGTGCTATCTTGAAATGACTGCCCGTGAGCCAAGGCATTAAGCCGTCTATTAGGAAGCCCATGTCCATGCAGACAATGGAATTGGTGTCATCGCTTAGGAATGTGACCAGATCCTCGGCAAGCTGCACCTTAACCCGCATATCAGCCTTGGGCATCAGTGCGATGAAGCCATCCAGATCGTTGGGCTTGCGGTACGCCATTGTGTGGTGTGCGAGTGTGTCAGAGTGTGTGCAAGTGTGTGTCTCCGTGCAAGGTTGCCCCTGACCTTGAGTTCGCTTCGTCTAGTTGAGCGCAGCAGCAACTGCAATAAAAAAATAAAACAAAATAAATTTGTTGTAGCTTGAGCTGGCAAATGATATTAAATATTTATTTATTGAGATATACTTGCAACATCACAAAACAACAGAGGCACGCAAGCACACGGAACAACAAACAAGAAATCACACTTGGGAAATGGGACTTGCTATGCAATCTTAGATTGATTGTTTAATTTTTTACGAGTGCTTGGAGAGAGTGCTACAAAAACAAGATGGTGGCCAATCAACTTTAAAAAATAACAGTACAATGCTGCAAGGGCACATTACATTTATAAAATTTCTCGTTTGGGACTTACAAAGCTTAAAGTCATAGGCTTAAAGTCATGATTAGAATTAAAAATAAATCGAAATATATATGTAAGTACTTAGGAAGGATACAAAAGCATCTTTGAGCTTGCAAAATTTTTTATACAAAATATGTTTTCAAATTGTTTAAAAGTTGACTGAGAAGGCTCACAAACACAATTTCTCTACATAACTATTGCAGCATATTCGATAAGCCTGTAGCTCCCCAAAATACCCGTATATTTTATAATTTCTATGAAAAATATAAACTTTCCTAATCTACAAGTATACCACATATTAACTGGGAAAAAACCTTAATGTTCGAAAATAGCTCTATTTTAATCTTTAGAAAATGTTTTCTTTAGAAATTTTTATCAAAGCTTGACAATTTTATTTCATTTAATGTAAGTCGAGAATTCCTAACAAGCATATTCGATTCGTAGATAACAGAAGACTTAATATTGCAACACATAGGTTTGAAGGGTTTGCTGCCTTTTTATCTGCGAGAGATTTCTAAGAATGATGTTTTCCTTGTAATTAACTTTCCTGAAATATGTCACCCATTGAACAAGAGAGAAGAGGCAAAACTAAGTTAAATATGTACATACATGTCTAAAATTGAAAATATCTGCTTAATGTAGGAAAGTTATGATGGCGATGATTTTAAATTAAACTAACATAATAGATGCTGACAAGGAGCTAATAGTTCAACAAGTTTGTTCTATTGAATCCACGCATGAATGCATTTATGCATTGATGCATCTATTGTATAGAAAATAAAATAATCGTCTTATAAGATAAGTATTAATTACTGTACGATTCAATAGTATAATAATTTTGCTAGCAAGATTTGTAATTTTTTCTATTTAAAGTGATAGAGAAAAGTGGTATTACCCTTTTAAATTACTCAGATAACAATAACATTGTACTTGTTTATGAAAAAATCCCGCAGTGATTCAAAAGTAGACACGCGCGCGCGCACTGAAGTGAAGGAAGAAGAAGCAACAGCTCTGACAATCGACAGTCACACATGAGAATCAACAAAATAGAAACAATTTTTATGTTTGCTGAGATGAGAGCGGGGACCAATAATGACAACAACAACAAAAGCAGCAACAGTGGGGCTCGAGCTTGTGAAATGAAGTCAGTGTTTGAACGAAAAGTAGGTGAATGGTGAATGGTTGCGGGGGTGGGTTCGGTTCTTGTCTGCTATAGTCGGGCATATGGGGCGTTGTTACGTGCATAAACATGAATCATCTCACCGTGTTGAGCGTGACGATGATGGTGGCCAAATGGGTGGCGGTGGGCGGTGAACAGAATACTACCGGATGGTTGACTGAATTAAAATAATAATAATAAACCAAAAGATAGCTCAGACAACGTGCAATGCTTGACTTGCCTGCCTCATTCTTTTTTGGGCAAGTACGGAGACGACAATGCGACGACGACTTGACATAAACGGTAAGACGCCGGCAGCGACGTCGGCGCCTCTGCCATTGTTGGCAAACCGTCCATGGGGCGACGTCGATGACGTGCGTCAACGCGAACGTCGCTGCCGCCAATTTGCTTGTTGGGAGAGCGCAACGCCGCAAACGTGCAAAGAAGTTATCTTCGTCAGCGTCAAAACTATATGCTCTTCACTATGTTTTACAACAATAATTATTACACTTTATGGCTGTAGGGCCGCAATCTATTATATACGCTTCTAAGTTTATAAACAAAATTGTTTCCAAACAATAACTTTCTAAATCGATCTGACAAAAAAAATTCAATAAAGCCTTGAGGTTTCAAACGTCATGCTGATCATAAATGTATGGATGTACATACATACATACATACATATGTTTTCTATAACAAGACACTTAATTGGTGTTACAAGCTTCCACAACAAAAACAATATAGCCCTAAACTTTTCAGTGTAGCGTATTAAAATATTTATGGAAATTACATAAAAATATACTACATACATGGACTCAAACATACACACACATACTATACATACTTTAAATGAGATAATTTAGCCGTTTTTTAAGCGACAAGCGCGACTAACAAATTGCTAAGCAACAACAGTGACTTGTTTGCCTGCGATAATATTTGAGAGAGCAGGGCATGCCAATTGGAGAGATAACGAAGAAGAGAGAAAGAGAGAGCACGGCAAAGGCAGCGACAAGTGCGCGAGCACATTGCACATACGCAATTTTCTATTTATAAAAACAAAAAAAAAAACATCAACAAAATAAAAACAACAGCAACAACGGGTGACATCGTCGGTTGGTTAGTTAGGTAGGTAGGTAGGTAATCAATGCCGTGTTAAGTGAACGCTAAGGTCGAGCCAACTTTTATTTGTCGAAGCCCAAACGCCTGTATGCATGTAACTGAAACTAATGCCGTGCCCTTTGCTGTGCTCCGTTTATGAATATTGTGTAGCTGACAGATAAGATATAAATTTTGATTAGGCGCGTCTCTTGCTATATAGCAACAGATACTTGTATTTAGATTCTCTGTATACACTTAAAGGGAGAGTACTTTAGCTATAAGATGGTGTTTAAACATGCATCAAGCATAAAATATGAATTAATATTAATTAGTCTTCTCTCTATAAAATTTAGTTTTTTAAAGTCCAGTTTGGATAGGAAACAATTATATTTGTGGCAGATATGGTGGCCCATTTTTAGAAGCAAGTGGAATTTGCCAGAATTTAACTATAAGCTACACTAACACACTACATTTAGTGGATCTTAGTTAATTATTTCTCATTACTTTTACACATTTACTCAATAAGAGTAATTTTTGAAGGTCTTTAACATTCATGCCAGTTTAAATGAATTAAATAAATCACAAGAGTTTATCAAAAGTATTTGAAAGAACATAACAAGGTATGTGCACACACAAATCTTTGTATATAATGGAATTTAAGGCAAATGTGTGTCATTGACACGACCTCTGCATAACTTTTTTAGGGTATATAAGCTGCGGTTTTCTTTTTGGCTGGTCAATTGTGACAAGCCAACTTTGTGGGTTAATTGAACGCACTTGCAATGGGCGGCAGCCAAATTAAAGTCAGTGCTGCTGTGGCGCTGCTGCTGCGCTGTCGCCGCTGACTTTGGCAGCGTCTCGAGTATGGAGCTTGCTGAAGGCGAAGGCTACTGAGGCTGGGGGCCGGCAATTAGCAGATTTGTCTATGTATTTAACAAATGCCGAATTATTTTCAAATGTCACATGAGAAACGGAAGCGGAGGCGAATTTGAATGTGAACGTGAATGCGAATACAAATGCGTGTCTTGGCCAAATTGTTGGCCGATCTTTTTTTAACACTTGCCGTACACACACACACACTCAATTGTAGCTATGAGATACACACACACACACACACATGCAAACATACAGCTAACAAACACACGCACAATACACATACATAGTGTATGAACTCACTTTATTTGCAAATCCGGCTGCGACGATTGTTGGCAGCTGTGGTTCTTGTTGTTGTTGCGACCGCTGCTGAATGTACGACGACGCTGGCGCTGACGCTGCTTCTGCTGCGGCTTCTGCTTTTGTCACACGCTCACTCGCGCGCTCGCTCACACTCAATATTGTTTTGGGTTGGGCAGGCGCAGGCGGCAGCGGCGGCGGCAGAGGAACGAGCGAACAAACGTACAACAACTGCTGCTGCTTGGCCCCCTTAGTCAATATCAAAAATTGATTTTCCAGTCGCAACTTTAAGGAATACCTTGCAATTCTCACAAAATAGTTTATAAACAATTTTCAAGCTCACAGACCAATTGCAAAACAATTGCGGAGCTGAGATCACAGTGGCTTCTTCTTTTTGTTATTGTTGTTTTTGCACAGCAGCCGTCAGTTTCACTTTGGCAAATTAAATGTCATTTCTTATTGTGTTTGTTGCTATTATTGTTGTTGGTTTCTCTACCGTTATTGGTCGCTCGACGTCACCATCGACGTCGTGCTGCTGCTGCTGTTGCTACTGCTGCGGGTTCAACACAAATTCCAATGTCTTCTTGTAGTAGTACTGCTGCTACTTTTTTGTACGCGTGCGGCAGGCGGGCAGGCTGCGCCGCTGCTGAGTGCTGCTGCTGCGGGCTGCTTTCGTGAACTTTTTCTGTGACGCGCTTGCTGTTTTTTTTTTTCTTGCATAGGTTAGTTTTGCACTTGTAATTTTGCCGGAAAGCACGCGATTATTTTGGCAAACATCACATTTTGTTGTGTATTTACATTTGCAGTGTGTCCTGCGCCCGAATTATTATAAATTTTGCACTTTTTACTTAATTTATACACGGAATTTGAGCCCGTTGCGATTACGCCTGCTTCTTCTTTTTGAGCTAGTGTATGTGTGGAAGTATTTTGGTGGTGGCCAGCAGTCTGAAATGTAGCATGTTATCGATATGCTGTGCACAGACAGCGTTGCCATCGATGTCGAAAATTGACAGATGTGGCAGCGCTATCTTTAATCGAAGAACCGCTCACTTTAAATTCAATTGGTTGGTGCAATTTAAATGCATATAAGTTTTTCAACTGAATGAATTATAAAAACATTTAAATTTGATTAAAGAACAATACAAAGAATTTAAAAATAAATGTTAATAAATTAAATTTAGAATCATTCATACAAAATTATTTTGTTTTCGAAAATTTAATAACATAAAGGTTATTGTCATTATCTTGTTTGATTGAAACATATATTGAAATTGTTGTGATCATTTTTAAATCCGTAAATTTTTCACCTCTACACACTTCCATTGTTATTAACATCATAAACCTGAAGTGTGCTTTTTATTATTCTTCTATAGCCACAATATAAGCTTTATTATAAACAAAAGGTAATACCATAATCCTACCACTTGTTTGCTTTTTCAGCAAATTATGAGTATGTAGGAAGGTACATACACATAAGTGTACTATATACTGATAGCAACACGACTGTTTTTAAAAGAAAGGAAAGAACAAAATTTGGCACTTTATTTGGCAAGTCAGCATTTAATTGGGCAAACAAAATTCTGTTACGAGCTTTATGCACCTTAGAATATTTTGCATTCATACGCTTAAGTATATGTATGTATAGTAGGCGAGAATATTATTATCAACTGATTTTTTTTTTAGACATACCCACTAGTGCCAAGGTACATTTATATTTTATGTTTATTTTTATATCATAGGAACAGTGGGTTAGAAAAAGTCTTACAGCTCCACACAATTGCATCGTTTCAAAAGCGACCCACTTAAATAAATTCGGATGCGATTGGTGTGTATTATGCATTTTGTTATCAAAAATGTATATGTCCAGAAGTCTGAACTTGAGCCAATTCATTTTTCTATGCTAAATAGAGCTGAAACTCTACTAACTTAATCGGTTGCTAGCATACAGAAGTGTAGTCCAGGGTATTAAAACGTCGATGTTGCCAAAGATAACGTTCGTTCTTGTTTATTGATAGGCTCAATTACGGAAAAATTTGGTGAGCCCGCACACTTGAGGCGACAAAACACGCGATCCATTATATGAGCATAAATAAAACTCAAATCCGGTTGTATTTGCAACATAGAACAGATGTGGGAATTGTCGCTTATCAACATCAATTTGTTAGCAATCAGCCAAGAAACAAACGTACAATCTTCACCGATTTAAATTGCCGAACAATGCAAATTGGGTGACACGTGCGGCAGCAATAAATGAAAAGAAAATAGTGTGGCATTTAATTCACAATCGTATACACTTTATTTATGTCTTTACAAGAAAATTGTAGCTTGCATAATCAATTTTTTGTTGTGGCCAGAATATGTATATATATACTTGTACATATGTACTCGTATGGATTTATGAACAAAATGTTTAGCTTTGTACTCAAATGAACTGCAGACAATGATAATGAAATGCGATTTTTTTTTGTTTGGCTATATACAAAAAATATATGAAATTTTATTCTAGAAACTAAGCTAATCAGTCTTTGTTGACCTGGTGGACGGCCTGTGCACGACCCGACGGATCCTCCGGACAGCCCCAATCCAGACGTGGCACCCAACGCATCACAGTGCGAGCAGCCGGCTCGCCCGGAAATTGTTCCTCGAAAATGCAGCGATAATAGAAGGCCTCCTTCGTTGTAGGTGTATTGAAGGGGAAGCGTTCGGCTGCTCCAGCGAATTCCTCATCGCTCACGTGTGAGGTGGCCACACGCCTAATGTTGTCAATCCAATCGTAGCCGACGCCATCCGAGAACTGCTCCTTCTGGCGCCAGAGTACCGAGTCCGGTAAATAGCCATCGGCAAAGGCAGCCCTCAAAATGTGCTTCTCGATGCGATGCTGTTGCACACCTCCCAGGCAGTTCTGTTCACCCGCCATTTTGTCCTGAGGCCTGATGGACATCACATAATTGACAAAGGCGGTGTCCAGGAAGGGCACGCGCAGCTCCAGACCCTTGGCCATGGTCACCTTGTTGCAGCGCAGGCAATCGGATAAATGCAGCTGCTCCACACGCTTCACCAGCTCCTCATGAAACTGCACGGCATCTGGTGCCTTGTGGAAGTAGAGATACCCGCCAAAGATCTCATCCGCTCCCTCGCCCGAGAGTATCATCTTGATGCCCGTGCTCTTGATGTAGCGCGCCAACAACAACATGGGCAGGCTGCAACGCACTGTGGTGACATCGTAAGTCTCCAAATGATACACAATATCGCGAATGCCGTCGAGCGCCTCATCGATCCCAAAGACCACCTCCTTGTGCTCGCTATCGATGTATTTGGCCACTAGGCGAGCTGCCTCAAAGTCGGGAGCATTGCGCAAACCTACCGAGAAGGTCTTTAGACGAAATGCGGGATCCCGTTCACGCATTATCTTCGTGGCTATCGAAGCTATAAGACTGGAGTCCACACCACCAGACAACAGGGCACCCAAATGTACATCGCACTGCAGATGTGTGCGTACTGCCGATTCCAGACTGCTGCGCAAAAGGGACAAATCACAGGGCACGCTTGGGATTTGCTTCATCCAGGGCTGCTCGAAGTGCCGCCAACGACGCAGTGCACCCACTTTGCCAAAACGCGCCTCGCCCGGCGTAAATGTCTCCACACTAACACAACACTCCACCAGGCACTTCATCTCAGACGCCACCCATAAATTTCCAGCAGCATCATGACCCACATACATAGGTATAATGCCAAAGGGATCGCGTGCCAGCAACAGCTCCTGAGTCCGCTTATCATACAACGCGAAGGCATACATGCCCGTTATGTGCTGCAGCAGCTCCACGCCAAAGTCCTCGTATAGTTCGACAATAACATTGCAGTCGGACTTGGGCTTATAGTGGCCACGCCTCTTGGCAATGCCTGCCGATAGTTCCAGATAGTTGTAGATCTCACCATTGGCCACCAGCACCAAGTTGCCATCGGTGGAGACAAAGGGCTGATCGCCCATTTCCACGCCAACCACACGCAGACGTTCATGCACCATGGCCACGCCCTGATCGGCAATTAGTGCGACACCCGTGGAGTCCGGCCCACGATGTCGCTGCTTCCCACTCTGCCTAAAGGCCAGCTCCCGCAAGCTATGACGACTTCCGTGATGCACACGCGGCTCAATGGGCCGACCATCTGCTGAGAATATTGCGAAAATGCCACACATGGTGTTCCTCTATTTTCTAATAGTTCCTATTTTTCCAAGTAATATCTATCCACTTTTCAAGTAGCCACCAACGATACTATTCCTTCTTCTGGTTATTTTATTAAGTTGATTTGCACGCCTCCGCCACGTTTTCAAGTTCGATGTCAACTAAAATTGCAAACCGGCGACGTCTGCCTTTTATATTGCGCCGGCCAGTTAGGCATACACAGACAGAGAAAGAGAGAGAGAGAGGGCGACAGACAGAGAGGGAGAGCAAAGTAATAATGGAGAACGAGTTGCTGTCTGCCTGCCTGATGTTTGAGCAGCAAAAAGTTGCGTCATGCATTTTCTCGATGCTTACCGGCGAATCCGAATCGTTTGCCTCGTATTTGTTTTCAACCCATACAGCCAAATCGGCTAGCTGGCATTTTTGTTTATCTGCTTGACATGGGGGTCCAGAAAGAGGATAGCTTATCACCGCCTCTCCTCACCCAATAATTATAGTTCCCTAACACACTTTTCTTCTATTGTTTTCTTTATTTACGATGTACAATAAATAAATGATGTGAATATTAATTCATTTAACTTTGTGCTTACATTTTCGGTGTATATCAAACTTTAATAATCATATGTCGTGCAGTCTTATTTGACGACACAAATAAATAAATTAATAAAATTTATATTTCCAGATTAAAACCAGTTTGTTAATAAGAAACCACAATACCTGACTACCATTTACCAATTAGTCTAGTCTATTACGAAAACGCTTAAACAAAAAATGTTTTTTAATAAAAAGGTAAATAAATAATTTCATTATTTAAATTTAATAAATATTAAAAAGGTTTATACAGCTTGATTCTTTTATATTCCCTTTAAAAGTAAATGAAATGGTATTTAAAATAAAGATTAAAAAAACACACATTATTCATTTAGAATACTTACATTTAGGATATATATGTACAGATCCCCCTCGTTTTTGCACTGCACACGCCCATCTCCGCCTTACTGTCTGGCAGTTGCTGTCGCGTGTGTTTATATTTATCAGGTACTTTAGGCAAATGGTACTTCTGTCGCCACACATGCTATATTTCGAAGTAAAGCAGCAGAGCTTTTCTCCTTATCAGAAGCCTAAGTGCGCGTATTCAAAGACAATTCCACACAAACACACTTGTTGTGCGGGTTTTTGGCACAGCTGTTCGCACAAAGCTCTTTGCAATATCTGAGCATGCACTGTTTGTTCTCTCTCAATTCATCTCTCATTTAGCTGCTCTCTCTGGTACTCGTACACTCCCACCACCAGAGCTTAACACCTGCTGAGCTTAACAGCTGTTAAAAGGCACGTTTACTTTGTAGTTTTCAATGCATGTAATTGTGGATCGGATTTTGCATTCATTTGAATATATTGGGATTAGAGTTCAAGGTTAATTATATTTGAGCTCACATTGTTATAAATTGGTAATTAACAATTTAAATTAGATCTCTCCATGATAACTATACTTTTTACATTATTCATATGGGAATAATTAGGAAACGCAATGACTTATGGCTTCAAATGTTCCGACCTGTTCCCGTTTTCAATCACTTTTGAAAAGTAAAGATATCTTTTGTGTTCCTGTTTGGGAAAAAGAGTGCTATCGTTTTTCCGCCGTTGATTTAAATCTCCTATTTCATAGCAGCTGTTTAGGTGTCAACGAATATGATATTTGCTTGCCATAAGGTACATACTATATCGAACTTATTTCGGAAACTGGAACAGTAGACGAAGCTGAAAGCAATATTATTTGAAAATATCAATAAACTCTCAAAGTAAATTACAAATTCATTAGTTTATATTAAATTCCACTAAGAGAAAAAAATATATCTTACAAGCTATTACTTGTAGACAAAAAATAAAATAAAATAATAACATTTTCGACAATAACGCTTTATTTAATTATAAAATTCTATATTATATTTCCCAAATTTGAAATGTAATCTTAAGATAGAAGGATTATAATGTGGTAAGTTTTGAAAAATAAGAAATTGTACATAAAAGAGTCATTCTGTGCATTTTGTAATTAAATTCGCCCACAGATCATTAGGACATTTTAGAAAGAAAATAGGATATTTTATTATCTTCAATCTTCCTTAAATGAAAACTCTGTTACATGCTTCCATCATTTCTTTTACCTAACATTTTCCATAGTTCTTTTCATGCGCGGACTGTGCTCTACCGGAAGGATCCTCAGGACAGCCCCAGTCTAAGCGTGGCGCCCATTTCTCCACAGTGAGTGCAGCTGCCTCACCCGGGTATTGTTCTTCAAAGATAGTGCGGTAATAGTATGCCTCCTTAGTCTTGGGCGGGTTGATGGGGAAGCGTTTAGCAGCCTCTGTTATTTGTGCATCGCTAACATGACGTGCCACAAATTGTGGCAATGCATCAATTAAATCATAGCCCACGCCATCCGAAAACTGCTCCTTTTGACGCCAAAGCACAGCATCAGGCAGGTAGTCATTGGCGAAAGCACTACGCAGGATAAACTTCTCGATGCGTTTGGATCGCTTACCCTCAAACTCATTTAGTGGTCCAGGAATTTTGTCCTGCGGTCGAATGTTCATGACGTAGTTGACGAGAGAAGTGTCCAGAAACGGCACCCTCAACTCCAGACCCTTCGACATGGTCACCTTGTTGGCGCGCAGAATATCAGAGACATGTAGCTGCTCACAACGTGTGACCATCTCGCGATGAAATTCCTCATAGTTTGGCGCATTGTGGAAGTAGAGATAACCGCCAAAGATCTCATCCGCACCCTCGCCCGAGAGTATCATCTTGATGCCCGTGCTCTTCACATACCGCGCAAGATAGAACATAGGCAGACTGCATCGCACGGTGGCAATGTCGTAGGATTCCAGATGATAGATCAAATCCCTCACACCATCCAGACAATCGTCGACGGCGAAGGCAACCTCAGTGTGCTCGCTGCCAATGTGTTGGGCAACCATACGGGCGTGCTTAAAGTCCGGAGAGCCATGCATGCCCACAGAAAAGGTACGCAACTTATACGCAGGATCACGCTCACGCATTATCCGGGTGGCTATGGCTGCAATCAGGCTAGAATCTACGCCACCCGAGAGCAAGGCACCAAAGGGAACATCACATTGCAGGTGTGATCGAACGGCTGACTCCAATTTCTCTCGTAGCCCATTAAACTGCACGGGCTGTGTGGGCGTGTCAAGCAACCAGTTAGGATTGAAGTAGCGTCGAGGCTCGAGCTCCTGCACACTGCCGGCTGCAAAGTGTCCAGGTGGAAAGATTTTCAATTGCTTGCAAAACTCCACAAGGCATTTCATTTCGGATGCAAACCAAATATTGCCCTTAGCATCCTGTCCCATATACAGCGGTATAATGCCAAAGGGATCGCGGGCCACCAAAACCTGACCCTTCCGCTGATCGTAGAGCACGAAGCTAAACATTCCAGTAATTTTCTGTAAAAGATCCACACCATGTTGCTCATAAAGCTCAATGATCACATTTGAGTCACTTTTGGGCTTATAATTGGGTCGTTGATTGGCAATTTCAGCCGCCAGTTCCAGATAATTATATATCTCACCATTGGCTATGAGCACAACTTGACCATCCTGGGAGTAGAGCGGCTGATGACCCGTCTCCACGCCTATGACTGAGAGTCGTTCATGCACCAGTGCAACGCCTTTAGCGTCAATTACGGCCACGCCTGTGTCATCGGGTCCGCGATGCCGCTGCTTTCCACTCTGCCTGTAAGCCAACTCTCTCAGACTGTGTTTGCTCCCCAAGTGGGGTTGTGGCTCTATGGGCTGGCCATCCGGCGAAAAAATAGCAAAGATGCCGCACATTTTTGGAGAGGACTTTCAACAATAATTGATTTAATTTTCTGATATTTCTCACTAGTTGCTTGAGTAATCACTTTTGCATGTAACGTTAGTTGCCTAGAGGTAATTTTAATTGTATATAAATTTATTTTAATTAAATTTCCACAGGATTTTTAGAAACACCGTTATATTATTTTAAATTATTAGAGCTTCTTAAACAGTTCAGTTAACATTAATATGTGTATCTTCTTTTGTTTTTATCGTGGTTAAGAGAAACCTTGTTATAGCTTTTACATTTCTTTTCCTTTTTAAGTTTACTGTAGTAGTTGAAGGAGTCCTCATCCAAAATATTCCGTGACCACCTCCTTTGCAAATTATTTCATTTAATTTATAATCCTTTTGAAAATCCTTTTATTACCAGATTGGGTCCACCTTTAACACGGACTTAAAATAAACTAATGAACTCAAGCCTATCATTGTGCTTTTATAGCAAACAATTTTAATCTAATTTAATTATTCAATTATTTTGGTTTATTTATTCATTTCTCACCAAATATTTTGCTTATTTTTTATAATTGCTTGAAACTTACACTTGAAAAAACTTCCCTTTCCTTTGCTGCAGTCCAATGCTGTTTTAAAAACCAATGTATTTTTTCCATTTTTATTATTTACATTCAATCTCTTTTTCTCTCTCTCTTTCCTACAAGTATAAGCAATACATCTTCGTCATTTCCTTATTAAAAAAATATTCGCTTGAAAGTCGATTAAAGACATGCATATTCTGGCCAACGTTCTTTGCTTAAAGTTATGTTTTAATTTAGAGAAGAACAATTTCTTTAGTGTAGGTCGTGGTAATTAACGCTTCACGTTTCATTGAACAATCAAACAAGTCTAACAACTTTTTTAAAAACAGATTGTCTGTTTGACTACTTCCAAAAATTTCTACGACTCGCACTAATATAGATATAACTTTTTAATTGGATTTGTAAGTAAAATAAAAGTGGCGTGCCTTGAACTCTGATCAGAATTTTGAGGGTGTGAGCAAAATTGTGGATTGTCACGCTATTTACGAGTAATGCGTTGCGTCTAGTTAAGCAATGCAAATACGGCTTGAATAATTAATTAGTTGTCGCTGCCTTCGTTACCAGCAATGCAGGAATGCACCAGCAACTAATTATATTTTTGCTTGACAACACACAGAGAAATTACATATTTTGCTGCAGTATCAAGTAATTTAATCAAGTCATTAGTAATGTATTTAAAAAACGTTTTAGAATACACATGTGGAACGCCAAACGCTGCGTATGAGTAACGACCTAAGTAAACAGTATGCGCCACTGATAAAAGCTTTTGCATAACATGAGCTGTTAGTTAACAGCATTCGAGCCTGTTAAGCTAACAGGTGGTTGGCGCCGTTTATTTATGACACAAATTCTTTAAGCTCTAGCGTGTGTAAAAAAGCAGATAAAGCATTTGTTTAATTATGCCAACATTTTAATTATGCTACTCGCACTGAAATGATGTCACTGGCCAAAATTTATAGTGTGTTTACACTACACAGCAATAAGACATACTATATGGAAAATGCAGTTCAAACATATTACCTATTTCCATTATTTTTATCAATTTCATAACTTGATTTCTAAAGTTTTAAATTGCATTGCTGGTCAGTGTTACAGAAAATCTCTCTCTCCAATCTCTCTGCAATTAGTCATTTGCAATAAATTTCCAAATGATTTCATTATTAAATACATTTTGCAATATAATGTAAATTAACAGCAGACGGAGGGCGCTCAAACACCTCGCTACGCCCCTGTGCTCATGCTTGTTGCTTCAACGCAGCTTGTTGTCGGCCGAGCGACAAACTCACAAACGTTTCGGTTGTTCAGTTGCCGATGGGACGCGAAGCTGAACGGCAGGAAGTTGCGTTTACGACGCTTTGTCAGCAGCCAAAGCATTGAATTCAAAACGCCGCCTACTACTGTTTTTCAAAACAGAGCGCGCCTCAAAGTTTTTGGGAAGGTGTTAAATGCGTGTAATTAGTAGAAAGCGCATTAAATGTTAAGGAATTAAATTAAATTACGTCAAAGTGGATTTGTGGCTTCAGATCAGATTTTTTATGGCACGTGGCCGTTTTCAATTACAAGTGTAAATTGTGCGTTAAATGTAAAAAGTTACCAATGGAAAGTTTGTTGGCGAGCTGAAATTAATTTAAATCGACAGCGATTACAAAGTTTAAGGTTCAGATATTGAAAAAACGTGAAAATTGTCACAATAAAAAAGTGTTAAGTGTCATCGTCCGTGTGTAGAGAGTAAGTTCTATTAGAAAAGTTCTCAGAAGGGATCATCTTTAAATGAGCAAAGGGCATGGTAATTTTCTAAATTAACATAAACGACTTTTAAACACCCTAAAAATTATTACTTCCTTAGTAATTACAACATATTTTTATTTAATGAAAACAAACTTAACGTTATCTTCCAAACAACAATAAAAACAAATTTTGTTTCTATTTATTTCAATATTTGTGTTTCTCTTTTAATCTTTTCTTGAATGCGTTCAACTGTTTTTGTTTTATTTGTTCGAAGTAAGCAAACTATAAAGTAAATAAACAATTCCTATTCCCCCAAGTGGAAGTTGAGAGATAAATTAATAGGATTTAGATGAATAATTCGTGGAAATGGTCATTTAAATAGTAATGAGCAAATAATCACAAGCTAGTACCTAGACCGTCTGGACAAATCGTAAAACTAAGCAATATTCTGCAACACAGAATATTAAAACTCTTAATTTGGCAATAAGTCTAATTAAATTGCTTCCAGCTGATTATTTTTTCATGGTTTTTCTTTCCCAAATTCAAATTGCAGACTTCAAATATTTTTAAAAATGCCGCAACATAAGGAATGATAACATAAAAATGTTGTTGTTATGCATAAAAAATATCAAATCAAAATCAAATAAAAACCAACAAGCGCAACAGCAACAACAATAACAGCGTATTACTGTCACGTTCGCTTGGACACCCACACAGGCACACAGTTAGGGTCCAGCGTTGGGCAAACAACTTCAAGTCACGTTTGACATTTGTGCCGTGCCCCCCAAAGAAGAGGAATGACTTCGAACTTTCGTGGGGAATTGGAACGGCGTCGATAGCATCGCACTCTGCCTGCAATTAATTAAAAACTTTGGAGCGCGCGCTCTCTTACAAATCAAATCAAAAATGTTGCTCAAGTATTTATGGGAAAAGAACATTTTTTTTATGGCAGCTGAGGTCTAATCTATGTACTCGTAGTTCATAGGGCACGCACAATTGGCTGAACAACAAACACAGCGTTGAGTTTATTGCAATAAATAATTTAGCAGTGACGGAAAAGTGAAAATAAAGCGCTCCTAGTTGAGCCCTAAGGCAAGTAGCGGCAGTTTCGTATGAAAATCAATGCGCATTTGTGCAGCATCGTTGCGCCCCAAAACAAAACGCGCAATAATAAAGAGAGTGAAGGGCTGGGGGACTGAAAAGTGAAAAGAGAGTGGTTTGGTAAGGGTTCAGGGAACGCTATGCCGGTTGGTGTTTCAAAAATAAATTCACGTTTAAAATATAAATCGGTTCGTGCCGATATTGGTGGTGGATTGTCTAACGCCTTGCCTAGTTAGGCAACAAATTTGACCCTTCGAGAGACACAACAACAACAGCTTTATCTAAAATAGGCGTGTTGCTTTTGTTGTTGCGTATTTTTAGGCCCAAGCGCACATTAAGGCAAAAGTATGAAGAAAAAAAGGCAAGACGACACTCCGTCATGTCAAATTTCATTGACTTGCTGCGTAACTGTGCCGACAAGGCTTTAATTAGTTTTTAGGCTGCGACGTGACACTAATTTTGTCCAATCAGCCCAGTTGTTATTGTTTTATGCCTGCATTTAGTTTGGCTATCATCTATCTTTTAGCTGGGTCAGCCTGTGCAGAAAAAGTTTTCTGGAAAGCAACAAAAATTATAGTCTACTTTTGAGCGTAGAAAAAAGTTCAACCTACCTTGCTCTATTTCTAGTCTACCTACTTCCCACATTTCTGGCCATGTTTGGCAGGCACGTTTTTTGTCTTCTTTTCGTCTTCCCTAACACATCCACATGCAAAGGGCTAATTGATGTATTGATGTGTCTCTTTGTCATAATAAAATGAATGGTTCCCAATGATTTAACACGCAAGCAGAAAGCATTGCCTGTTCCTTGTGCCCAGTTCGCAAAAGTGCTAAAGCTGCAATCCTTAATTAGAAATCTGACGCATTTTGCTTTCATAGACAAACACACAAGTTGGCATGGATTGAAGGATTAGCTTCAGTCTTTAGTCTTCAGGCATTTATTCAGGCTCAGAGGTAGCTGCAGAGGTGGGCGGAAAGTTGTCGCAATTGTGGCCAAATTATAGATGTTTAGAGATAATTTTATGCATCGCAAAAGGAAAACACATCATTATCGTAGAAATTTGTATTCACAGTCGACTAGAATGAATGAAGCAAATAGCAATTATAAATATTTATTCAAAGCAAAACCAATTTATGTAGGCTTGGTTGATTTTAACCCTATTCCGGATATTGGAACTTAGGGCTGAGTTGGAACTAAAGCTGTAGTTGCCAAGCATTGGTGGTATTTTAAGGTTTTTTTTAACAAAAATAAAGACATCATTTTAATTATTCTCTCACTCGCTAAAGAGTTCCAAAATCAGTTATAAATTTAAGGCTCTATTAATTTTGTATATCTTTTGTCTTCTGAGAAAATTCCTTCAAGATTTATGATCGGACAATGCATGTCTTAACATTAGATATGTTCCAATAACTATCAACATTTTTTTAAGAGCTAAACAAAAACACAGCACACACAAATTTAAGAAAACCCTTCCCTAAGAAATCTGCTCAAACAACACAACACAACACAATAAAATATTTTTCAGCTACAGTTTTTAGTTTCAACAACAAAATAAACCCACTGTATAATTCTAAAATGGGTTTCTATTGCAATTGAGAAAATATTAACGCATTCTACAGGAAAAAAGTGTATTACTTCTTGTAATGTCAAGTCAAATTTTCTGTAAGTCCATTTAAACAGTTGCCCACATTTAGATGAAC